TATAAATATCCTATCTAGTTCTAGTACTAGTGTACTGCTACTTAAATATTATTGGAATTACTCTATTCTAGGAAAAACATGTTCTTTCCTGTTAGGCAGAACAGTATAATTATTCTATTTTAAACATAGGATGCTAAATAATATGTCCAGAAAAGAATGACCTGTAAACACGGCGCTGTAGTCGCATTTATTGACAACGTCTAGCAATTTCGTATACGGACAATAGTTCCTTCAAAATCCGCGAAATGGCGGGGTTTTTTTTTATACTGGTTGTGGTTTATATATTTATTGTCTAAAATAAAGTACAGGAAGGATAATGGTGAGATATATTATTATAAATTAATTGAAATCAGAAATAAATAGCTATTATTTGTTATACCAAGTACATGGATATTTATGGAAACAATAACAAGTAAATAATTATAATAACATAACATCATGTCTTTTATCTCAGAAGGGGTAGGCAGAGGTGCACATTAATGACACTGTACAATGTAACATCCATATTTCCCTATTCATGTTATGAGTCCCATGTAATAGGGGTGAGCGCATTGCTATATACTGGGCATAATTCCAGACTCCGTGCTACTACAGAGAATTTAAAAAACCAATAATACTTTGCCCGACCCAGGAATCGAACCCGAGACCTTTTGCCCGGCAGACGCACTTGCGACCACCGGCCAACGAAGCAGTCAGTAAATATACATATACCTATTTATATTAATACAAATTAGAAAGCAGAGAAACTCACGATTAGTTTTGAAGGAAATCTAAGATTTAACCGACGAGCATACATAAAAAGACTGAAGACTGTTGAGGAAGCACAAGAGGTATGTAAGAATCGTAGCTATTGGCGTTCCATAATCTCTTTCCTACCCCCATGGGAGGCGTGAGGTCATGTATGTAGGTATCTAAGATTTAAAAGGAAGCATTCAGGAGTGGAAGTAATACGTATTATTATGATAGTCCTTCGCCATATCTATCAGTCAGTTTGTTACTATGAACTTCAAAACTACTTAACAAATATGATGCGATTTATCACCGTACATAGAGTGATTAGAGTAAGTACAACGCGGTTAGTGCGGTGGCTGGGCAACCGGCTGCCATGCAACGTGTCGCGGGTTCGATTGCCGCACGGAACAACACTTTGTGTGATCCACATATTGTTGTTTTGGGTCTGGGTGTTGTGTATGTGAACTTGTATGTTTGTAAACGCACCCACGACACAGGAGAAAATCCTAGAATGGGACAACGTTTTTTTTTTAAAAAGCAATAGATAAGTGAGATTCCTGAGGATAATTTGTCTTAAAACAGCACAAATCTATTATTAATAATGAAAGAAAACCACAATTATTTGTCCAAATACTTTTATTTTATATCATAAATTAAAAAATGTAATAAAATAACCTAATTCGACACCAGTTATGTGTCAACCGTTATGTTCAAGTTGATACATAACTACTTCTTATACATGTAATAAAAATGGACTTTATATACCTATTAATGACTTATTTTGTAAAATATCATGACTCAAGAACATTTTGACAGTATGGTACTTACAAAACAATATTAATATATTTTTACTGCAAAATTATGAGAAGTTAACATTAATATTATACATGTAAGTTGGCATCTCAAGAGATAATATGACTGCATTAGAGATCTTAGATCCGATTCCCGGATCGGGTGTTGTGTTCAGAAATTTTGTTCAAAATTTTAATTGGTAACACTGAAACCCTATACAGCAAAAAGTACAATTAAAATAAAAATCTAATATTCTTTTTTGTTAATAAATACACTTATGTACATAAAAATACGAAAGATTTTGTACAATACAATACATTTTTAAATATATTTTTACATCTTAAACATGTATTTTGAAAACTAAGAACTTTTGAATAGTTTTTATGATCTAATTTTTTCTTTTACTGTCAATGAGAACGTTTAAAACTAATAAAAAAAATAATAAATACACATTATTTAAATGCAATATGTTTCTTTTTTATATTAATCTGCTATTGTCATGAATATATAGTATAACGCCTTTAATTCTTAATAGGAGTAGATAACAATTATGCAGTAGAGGACTGCACAACTTGTCACAGTATTAATTACTAAAACAATCTCTTTGTTTGGCCCACAAATGGGTACTTGCCAACTAATCAAATTCAATACTTTTTTCCAACTATCAAAAACGACCATTTTCTATGAATTTTGTACGAGATTGTGTATTGTGACGTCACGTTTTTTTAGCGTCGAACAGCATATTTATTTCTTAAAAATTTGCTGGAAAAATACTAAAATTAAGTTGGTCATAAAATCAATTAATGAAAGTGTGATTCTATTTTAATATTTTATTGTATTGAACAGTCGAAATAATTACTTTTGATTAAGGAAAGTACCCAAATAGGGATGATGACAGGGTATGAAAATTTATTTAGTCCGTCAGTCAGTTAAACAAAAAATATTAGACACGTATTTTTTTATTTTGTCATATTAAGAAAAAAATGTTCGATAAAACGTATATAAAGTTTTTAAGAGTGGGATGTTGCTAGGTCGCTACGTCATGGCTCAATAGAAAAAGGATTACTAAATCGTGACGTCACACGATATTTTTAATTACTGAAGTCACTATTTGAAAAAGTAAGAGAAGAAAAAATACGTGTCTAAAGTTTTACATTAATCTACCAGACGAACATTAACATAGAATTTGATCATAAACCGCTATTAATTTACACGCGAAAAAAAAATTCAATGTAAACCACAAATTGTCCGTCTCGCATGCGACTAATTAACCAGTGAGTTGGTGTCTTTTACGTGTGCATTAACCAGATCAGATTTTGTCGAAAATGGTCATTTGAATCTTATAGATAATTAGTTGTGAGGTAATTGTTGCGCACATTTTTAAAATTGTTGCGCTTATAGTTTTTTTATTATGTCACAAAAACATTTTCTGCTGGGGTAACGTTACCCCAGCTAGACCTTTTTCTTCCTATGGCAATATTTAAATAATTACTAGGTATAAAATTAGTTGTCTAGATGAATTAATGTTGTGCCTTATTTTGTATTTGTTCTTTCCTCGGTTGCGAAGTTATTCGAGATTTTGCTGGGGTAACGTTTTTGGTTTTGCTAATCTTTGAAATGGTTAAGCGGTTTCTTTTGGTATTTTGTACATGGCTTCTTAGGAATTAGTTTAAATTTGTTTTGCAATAAAAAAAACAAAATAATATAACATAGGTTAAAGGTTATTTCATTAAATAGAAAAACACTTCAATAGGTACCAGCTCTTTCAATAAGAGCTCTAAAGACTTACTTTAAACGTTATTTTAAAACTTGTAACTGCCTTCAAATGTATGTGAAGTTTCATTAGTATCCTGTGACTTTTTAACAAGTTATGATGATATTGAGTTCTTCACGAGCACGGTTTTAATGCGCGCGGTGTTATTTGGCCACTGGATTGGATATATGAACTGAATGTTATGTCAATTATTAGTTGCTTAGTTCAGATGTGTATCAGTAAAATTTGTCCCAGTTGTACAGTCTCTTCTTTGTGCCGTTAGGCTTAATTCATTCTGTTTCCTGCAGTAATTCACCGAGGGATGTGGAAACTATCATTTTTTTTCTTCTCTTCTTATAATATCTTCTGACTTACTTCGTTGCAGGAACCAAGACAGTTATTCATGTCCATGGGACGCGCTGGAATTCGGTGTTCCGGTTTTTTCATGGTTGTATCTACTGTAGATCCTGGCTTACAGGATTTGCAGCAGTTTTGGGAGATTGTTCCATTAATATAATTCTTAAGAAGCTATTTACATAATATGATAAGAACCCGCTTAACCATATCAAAGATCTAGCAAAACCAAAAATGTTACCCTAGCAGAATCTCGAATAACTTCGCAACCGATGAAAGATCAAATACAAAATAAGGCACAACATTTACTTCATCTAGACAAATAATTTTATAGCTAGTAATTATTTAAATATTCCCATTAGAAAGAAAAAGGTCTGGCTGGGGTAACGTTACCCTTGCAGGAAATGTTTAACATAACATAACATTTTAAACATTGAAATGTTTTGTAAAATTATTAAAAAACAAACTATAAGCGAAACAAATTTAAAAATAAGCGCAACCATTACAGAAGCCGCTAAACTAATTATCTATAAGATTCAAATGACCATTTTAGACAACATTTGGCCTGGATAACGGACACCTCTTTTACTACAAAATGTTATTATAATATTGTGAATTAAACATCATAATCAGCCGTTAGAAAAGGGAGTTTGTTATTTGGGGGAGAAGTACATAAGTATGACCGATCTCAATAAACTGGAAACAAAAAGAACACAGGAAATTGAAAATAATTTTATCGTTTTGATAGTGGGCTTTAAATGTATGGGTGTTGTCCAAGCGTCGCCAAGAATGAATCGGAAACCAAGTGAAACGGTGTTGTTCAAACAAGCTGAATGCATCAAATTCTGTCTGAGAGAAAAAACAAAGAAAATGCAAAGCATAAGCGGTTTTGAGAAACTAATCTTCACATTTTGTTAGAAGTTAATTGTTGATTTTTATTATTTATCATTTTATTTAGTATATGATTCATACTACTGTGACTATCATTTCATATATTTATATGTAAGAGTAACTTGCGTCTGCATGTTATCAGAGTCCACTAGCGCCATTGTCAAGAACTAACCGCACTTAAATTCTCAACTACATTACTTAACTTTGTTCTATTAGAAATAATATCATAATTTTATTAAATAGCAACACGGAAGTTTGAAAGAAATCCCGTTACGATACAAAAAGATCAACGCAACTAACTAAAATGCAAATCGCCTTAATTTTAATTAAAAAGTGTTACATTTTAAACATTTTCAATGTTTTTTTGACTTAAAAATCGAGGTTTTTTAAAACTGTTAGCAGTTCTAACGGGTTTGCAGTCTTATAAGCGATCAAGGCGACTCGCAGACCGAGGTGTCGGCCTGTGGTGGAATTACCGTCATTCTTTGGGTGTGGTCGGGGCACTATCTTCAGCTTTCCTCTTACTGCCAGCCTGTTGGGACCTGTTCTTGTCAGGCTTGTATTTCTCCCACTTTTTATGGTTTAATTGGTCGAAATCTTCACAATATTGGGCTATGTCCTTAAGGTACGTAGAAAGGTGCAGGAGCTCTCGATCCCGGTCCCTATTTAGATGCGCCTGCCTAAATGGCCGGATTTTGAGCCCGCTTTTCGGATTCATTATGAAGTTTCTCCTAATGTCGTCGAACATTATCGTGTTTTTCGAACTATATTGGGGGTATTTGCCCCATATTACGCCTAGAGGTTTTACCTGGAAATGAGAATAAAATGAAATTAGTAAATTAACAAATAATAATGAATGTTACTCTTCGAAGAAGGTTAGAAGAAGGACAATAGAAGACTAGCGTAAATGTGAAATAATATCCTTTGCATAAAACAAGTTGGTAATTATCTCCGTGGTTGGCAGGTGGATTAGACTGTTTTTATTTTATTTATTTATTGGAAAACCAACAGCTACACCTGGCAAACAAATTCAAAGCCTTCTTTCATTCAGCATTTTTTTATGGCATAAGCCGGCTAACGAGCAGATGGATCACCTGATGGCAAGCAATCGGCGTCGCCCATGGACATTTGGAACACCAGAGTCGTTTAGGGGATTAGGAGTTTGAGGACCGTTGTGGATTCAGGGATTGGGGAGATTTGGGAAGGGGAGAGGGTAATTGGGCCTCCGGTAACCTCACTCACACGACGAAACACAACGCAAGCGTTGCTTCAACTCGGTTTTCTGTGAGGCGGTGGTATCACTCCGGTCGAGCCGGCCCATTCGTGCCCAAGCATGGCTCTCCCACAAAAAATAGTGACAAAATAGAATCAAAACCAATTACAGGTTTTCATCGATAGATATTACATTAGTGTGCGTTACCTAGGTCAGATGTTTTCGAAAATGCTCATTTGAACCTTATAGATAATTAGTTTTGCGGTTTCTGTAATTGTTGCGCAAATTTTTAATTATTTCACAAAAAACATTTCCTATGTAAGCTATGTATTATTTTCGTTTTTTTTTTATTGCAGAAGAAATTTAAACTAATTCCTTAGAAGCCATGTATGTACAAAATATGATAAGAATCCGCTTAACCATTTCAAAGATCTAGCAAAACCAAAAACGTTACTCCAGCAAAATCTCGAATGACTTCGTAACCGATGAATGAACAAATACGAAATAAGGCACAACATTTACTTCATCTAGACAACTGAATGTATAGCTAGTAATTATTTAAGTATTCCCATAGGAAAGGAAAAGGTCTGGCTTGGGTAACGTTACCCAAGCCAGACCTAATGGTAATGTTTTTGTGACATAATTAAAAAACTACAAGCGCAACAAATTTGCAAATGTGCACAACAATTACAGAAGCCGCAAAACTAATTATCTACAAGATTCAAATGACCATTTTCGACAACATGTGGCCTGGGTAACGCACACAAATACAACCCAAGCAATAGTACCCTTTAGAAAAAAAAAAAATAAATTGCAGATTAGAAGGACCAGGTTTATCAATACTACTGCTTGGTCTTATACTTAAATGTACAAGTCCCCAAAAAGGCTGGCAAAGTACTTGTAACTCCTCTGGTACATTGGGTGTCCATGTGCGGCTCTAATGGCTCTCAGGTGATCCGTCTGATCTTTTGCTGCCTTATATGAACCATAAAAATATAAACAGTTACTCACATCTATAGTGCCATATTTAGCAGTATGCACAGTGATCATAGCTAGATAATCCAGGTAGAACATGATCTTATAGTCCTGGTGCGTGGAGACCCCAAGCAGTCTCATCTTCTCCTCGATCCATTTCATCCCCGTGGCCGACCAGATCACTATGTCATAATCCTCATATGCCGAAGTTAGGAACTCGTGGAGGTAGGGACGCATCAACTCGTAACCTAGAATTTGAGATAGGATATTTGAATTATAAAGTTTTGACAAGACATTTTTGTTTATTTATAAGGTAAAAAACTGTATTACACGGACAACTGGGTAAATATTTAGTATTTAGTTTGCTAAAGGAATGAATCTGCAGCATGCAGTAAGCAACGCTGCCCTCTCGCCCGCAGTTAAACGCTTATGCAACAGAGATTCGACACAAAACACACACACGACACACAACAAACCAATTCGCAAAATAACGCTTGATTCTATTCTATGTAACGATAGTCGGTATTACACTTCAAGAACAAATAATATCTAATGAAAAATGTCCAGTAAGTGAAGGAAAATCTTTTAAATTACAGTTAAAATTGTTTTATTAGGAAATCGAACTCAGATTCTTTTTCATTTCATTCCATAAAAATATAGCACTGATTTTTTGTACCATGACAATGGCAAAAAGCACACAACCCACCCGATGGCAACCAGTTACCGGTAGCCTATGAACCCTTGCAACATTACATTGTCGACTTCATTTTATAATCGGAAGGTTCGTGAGAGGAAATTCTTCTGAAACCCAACTGTACGGAACAAATCTGGCACCAATGTATGGTGCGATGATAGAATTAGATAATAATTATACCAACCTGTTTCAGCGACAGAGCGATGATCAAACAGCGTGTAGTCAATATCAAGAACTAGTAATTTCTTCCCTTCTCGCGGTTCATTCAGCACATTTATCTTATAATCCCGCACTCGCTTGTTTATCTTCGACAAGTACACCTGGAAAGCGAATGTTTTTATAGTATTAATACTCTTTATTACCATCGTGGTAGTCACCCGCGTGTTTGTTACCTGGCAAGTACCAATTTTATGACTTTCAAGATTATTTACGGTAAAGGAAATTATCGTGACGAAACCTGGATTTATATTATAAGGTCTAATTAACAAACATAACATCAAACCTTTTATCTCTGAAGGGGTAGGCAGAGGTGCACATTACAGCACTGAATGCCACTGAACAATGTAACACCCACTTTTCACTGTTTATGTTATGAGTCCCATATAATAGGGGGTGAGTCTATTGCCACATACTAGGCACATTTACAGATACTGAGATTTTTTTTAAAACCTAGTAATATTTTGCCCGATCCGAGAATCGAGCCCGAGACCCCTTGCCCAGCAATCGCACTTGTGATCACTCGGCCAACGAGATAAGTTTGAAATCGATAATCCACTTGAGTAAGCATGGTGATTAATGCTCATATCTTTGCCGCGAGGGAAGAGGCATTTGCTCAGCATTGAGCACTTATAGGCTGATGATGTAATGTGAATATGACACACCATCTAAAAAAATCTCACTCAAAAAACTGAATCACAATCTCCACCTACCTCCTGGTTCTCTACATCCACCTCTTCCTCCTCGACATCCAAGTCATTCACCACCTCGTCTCCAACATCCGGCCTGGTCTGCGCCCCGGCTATGGCTTCTTCCAGGGACCCCATCATCATGATCTTCAGGTTTGGCTTTAACTGCAGGTCTGATAATGTGCAGTTGTCCGTTGCTACTTTGCCTGAAAAATGATGCATAAATTTTATGAGAGATACTTTCGTATGAAAAGACAAGAAAAGAAAATACCATCATAGGTAGGTAATGTCATCTACTGAATCAAAGCATTCCCTTTAGAAGGATCTATTCCTCAATTAATCATCAGGGATGTTGATTGATGGGATGACACATTAATCTAGGATTGCAAATGAAAACTTTATAAATTTTATTGTTCCTTGTGATACATTTAACTTATTCTTTTTTTTATATATTTTTGATGGGCCGACGTCGCACAAGGAAGCTTGATATGAAGCCATATAATTATGCGATATTCATTTAAATATTTTTATAATATTTCCTACTGGGGTAACGTTACCCCAGCCAGACCTTTTCCTTTCTAATTAGAAAAAGCTATGTATTATTTTGTTTTCTTATTGCAGATCAAATTTAAACTAATTCCTAAGAACCCATGTACAAAATATGATAAGAATCCGCTTAACCATTTAAAGATCTAGCAAAACCAAAAACGTTACCCCAGCAAAATCTCGAATAACTTCGCAACCGATGAAAGAATAAATACAAAATAAGGCACAACATTAATTCATCAAGACAACTAATTTTATAGCTAGTAATTATTTAAATATTCCCATTAGAAAGAAAAGGTCTGGCTGGGGTAACGTTATCCCAGCAGGAATTTTTTTTGTGAAATAATTAAAAAACTATAAGCGTAACAAATTTAAAAATGTGTGCAACAATTACAGAACCCGCAAAACTAATTATCTATAAAGTTTTAAATGACTATTTTCGACAACATCTGGCCTGGGGAACGGACACTCCTGAGACCCAATTACAACCTTCCCCTATCTCCCCAATCCCTGAATCCCCAACAATCCTCGGTCAGTAACGTACTTGCAGCGCTTCTGGTCTTCTTATAATTAGGTTGATGAGTGTTTCATGTTATTATATGCACACAGCGACTTCCTCGTTGGCCGGGTGGTCGCAAATGGTCTCAGGTTCCATTCGGTCGGGCCTTACTTACTAGGTTTTTTTTTTAAGAAACTCTCAGTAGGCACAGTCTGGATGTGCCCATTATGGGAATAGGGTCACCCCCTATTACATGGGACTCATAACATAAATAGTGAAAAGTGGGTGTTACATTGTACAGTGTGATTTAGTGCGTAATTTGGTATCCCCACATTACACTGTACAATGTAACACGCATTTTATCAAAGGCTATGTTATGTTATGCACACAGCCTATGAGTGGCCACTGTTGACCAAAGACTTGTTCCCACACGGAGAAGGGCATCAATTTCTAACTGACGATAAACTATTTCTTGATGATGTTTTCCTTCACTGCTTGTCAGTGGTGTCTAAATAATCGTAGAAAGTACATGTAACTTGGAAAAAGTCACATTTGTATGCCTTTGGTAGGTTTAGAACCTGCTTTCTCATGCCTGAAAAGCTGGCGTTTTGAAGCTCCAAGACACAATAATATGTATAATTATTATTAAGTGTGCAACCTCTAACAATTTGTCTTTATTTCTATTTTAAAACAAACTTTATAATATTTACTATTTAGTATTTATAGTTAGCATTAGCAAGGTTTCCCAAACTAAGTGTTGCAAGCGAATTTTTAGTGGGCCTTGTCTGTAGAATGACACACTAACCAACCGGTCTATACTTTACTTTTCATTTACAGATTAATTTCGTAAAAGTGGGTTCTGACTTTGGTAACTAGATTTAGATAGGTCGTAGTCCAGATAACTTTAGGAACCACTGATATGGCAACATTGTACAACATGGATGGTGTTCAACAAAAGCTATATGATGTTGTGCAGATTATGTGATGGGATGTTATGAAAATCTTTAATGTGCTTTAATTTATAAAATTATAAAATATATAAAAGACTTCAAGCTATTATTTCTCATAATATATTTATGTTATCTTATTACTGTTGCCAGGTAACAGCTAGAACCTTGCTTGATATTTACTTTCACTTTTTTTTAATAGTTACTTAGCATCGGTACAGTCAAAGTCACCACTATATGCTATTATCGTCATCAGTAATTTCATTTAGTCTGTTTTGTGCTTAACTAACTGTAAAACAGCTGATTCTTTGATCTGATTCCCCATGAAGAATTTCGTCAGAATAATAAATGAAAATGAGTCACAAAATTTGACTGCACGGTTGGTGCGGTGGCTGAGCAACCGGCTGCCGTGCAATGTGTCGCGGGTTCTATTCCCTCACGGAACGACACTTTGTGTGATCCACAAATTGTTGTTTCGGGTCTGGGTGTCATGTGTATGTGGACTTGTATGTTTGTAAACGCACCCACGACACAGTAGAAAATCCTAAAGTGGGGGCAAAGTTAAAAAAAAAAAAAAAAAAATGTGTTTGTGAGGACCAAACTTAGAAATGGTCAGACCAATCTCGCCGATTGCATTATTGATGATTTTATAAAGGTCCACAGCAAAAAACTGTTCTAGTTATTCTTACTACCAACAGTACCAACTACTAGGTACCCCCCAGATGGTAAGCAGACAGGTTATAGTTACATACAAGTTCATTAATCAACAGCCTATAAATGCCCACTGTTGTGCAAATCGTCTTCTCATATGGAGAAGCTTAGACTACTAATCATCAATCACTCTCAATGCGGGTAGGCGATTTCAAATTTATTATTAGAAATTATAAGCCCAGGGTTTCTTACAATGTTTTCCTTCATCAGTTGTAACTCAGAAAAAGTCACATTGGTATTTGCTGTTAGGAGGTTTCGAACCCGCATCCTCATACATGGGAAGTAGGGGTCTTAAAACTCCGGGCCACCATGACACAGTTGCAAGTTAATTATGCTCTATTTGTAAGGATTAACCAATCTCTACACTTTATTTATTGCAACATATGAGTATTGGAGAATATGGTTTCTTATTTTATTCTACAATATTGTTTTACAAAAATAACATGGTATTGTACCTTGCTAAACGGATAATATTTTCTAGTCGTTTTAGTATTAGTAAGTATGGTTTAGCAAAACTAATTATATACATACAACCTAAATTCACTGTTGAAATGTAGTAAAAATATAACATAAAGAAACATGATATATTCAAGTAAGTCATCATGTTACATATTATGAAATGTAAATCTTTATAAAAATATACAATCTACATATCTGTATGTTATCATGTTCTATGTTATAAATAGTCAGCAAAATGTAGGGCATTGTGTGCATTTCTTAGAAGCTTAATGTAAAACAAGTCTTGACCGGTAGGATATTACATAAAGAACAGATCACTCACAATGAGGTTTCTGCAAGTTTCACTATCAAACTTGTAGATAATCTTAGTAATGATTAATTCGAATGGTGATCGGAAGACCCTGAAATCTAAATTGTAAAGAGAAAAATATCATAATTACCCTGAAATTTAACATTTAGGAGTTTTTGTCGTTCGGGCCGGACGCCCGTGGCATTTTCGATCGCAACTTTCAACATCGCGACGGAATCCGACGGTGAAAATTCTGGTATTTCGTACTCCTTGCCATTCCACTTAACACTTAGTTTTATAGGATTATCGTTAATATCGCACATTTTTAGCTAATATTTAGTGAAACTTCTACTGACGTGACATATAAACAAAACAAATTTGACACGGCACGAACGTCGGCACCACTGGTCGGCACTCATTCACTGGCGACTAGTGATGATCGCCATTACTAAAAAAGTGACTAACTAATATAGTGATGTAGTAAAACCAGTTTTTTTTAATTTATCTGTTATCGATAATCGATTTGCAATAAAAAATCGACTTATATGTTTAAAAACAAAAAAAATTGTTCTCAAAATAGCTGAGTATTTTTGTATGATTTGTGCAATTTTTGATATATCTTTCATTGAAAGAAAGTGTAAGGTTAGATAAACAGTATACGATTTTAAACAGCATTTAATACTATTAACAACGTCCTTGACTACTATTGAAAATCTTATAAATAAATTATAGTAGAGAGAAAGTTGTGCCTAAACATCATGTTGAAAGTTTTTAGAAAAAGAGATATTATTGGTGGCAACATCACTATCACTGGGTAGTGGTGGCTAGGTACTGACATAGGAGCCCTGGTACTTACTTATGGTACCTACATAAGAAGTAGAAATCTTTTCACATTCTGATAAAGGCCATAGATATTGTACGAAATATGAGCAAAGCATAAGTAATAGGTAGCACTCGGTAGATATTATCCGGGAACAGGAATCGAACCCGAGACCCCTTGCCCGGCAGTCGTACTTGCAACCACTCGGCCAACGAAGCAGTCTATAAAAAATATAAAAAAATGACAAATTTATTGAAGATGGTTATTTATTGATTTATTACTCTGGTTCTGAGAGTAATATTTCTCGTGGCAAATTTTCGTGGGTATATATTTTAACTGATTTTGGTTAATTATTTGACAAACTTGTACGATGCACGTTTGTTCGTCTGCGCTGTTGTTTGGTGAAAACGTGAATTTCATCAAACAAGTTTGTCAAACAAAATTTGATCGTTTACAAGGCGCATAAGATAGTAGAAACTTATGAGGAGGATAACACATGTACCCAGTAGGTATTATAGTACCTATGTAATTTTTTTGTGATTAGGTACATAACATCACGCCTTTTATCCCAGAAGGGGTAGGCAGAGGTGCACATTATACCACTGTACAATGTAACACCCAATTTTCACTGTTTATGTTATAAGTCCCATGTAATAGGGGGTGAGCCTATTGCCATATACCGGGCACAATTCCAGATTCCGTGCTACTACTAAGATTTTTTTTAAGCCCAGGCAATAAAAGTATTTGATTTTGAAAAATTTGAATTTTTAATACTTTGCCCGACCCGGGAATCGAACCCGAGACCCCCTGCCCGGCAGTCGCACTTGCGACCACTCGGCCAACGAGGCAGTCATTAGGTACTAGAACTATAATTCTCTAGGACGGGTCGGTTAGAGGACCCGGTGTCCCATAAAGGTGCTGAGGGTAGCCACCGGGGTGGTTTTAGTGAGGTGAAAATCCCACACTTCCTAGTCTTTCTCTTTGTGCCTTTAGGCTTAATTCATTCTGTCTCCTGCAGTAATTCACCGAGGGACGTGGAAACTATAGTTTTTTCTTCTCCTCTTATAATATCTTCTGATTCATTTCGTTGCGGGAACCAAGACAGTTACTCATGTCCCTGGGACGCGCCGGACTTCAGTGTTCCGGTGTTTTCATGGTTGTATCTACTGTAGATCCTGGCTTACAGGAGTTGCAGCGGTTTTGGGAGGTTGTGGCGGGCTTGTCCCCTGAAAAAAGTCTTTCTCCCAAAAAAGCTAGGAGCCTTTTGAAAGATTCTCCCGTCATATAAAGTGCTATAATTATTTATTGTAAGATTTTACCTTGATTTTAAATAAAACTGACACTGCACGAGAAAACGTTTATTGAATCATTTATTTATTTAAATAGAAAGGTACAAAACAGTTACATTACTAAATACTTATTTCTTACCTACCTTAACATCAATTATACAAATATTTGGTAACTATTTATTTAGTATAAATATCGCAAAACTTCTTCTAATGATAAAAATGCCATTTTGGGTCTGAAATTATACTTACAGAAGGAATTACCACAAATTAATAATGTAAAACAGTAAAAATGAGAATCTATTCAATGAACATACCATAACATAACATAACATCACGCCTTTTATCCTCAAAGGGGTAGGCAGAGGTGCACATTATACCACTGTACAATGTAACACCCACTTTCACTATTTATGTTATGAGCCCCATGTAATAGGGGGTGAGCCTATTGCCATATACCGGGCACAGTTCCAGACTCCGTGCTACTACTGACAATTTTTTTAAAAACCCAGTAATACTTTGCCCGACCCGGGAATCGAACCCGAGACCCCTTGCTCGGCAGTCGCAATTGCGACCACTCGGCCAACGAGGCAGTCGATCTATTCAATCAATTCAATGTTTTTCAATAAAACAAAAATAGGGCGATAGAAAAAAACGAGAAACAAAAATCCTGTTTGTATGTTTGTCTAAGTACTTTATCTATTGACACACACGTTAATTTTCGGAACGAATGGACGGATTTTAATTTTAATTTTATTTATCTACCTAGCAAATAATTTGTTAACAGTCAAGATAAATAAAATCTGCATTAAGTCACTATTCTACGCGGATCAAGTTGCAGGCAGGCTATTCATGACTACATATACTGGAAGTTTTTAAGTAAATCACATAACATCATTATCCTCATTAGTTTTTTCAGGAACCTCTTTGGTAACTTCAACAATGAATTTTTCGGGTTCGAAGTCCGGATTCAATTTTTTGGACCTGATCATTTCCCTATAAATGAACGCAGATTTTCTCGGAGTCCGCGTCTTCTGTTGACTTGAGAAGTCCACTTCGTAAAGGCCGAACTTTTCTCTGAAAAAAAAAAATACTTATTAATAGTTCATTCATGTTAATATTAAACTGCAAATCATTGAAATTAGGTTTGTAAACAAGCCGCTCAGAAGATAATAGCTGACGGCACGGTTGGTGCGGTGGCTGGGCAAACGGCTGCCGTGCAACGTCTCGCGAATTCGATTCCCGCACGGAGCAACTCTTTGTGTGATCCACAAATTGTCGTTTCGGGTCTGGGTGTAATGTGTATATGAACTTAGTATGTTTGTAAACATACCCACGACACAGGAGAAAATCGGAGGCTGGGGCAACATTGCTTTTTTAAAAAAAAGAGAAACCCATCTCTTAAGCAAGGTTAATTTTTGAGCATTGGCCGTCGTCTTCTAATCTAGGGAGAAGGGCGAATGCGGGATGCCCTTACACATTTACAGAAAGAGTGGTGTGGTAAAAGCCTACAGATGATTGGTGGCTATTATACTGATGGATATTTACTTTGCAGTCAGGACACGGCTTAAGTATTAATTTACCCTTTTACCATCAAAATATTTGACTATCAAATTCAAGATACTTACAAATATCCACTTCGCCATTCAAAAGTGTCTATAAGAGACCAAACACTGTATCCCTTGATGTCACAACCTTCGTAAATAGCGTCCAGTAAAGCATTGAGGTAGGTCCTCAAATAGTTGATCCTGTCTTCATCAAGCAGACCTCCCGCTGAAGACCAGCCGTTAGCAGTTATAAACACTGGTGGATTGTCATACAAAGATTTAATTTCATTCAGAAGCTTGAAAAATCCCCATGGCACTTCCTGAAATGTATATGATCAAAATATTATTGTCAATGAATTTATTTGCCTGCAAGCCGCAAGTGCGATTGCCGGACTCAGGGTCTCAGTCGAATCCTGGACCAGGCAAAGTATTATTAGGTTTTTAAATACTTCTCAGTAGTAGCACGGGGTCTTGAATTCTGCCCGGTATATGGCAATAGGTTCACCCCCTATTACATGGGACTCATAACATAAGCAGTAAAAAGTGGGTGTTACATTGTAACAGTGCCAACAACTACATTAAGTGCCTTAGAGTGTACATTACAGAGGTGTACCTCTGCCTACTCCTTCGGAGATAAAAGGCGTGATTTATTTCCCCAAAGGACTTGGTAGAGTTGACACGCATCTTTCGAAAGGTACACACATAGGTCTGTTACAGTAATTATGAAGACTGATCTGGTAAAAAGAAACGATTAATAACCGGAACCTGTGTTCTTTTTCTACTCTTTCATCCAATCATGATATCTTCTGATTTGTATCGCTTTGAAAGAACGAAGATGAATACTGATAATGTCCCTGAGACACATCGGTACCCAGACTTCAGTATTTTGGTACTATTTTGATTGACCCTGGCTTACATGAGACGGGAATTTATTTCTTTTTATGACTTTCTTTGGTCTCTATTCAGTTTCTAACGGAAATACCAAACAAAATGAGAGCACAATAGACAGTAGTACACAATACAATACAATACTGGGGTGTATTGTTTACAGAAATGTTGATATTATGAATGTGGTATACCAATACCACATGCATATACACACAAAGGACACCAGTCCTTTGTATAAAACTTACCTGTAACCAGCTGCTTTCTGACTGCGTCCATGAGGGATCCTTGACCAACACAGCTCCCATATCATCCTTGAAGGAGGGCACAGGGTACATGCCCTCTAAAGATGCATCCCTGTACGCTAGCTTCGAAGTAAATGCATTAACTCCTAGAAAGTCTGCTGATCCCCTAATCAGAGCCACCTCTACAGGAGAAAGTTCTATTAACCGAGACCTAGGGAAACTCTGTTCTGCACTCTTGTATGCTACACTTTTCTTCACTTCTTGCGGATAGTCACCAGCTTTTGAAAATATTGGATGTGCGTATAGGCCCCACTGAAAGTACAAACAATAGCTATTTTAAGTAACAGTTGGGAAAAAATATGGTCATCCTCATAGAGTATTGTTTATTTGTTTGTTTAACTCGTCGAGTACCGGTTTTATAGACACAATTAAAGAACAATAGGTCGCGGTCACCGGTGACCGCTTGGTGTTTGACAGTTTAATGAAAACAATAGTATAAAATACTAGCTTCTGCTCGCGACTTTGTACGCGCAATCCCGTTTTCTCCCGTTTCTATAAGATTTTCAAGATTTTTTTCTATCATAAGAACCTTTTCCTGACAATAACAAACACAACAAAATTAATCAGCCAAATCGGTCTAGCCGTTCTCAAGTTATGGCGTGACAACGGGAAACGGGTTTCATGTTTATATATACTTGTTTAGGAGAGTCATTACACCGTCCAGTTATTTCACTAACCTCAAACTGCCTGGCATCTTCTGCAGCCTGGTGATCCTCAGCCGTATCAGACGTGGGTTCATACCATGCGAATCCAAGAGAAATCCCAATACTTCCATTTTGTGTTTTCCTCAATTCTTCGTCATAATAATGATAGGCTTTAGCATGAGCCAATAATACGTTACGAGTGCACATGTACTCAGCTACGCCAGAAATGTTTATGAACGGAGCCTTTTGTGCAGATCCATATCCACTAACACATATTTCTCTAGGGTCATCAAAAGTAATCCAATACTTGACCTTCTCACCAAATCCTATAAACAGGAACTTCGCATAATCAACGAAAATGTCAACTATCGCAGGATTGGCCCAGCCTCCGATTTTTTGCAGATTATTAGGGAGATCCCAATGGTATATCGTTACCATTGGAATAATATTTCTGGCCAAAAGTTTATCTATAAGTTCATTGTAGTAGTCCATGCCAAGATGGTTTATTTTGTCAGAGAATCCGTTGGGCAGGACCCTGGGCCATGAGATGGAGAATCTGTAGAAGTCCAAGCCTAGGTCTGAGGCTACTGTCACATCTTGGTGGAATCTGTGGTAGGAATCTGCTGCTACGTCTGCTGTGGTCTCGTCTTTAATTAGGGTAGGATCTGAGTGACAGGCTACATCCCAGATAGATGGACTTTTACCTGTGAAGGGTTAAATTTACGTGAGAGCCACTGAAATCGTGCTTCTAGTAGAAGAATATGACATTTTATGAGTAGTTATTTCCTTTGTTATGACCCGGTAACATGGTAGACATATGAAACGATTGAATTGTTTTATAAACAATTCGAGTTTTTCGATTGAGGAATTCTTAACGCCAGCTTAGAATATTATCTGAAAAACTACCTTAATTCTAGACAAATTGGAGTATGAAATGTTTCTGAAAATACTACTGTAAGGAACCTTACCGTCTTCATGCCACCCTCCTTCTACTTGGAAGGCAGAAGTTGCCGCCCCAAACATGAACTCCGGAGGAAAAGGACGTGATTTACTTTTGCAAGATACTTTGTCACTTATTATAGTGAATACGCTGTGAATGTTAAAAAATACATATTATAAAAGTCCCAAAAGGAGGAGAAAACACTTGTTTTAGGACTCGTCTGAATTTGCGGAACAAAACTGGAGTGTCTGTTTGTAATATTGAAATAACTGCTTTTTACTACATGCACATAAATATACCTACACACGATACATATATCAAAATAACACTTTGTAAAATTTTTGGCTGTCTGTCTATTTGTCCTGGCTAATCTCTGAAATGACTGGTCTGATTTTGACGGGAATTTTATTAGCAGGTAGCTGATGTACTAAGAAGTAATAGAGGCTACTTTTTATTTTAGAAAAAAAATACACGAAGTTCCAGGTACAGCTAGTTATATATATGAAAACGATTTCCCTTTTTTAAAGACCTTTATATAAGTTTGAAAATATGTAAGTAGTAGGAAATATGAAGAACAGACTAGATAAATATGATTCTAATATTACCAGAGTACAATCGCGCGGATGTTCATTGTTCAGAGGTTCACAGCGTACTACGCGAGTGTCATCATAATACAAGCACTTTTGTTATGCAGTGGGCTATTCTGAAATTAATTCTGACTAAAGATTTATTTTTTATAGGATAAACTGGTAAACAAGCAGACGGATCCCCTGATGGTAAGCAATCGGCGTCGCCCAAGGACAACTGGAACACCAAAGGCGTAACAAGTGTGTTACCGGCCTTAGGATGAGGAATTTGAGGATTGTTGCGAATTCAGGGATTGGGGACGGGGGGGACGGGTAATTCGGCCTCCGGTAACCTCACTCACATAACGAAATACAACGCTGGCGTTGTTTCATGTCGGTCTTCTGTGATGCCGTTGTATCATCCCGTCGAGACGGCTCATTCGTGCCGAAGCATGGCTCGCACACACTTAGGTGGTTCACTGTTGGATTACATGCCTCGTCTACATAAGAAGGGCTTTCTATTTGTTTTTCTGTTATACGTAGGTACGGAGGATAATAAATGGCAATAGACACTCCCTTCACTTGGGACTCACATTCCGTGGCAAAACTGGGCGTTTACATTTGACATCTAGTACTCCAGGAAAAGTAGGTACCAAAGGATTTGCCGCGACCAAGGTCGTTGAGAAAATGGCGGACATAATGCCACTTAGAAATGATTGAAGCACCAAAATGTCAGTGGTCTTTTATGTGTGCGTGTGTAATGGTTACCACGTTAGCAGACTTAAGAAAATGACAAATGTCCTTCGTGTCAATGTGTTCATATTCTGCGTTTAGCTCTATAGTAACTGGTTTTGGTTTATACGACCTTTCTACCCAAAGGTTTCATTAAGGTGGCACTTGGCTAGCACTCCAGGTACCTACCACAGTCTTTGTTTCAAGAGACTGTGTCCGCCTTCTGTTCAACGTTTTTGGCCGTGATATATGTAGTTAATCTAGTCTGAAAAAAAAACAGGCCGATTTTATTTATTGGTTTCTTAAGCGTACTGCCAAGGAGTGGAATTCTTTTGCCAGAGTCTGTATTTCCTGAAGGGTATAACCTGGCTGTCTTCAAGGCCCGAGTGAATAGGTTGCTTATGGAACGACGTGATCCATCGTAGATTGCATCATCGCTTTTTTTTTAAGGCGGGAAAATCATCAAATGACTGCTCCCGCCTGGGTGTGGCGGGAGGGAGTGTCAGACTCTTACTGACTAAAACCACCCCGTTCCTTCTCTTGCACGTCGAGCCGGAGCCCAGGTTACCCGTTAGGTTCTCTGCATCATCGCTTACCACCAGGCAGTGTAATGGTCAAACGTTGGTCTATTAAATATAAAAAAAACTTTCAGAATAGTCCATTAAACATAATATTTTGATTAGCCTGGTAACCAATCAGAATTAACAATACATTCTTCCGAGGTAGTACAATGGTACACCCACGACACGACCCCTGTTACCTGTTGAATAGGATGGGTCCCACTGCCACAATTGATTTGTTCCGTAGTTCAAAAGGTAAATAATCACATCCTAATGCATACCCGTGCTCATCCATAGCAACTTTGGTGCATGGCAATAAATCCATGGCGATGAAGTCATGATACCCATAAACTGGCAAAAAGTGGATCTCTTCTGTATTTATATCTCGTTCTAAATAATCACATCCTAATGCATACCCGTGCCCATCCATAGCATCTTTGGTGCATGGCAATAAATTCATGGCGATGAAGTCATGATACCCATAAACTGGCAAAAAGTGGATCTCTTCTGTATTTATATCTCGTTCTAAATAATCACATCCTAATGCATACCCGTGCCCATCCATAGCATCTTTGGTGCATGGCAATAAATCCATGGCGATGAAGTCATGATACCCATAAACTGGCAAAAAGTGGATCTCTTCTGTATTTTTTTTTTTTTTTAATATTGTAGATTATTTCTCCACGGACTCTAGGTCCGTGCCCTTGTCATACAGTTTTTTAATTATAATACATCTAGTCAATTTTTATAAAGTAAAGTGGGAACCTAGTTACATACTACAATTAACTACATCTATAATTATTAGCAAAAGTATAGGTTACATAATAATTAGGCACTATTTATTTATTTCTATTTCAAAGGCTTTATGAAACCAGCCCACCAACAAGATGGGAGAGCCGACCTGACCCAGCAGAAGGCACCCGTTCACGAGTATGACGTGTGTGTCAGCAATTGGTCCGGTCAACCTTTTTATTGGGAACGGAACAACCCAACACACAGCGCCACCGACTGTAGGACATTTATGTGTGCATGACGCCTCAACCCTTGCCACATGGGCCGATTCCAATAAAGCGTACAATAGTCCAAAGTCAATTGGTCATATTCTATTTCTACATGTTTCTGCACACACATTTCCTCATGTTGCATTCGTTCCATCACAAGCAACACTCCCCGCCCAAGAGAGCACCCATGACTGCCGCGTCCCTGTGTTTGATGGCCATTTTCAGGTTGTAGTCCTTAATACCTGCTCACCCTCATCAGCCGCCTTCCTGATTAGTTTGCTTATCGCGTCTTCACTGTTGTCTGTGTAATAGATGCAACCATGCGTGTGACGCGATATTGCTACTACCGCGTGTGGTACGCTGTCATGTATTTGATGTTTCTTTGTTGCTGTGTTGACAACAATCACATTCGCACACGAAAGTCCCTGTGCCTCGTGTATCGTGAGCACGCGTGATCCCACGGTCGACCCGTATCCCTGGTTCTTAAGGGATTCCTTCTCTGCCTGAGTGTGTACCAGGTATAAAGTGTCGGGGAGTGACTTTGGAATCATCGCCCCCGAGAACCTTTTTATCTCGAGGGATCTCACGAACGACCTGGACGAATATATGCCACTGTAAACTGTGCTGAGGGCATACGCCACATCCATTGGATTTCTGTGGGTACACATCAATTCCTGGCTTATGGGCGTGATATATGTAGGGCGGCTGTAGAGTAGAGGGAAGAGGTTATCACGATCTATAAACGGAAGCTGATTTATGTCACCAATTAGAAGGACTTCCTTGGCTCGAGTTATTCGGGCGGCCATCACAACGGCTCCAAAGTGGTTCATGAGAGCCTCATCTACCATTAGTCGATGGCAGCTCTCTCGCTCCCCCAAGCCGTTTACTAGGATGGACGCCATTGTTCGAACCCTAGATTTGACGAGTCCTCCGATTCGGCAGGATAGTTTGCCTCTGAGGTCATTTGCTGCTTCGGTTGTCGTGGTGACAATTAGATCTTTGCCCGCTTCAAATTGATCTACTATCCATGTCGTTTTTCCGCAACCAGGGACGCCATTTGTCCAGCGAAACGTCGGAGTATGCCAGTCTCCAAAAACTTCGCCGTCTGATCCAGAATCAGAAATGGATCTTGCCATCTCTAATATTCTATCGTCCAGCATAATTCTGGTGCATTTGGCAACCACTACTAGGGAATCCCCTGGAGGAGTTTTAAACTTTAACACTCCGCATCGATCGGATTCCCTCTCGTCCAGAGACACAAATCCGGCAGTTGCGTTATAAGCAGCCATACTTCGAGTTATAGAGGTTCCTCTCAGTACCCTCGAGGTGTTGTTGTCGTATATGACTGCTTCTGCTGCTTCGAGTCTATCGTTCAGTATTAGCTCGTTTCCTTGCAGGTAAGTCTGCAGAATGGATTCGCATTTCCGCATGTTGACTGCCTGGTTGCCTCCACCACTGCGGTAAACTCGAGAAAAGCATTTACGACATGGTCTCTGGTAGTGGACGCTTGTCGAAGCCTCGGCGGACAAACGTGACCCATAGCTGCTCTTGTTGGTGATGACCTGGGGGGAGGAGACTGTATTTGTGCGCCTCCTGATCCTTGAGCAGATTTAACCACATTTTTTCTGAAGGGTGACGAAATCAGTCCGGTTACTGAGCATATGGCCGCTGTTATTGCCCACACTCTACCTCGTGATTCTAATTTTTTATTTTCCCTCTCGGTGTTTTGTTGGTGTTGTTGCAGAGCGCTTTGTTGCCTATATCTTTGTTGTAGACGCTCTGAGCCGCTTGGAGAATCCACCCTTAGCGCGTATCGAACTGGCTTTTTGAGGAAACTCAAGTCCTCACCCCTGTTCTCGTACACGATGACTTCATGATGTTCTGAAGCCCTGACGCATCCTATAAGGTCTGCCGTTCTCCCCTTCTCATAAGCTACCACGGCAGCGTCCACACTAATTATTCTGGGACTCATACCCTCGACCTCTCCCCGCCCACCCATGTCCGACAGCACACCGCAAGCTTGTTCAAAACAAGTCATTGAGTCGACGCTGGAGAACATTGCAATTGTTTTATTGCGTGTTCGCAGTAGTCGACAGCTCCGACCCAACAGTTGCATTTCTGGCAGCGCATCGTATGTTTTGCGCCGCATACTTGTCTTGGATGTGCTGCCATTCATTAGGGAGGCTAAGCCGGGTGAAATAGTAAGCCATTTGCTGTTCTTGCTTTCGCAGAAGGCTATCCCTAGCCTTTCGCTGCTGGTGTTCATGAACAGAGCTACACTTCGTAGCCGTATTCCTTTGGAGCCGCATTCTCCATGCAAGAGTATTTGCCTCTCATTGATGGTGTGCGGTTCAGTGGTACGGGCGATCTCGGATACTGCCATGGAAGTATTTGGTTGATTCTCCAAGTTGGCTATTCGATTTGTATTATTTAATGTGCTGTTTCTTTCAGCCGCCCTGTTGAAGATGGTTTCAATGTAGCTCAGAAAATGCGGTCTTTTGGTTTTATCAGCCAGAATGGCACTCAGATTTGAGGAATCCAGATTTGCATCTATTACATTTTCTAAGTTGGTTCTGGCGGCTAGAAAACGAGGACACTCTAGAATAATGTGCCATACAGACTCACTGATAGTTGGATCGCATTCGCAACCTGCACTTTCTTTTAGTTTAAATCGATGCAGATATTCAGCGATCCCTCCATGTCCAGTCAGCGCCTGAACTTGGGCAGGTGTCAACTTTGTTGATCTCACTATTCGATATGCCTCATGGACATCTGGGAGAAACGTTTTAGTCACCTGCCCAGTAGTTGAGGTGGTATACCTGTCCTGCCACTTACGGATAGTTTCGTCCCTAATTTTCTTTTTGACATAGGACATGGGTATTCTACAGTAGTCTGCCGTGGTGTTATTTTTCTGTTTGGCAGCGGTTTTAGCTAATTCGTCTGCCCTCTCATTTCCAGCCGTTCCAACATGGGCCCTCAGCCAGTAGAATCGAATCTCTCTTCCATGTTCCGTTATGGTCTCCAAACACTGCTTTATCTCCTTGGCCAAACAGTGGGTAATCCTGGGATTCTTCAAAACATCGAGGGAGGACCTAGAGTCACTAAATATGTTTACTCTAGTCGCTCCATTGTCGAGAACCATTTTAGCCGCTCTGTTCAAAGCGTATAGTTCAGATTGGAAAACCGTGCAGGAAGGGTCTAAACTAAAAGTGGAAAACATTAATTCTGCTGCCATCTGTGTATAATTGAGGGCCGGCAATATTTTGGACGAGAGGAGATCCAGAGTCATCGTTCTCCAGGAGCTCATAGTTGATAGACATTAATTTTGAGGGATGTGGCTGGTCCAGGTAATGGACCCGCTTTTCAAGCTCCTTTTGAGGTGGTAAGTAGTCCAGAGAGAATCCTCTTTTAATTCGATACAAACTGGCAGATTCCTGGACTCTCAGATCGAGTGGGAGAGTTCCGGACAAGATTGTTGCTGATGTGAGCGACACTGTACGATAAGCTCTACAGATTTTTTGTGTGAATCCCCTTTGAAGAGCATTTAACTGTTTTTTGATCACCTGTAGCTCCGTCACTGGGGCCCACACGTTTGCGGCGTAAAGTACAATCGGCTCAATGACCGCGACGTATATTGTTCTCGTTATTTCCCGTTGAGACCCCACGTCACCTTGGCTGCGCGTGCTAGCTGTTTGTAAATGTCTGCAGCTTTCTTGCATATGGCAGATATATGTGACCTGAAGGTGAGTTTTCTGTCTATAGTGAGGCCTAAGAGCTTTACCTCTTCTACGAGATTTATTCTGGTGCCTGCCATAAACAGGTCTGGGGGCTCAAAAACACGCCTTCTTGTCAGCAGCATAGCGTTCGTTTTACTTGCCCCGAATCTGAGCTTGTTGCTGACCCCCCAGGCTGCTACTAGTTCCAGGGCACCATTTACCGATTGCTCCAATGCACTCACTTTATAGTTCGAGAACAAGAGAACCACGTCGTCCGCAAAAGCCTGGCAGTAAACTCCCTCTCCTGTGAGTCTGTGTAGCAACGGATCGAGGACAAGGTTCCAAAAAGTAGGTCCACCTACGGACCCTTGAACGCAACCCTTATTAGTCTTCTTTTCGCTGCTAGCTCCGGCAAAATTTACTTTCACTTTCCGTTCGTTGAGGTAGGAGTTCACCATAGCGTACAGGTTTCTCGGACACTTTCTGGCTATGAGCTGATGTTTCAGGGCTGGCCACCAGGCATTGTCAAAGGCACCCTCTATGTCCAGTGACACCAGGACGACGGTCTTTTTTTCGTTCATTTCAGTTTTTATGCGGTCAACCAGATCATAGAGTGCGTCCTCCGTTCCACGTTGAGGTAGGAATCCATACTGGTTCTTGTGAAGAGTTGGAAGGATGTGCCATTGGATTCTGCCTATCATCAATTTCTCGACTATTTTCCCAAAAACAGACAGAAGTCCAATTGGTCTGTAGGACTTTGGATGGGTATAGTCTTCTTTGCCTGGTTTCCGAAGAATTATAACATGCGCAGACTTCCACTGCTTCGGGAAGTATGCCCACTCCAAGCATGAATTCGCTATAGCAAGAAACACCTCCCGCCCACAATGGATTGCCTCTGCGCATATATCAGCTGTCAGACCGTCGGCTCCGGGGGCCTTTTTAGAGTTGGTCGCATTTAAAACCAAATTCAATTCAGCCTGAGTAAAGTGGGGGTCATTATCTGACAGCTCGTCGATCTCATCCAGGCACCTTCCTTTAACGGAAAAGCACGAAGGTCAGCATGGCCGGAATTGTCTGTTGTTATAGTGTCATCAGGATAAAAAGTTTTAGCCAGCAATTCTGCTGACTTGTCTGGGTTTAGTGTCAGACCCTCAGAATCTCTGAGCAGCGTATCCTCCCTGTATTTTGTTGTTTTCCTGATGACTCTGTATATCCCGTCCCACATGCTTTCCCTCTTCTGAGCCGAGCAGAACTCCTTCCAACTCTTTGTCTGTTCTTCGCCTGCTTTCGACGTGTACGCTTCTTTTGCCTGTAAGTATTCGTTAATGACGAACTGTTTGCGAGAGGGAGCTGCGTTCCTTATTCTCCTTTTTTTTCGAAGCACATCATTTTTGAGATCCTCTAAAGAGCTTGTCCACCAAGGGGGTTTTGATTTCCCTTTTTTTGGCTTATTTTTAGGGATTGTGATATTGCATACCTCCGTGATTGTGTTTGTATATGCTGTTATCATGGCTTCTAGTTCCTCAGAGGACCGGACATTCCTGATGTTTTGTGGAGTTATTTGCTTCTTTGCTAGGGAATCTCGAAGGTGTGATCTAAATTTGGTCCAGTTTGCAATTTTAGTGTTGTAGACTCGCGTTGTTGTGGGCTTTGGGGGGTCTAGTGCTTTTTGTAACTGCAAGTCAAACTTAATGGCATTATGGTCAGAGGTTGTAAGGTCTCTATTCACCATCCAGTTTTGGATTTTTGCTAGTAAGGGTGTACTGCAGGCCGTAACGTCCACTATACTTGCAAAAAATCGATCCCTTCTGAGCGCTTCAAAAGTTGGTGTATCCCCAGTGTTGAGAATGTGGAGGTCCATTTCATTTAGGAACGAATTGTAGTCCGCTCCCCTCTGGTTCTCCGAGGCACTGCCCCACCATGGGCTCCAGGCATTCACGTCTCCAGCTACGATAATATTTTTGGTTGTAAGTTTTGGTATGGACTCCTTTAAGCGCACCAGATTGAGGTTTATGTCTTGGTCCCCCTCAAGGTAAACCGATATCACTCCAAGCTGCAGGCTGCCTGACACAAGCAGTACGGCTGCTTCAGTTTCCGTTACAAGCTGAGGATCATGTATGATCTCCAGCTGATCCGAGAAAACCATAACGGCCGCCTTTACTGGCTTTTGGCGATTCAAAGTGCACTGGATTATTTTTGTGCCAGGGTATTGTTGCATTTCGCCGGTGTTCCCTACATAGGGTTCCTGAACCAAAGCTATCGAAATACCCTTTCTCTCCGCTACTTGTGCCAGTTCTATGGTCGCTAGCTTTGAGCGATGCAGGTTAGCTTGGATGACACGAATCCTGCCAATGTTCACCTTTGAAGGAGTTCCGTCCCGGTTTGCCCGGTCAACCTTAGCAATATGATATGCGAGAGCGTGCTATAGCATTCCATTTTTGCCGTTCTCGACAGACGTCGCTGAAGGCATTGTGTGTTATGTCTGAGCCGACACCCTGCGCCCTCAAGCAATTCCTGCACACTGGCGGTTTGTGCATCTCTTCTGTATTTATATCTCGTTCTAAATAATCACATCCTAATGCATACCCGTGCCCATCCATAGCATCTTTGGTGCATGGCAATAAATTCATGGCGATGAAGTCATGATACCCATAAACTGGCAAAAAGTGGATCTCTTCTGTATTTATATCTCGTTCTAAATAATCACATCCTAATGCATACCCGTGCCCATCCATAGCATCTTTGGTGCATGGCAATAAATCCATGGCGATGAAGTCATGATACCCATAAACTGGCAAAAAGTGGATTTTTTCTGTATTTATATCTCGTTCTTTGTTTTTAGTTTCGGTTATTATTTTAATGTATATATTTTGTTATGCTTTAATAATTTTTGTTCATTTCTTTTTTCTTTTAAATCTATTATTAATGTTTTGTTTTTATTTAGGTATCTATATTTTTTATTTCTATTTTAATGATCCTTGTTTTCGTGTGCCAATGGCCAAATAAATGCATTTCCTTTCTTTCTTCTTTCTATTTAATTTGTAGAATTAGCCGTTTGGTATCAGCCAAAGACTAATATTAGACACTGTACCTACATTCTAGTTTTGTTATCAAACAATCTTAGTATCTTACATAGTAACCCAGTGACTGTCTAATTGTTGCTTGTTGTTGATGTTTTTTTTTGTGGGATAGTAAACAAAGCTAATCTCAGAAAACTGGTGTGAAATAACGCTTGCTTTGTGTCTGTGAGAGGTTACCGGAGACCCCCCCCCCTCCCCCAATCTCCCCAGTACTCAAATCTCTGAACCTCAAAAGGCTGGCAATGCACTTGGAACTCCTCTGGTGTTGCGTGTGCCTATGGGCGACGTCAATTGCTTACCATGAGGTGATCGGTTTGTTCGTTTCGTTCGAAGTGTCGTGTGATGTTTTTTCTATTATATAAAAACTCAAATGAAAGAAAAAATACTTTATTTAGCCTCAAAAAATACATTCAAATACAATTAGGTACACAAATAATTTATGCAGACACAGTGATTCAAAAATATCTCTTAGGGACATAAAATTTTAAAAATACAATATTACATCTATTTCTTATTTCTTTAAGTTTTTTTTAATAACTTTCTTTAAATTATAATAGTTTGTCATTTGTATTTTCTCGGTGAGTAATATTTTGAATAATGTCTGAAAGAAAAACAAACAAATTGTTAATCTACTATATAAAAATAAAAATAAGTCGGGTTTTCCTTCCTGACGCTATAACTCTAGAACGCACGAACCGATTTCCACGGTTTTGCATTCGTTGGAAAGGTCTCGGGCTCCGTAAGGTTTATAGCAAAGAAAATATACTAATCACCAAACGAAATGTTAAATAAAACGAAGCCATCTGGTGTCGAAACGGAGTTCGCCGGATTTGCTAGTTTTGTATAGATTTGTTTTACTATTTTTATATTTCGAGTCTATTAGACTTATGCTTACCGATGGTTTGTATGTCTAGGAGTGTGTCTTCTACGAGGAGATTCTGGTTCTGGGAACCATTTCCTTGGAGATATCTGTAACATTATAATCAGTGAAGTTAGATTATTTCTTTTTTATTATTTTATTGATGTGGTTTGGCTGCCTCTTAGCGCCACGTATTAAGCAAAAATTACAGTTGCCCTCTACTAAGAAGAGAGGTCGTCTCTGATATTTTTTGATGATAGGTATTCTAATTTGACACCACTAGATTGAGATGAGCCACCGTGTCAATAGTTTTACAGCATAATATATCATAATATACTAACTTGTCTTCTTGGAGAGTAGCAATCTTCCAGCCTTTTTGTTTTGCGATGGTGATCTGTGAAAATCAATAGGTATCAACAATAGACATTGTTTCTTATAATGAGTGAGGTCATTGCTCGTAATAAAACCTTTATATTGTGACCATATTTTACTTAGTATCTTTACACACACGCACCCACTGTAGTAGATTCGCCAATAGACATGGAAAAACTGCGACCAACCGTCAAGGGATAGGAAATTCAAAGTCAAATCAATTGTTTCAATTAGATCAAAAGACACTTTTGAAGGTAGAAGCAGCTTACTCTACATTTTTGCTGACCGAAATGTGTTCTTCAAGATCAGGCTGATGCATAGAGTAATCTATAAACACCCACAAATCCATAGGAATTACAGATGCTTAGTCAGCATTTAACTCGTCGAGTACCGTATTTATAGACACAATTAAAGAACAATAGGTTGCGGTCACCGGTGACCGCTTGGTGTTTGACAGTTTAAAAAGGAGTAAGTATGTGTGTAGTAGATTATGTCATTACCATTGCTAATGGCGTAACTAAACCTTTCAGGGCCAGTGGCAAATTTATCAGATGGGCCCCCCTTCCCAATAAGAAACAGAGAAGATCAGATAAAAGCCTCTAACTGCCCTATTTAGCTGGGGGGTCTATAGTATCTTGCTGACGTACCATCCTGTAGTTACGCTACTGATCATGGCAAACGGTGTTTAAGGACGAGGTCCATGTTCACTGCCTCGTTGGCCGAGTGGTCGCAAGTGCGACTGCCGGGCAAGGGGTCTCGGGTTCGATTCCCGGGTCGGGCAAAGTATTAATGGGTTTTTAAAAAAAAATCTCAGTAGTAGCACGGAGTCTGGAAATGTGCCTGATATATGGCAATAGGCTCACCCCCTAGTACATGGGACTCATAACACAAATAGTGAAAAGTGGGTGTTACATTGTACAGTGGCATTAAGTGCCGAAATGTGCACCTCTGCCTACCCCTTCGGGGATAAAAAGGCGTGATGTTATGACCATGTTCAATAGTGAACGTCTTCTTGATGATGATGATTGGAGCTGATAAGGATTAAACTGAGACTTACTTCTTCTTGTACCCAAGGGAGATCGCAACTTCTCCTTTTCCTGATACCTTGGTATTTGAGAGACGCAGTTGAACTCCATTTGAGCAGGAAGGAAGTTGTAGGCAAAGAGCTCATTGTAGTACCTTTGAGACTGAAACATTGACAGGAAGTAAAAGTAATATTTAACATTTATTGTTATTATAATAAGAGTGTGTTCTATTGTATTTTAGAAAAAGGATCGGCACGAAAAGGACTTGTAATGACTATGTTATTATAGACATTAATATGAAATGGAATATAATATGCTGTACTTACTTCAAGGAGATAACGAGACGGAGACATGATATCATTGACGCCGGGTACGAAACCTAGAAACAAAGAAAATCGAACATTTAATACAATTTAAAAGCTGGAGAAGACAACATCTTACTTTTTACTTTTGTCTGACATAAACGTCAGGGTATCGAATTCAGGGTTTTCCTCTAGATATAAAGAGATTGAACTGGAAGCTTCTGAGAATTTTGACTATTCTCTGAATTATTGACTACAGGCTGTGTAGTCTGACGTACAAACACGAAGGTATAAGATAGTAATCACAAAACGGATTGTGAGAGCCAACATTATGGCTGCAAAGGTCACCGTTTAAGACTCACCCGTAGGTATAATCTGCGTCCTACTCCTAAAAGTAACGATCCTACCGTCGGTCGTCACTCCACAGGTTCTCCTCCTCTTCTGAATATCCCTCAACTCCTTCAACTCCCTCCACTGCTTCAAATCCCTCTTATCTCTCTTCTGCTTCTCAATCATATACCCTTTCTTCTTCTCTAGAATAATTTCTTCACTCTTTCTTTCTACTAACGGACTCCACCAATCTTGTGTAACAGTGCCTGTGTCACAGAGTCTAGTTTTGTCTGTAATGGTGGATTGATTGGTTTTTGTGACGACTTTTACACGAAATTTTCTGAGTCTTGGATTGTCTTCATAGTCGACGGTGGCTAGGCTGCACACTGTTGTGTCAGTGTGTGTCTTTTCATCACTTCTGATCGATATGGAACTGATAGAAGAGTCAGACACTGTGTCTGTAAAAACGTCAGTCAATTCTCTTGTCGCGTGCGAGCTGCCTGGAATAAAGGATCCTTTTAAGATTCGTGTCTTTTTGGGTTTTTCCAGACTGACATGGGAAGCACATAATAACAGGCATATTTCGAACTCACGATTTAAAAAAAATAAGCTACTTTCTAGGGAAAGTTTTTGATCCCGTTTGGACACTCCCGATTTCGCATCTAAAACAAGAAAAGTACGTACAATATAGATATGAATTTATGTATATCTATCATCGTGTTCGTATATATCGCAGTAGCGAAAAGTCTTTAACGTAACAGGTACGTAACTAAGTAGTGAGTCGAGATTAGATATTTTGAATGAACTCACCTTTGCTCTTCTTCCTTCGATGTTTCGAAAAGTAGGTACCTTTGTGGGCCATACCTGAAACACATATTTGTCTTTGTTTGGTACCCTTAACCGAAGAGCATGCATGAAAAGATTGATGACTAACGCGAAAAAGGTATGTAGGAATCGTAGCAATTGGCGTTCCATAGTCTCTTCCTGGGAGAAACTGGCGTGAAGTTATGTGTGTTTATTATATATGTATGATTGAATGTTTCCTCGCCTAGTGTGCCATCTTGCCACCTAATTCTAGCAACATACTGCGCTTAGCAGAATTTTAAGAATCTTTTCAAAAATGCAAACCGCAATGAAATAGTGATTTTTAACTAATCTAGTGGATTAAAATGTCAAAATAATTGCTATTAGAGTGTGGAAACATCTTATTACTATAGCTCTACTTACGTCTGTGTTGATTCTTCTTAGTTCCAAGATGATACTCGTCGTCTAGAGTAAAGGAGCTGACGACGAAAGGGGTGATTGTAGTCGCTGCCTTTTTACCGAATGGAAATTCGTGTTGAGTCGCACAAGTGCATGTCTCCTGTGTACAGCCTTGAATTCCTTCGTCTAAAAAAACATAATTTCAAGAAGTTTTATTTATGGCATAAGCCAGTAAACGAGCAGACGGATCACCTGCTGGTAAGCAATCGGTGTCGCCCATGGACACCTGGAACACCAGAGGCGTTACAAGTGCGTTACCGGCCTTTTGGGGATTAGGAGTTTGAGGATCGTTGTGGATTCAGGAATTGGGGAGATTGGAGAAGGGGAGGGTAATTGGGCCTCCGGTCACCTCACTCACACGACGAAACACAACGCAAGCGTTGCTTCACGTTGGTTTTCTATGAGGCCGTGGTATCACTCCGGTCGAGCCGGCCCATTCGTGTCGAAGCATGGCTCTCCCACAATTAAAGATGTGAAGTTGGTGACCAATCTTTTATAATAATACCTAATTATTGAATATTAGCTTCTGCCAGTGACTTCGTCCGCATTCTCATAGGATACAAAGGCCTATATGTTATTCCAGAGCAGAATCTAACCTGTTTTAAACTTCATCTTGATCCTTTCAGTCATTTTGACAGAATAACAAACGTACGTACAATCTCAAAAACTTTCGCTTTTATTAATAGTAGGAGTAGGATATTAGGAAGTAGGATTGGTCACTTTCTCTTGTTGCATTTGGGGAGTTTCGGAGGTTCATTTGCTTGTGAGCAAAAAAAGTCCTATCAGACGCAACCATTCAGAATCTAACAGAGAAAATTGGCACTATAGTGACAGGACTGCAAGGTTATGCTATATTTCCTCGACAAACGGCCACTTAGGTATAGGCTGTTGATGTGTATGAAGTTCTTATCGTAATTTTTATCCACAGATTTCAAAATGAGATAGTATATTAACTTCGGCGTTTATTGAGTAACAATTAGATTCTTGTACAACGTACCACGCAAATTCCGTACAGATGACGATCCCACGGCAGTATTAATTGAAAGGGCGCATCTAGGTAATTTTTCAAAGCGTACAACTGCGTTCTTACTGCAGAAGTGACAGGAGCCTTCCACCTGACACCCTCTGGAATAGTTAAATCGTCATATCATCGTCAAGCAAAATCAAAATCCCTTATTTCAAATAGACCAGTAACAGGCACTTTTGAACGTCATACAAAAACCGAGTAATTTTTTTTTATTCCGTCTACTAATGTGCATTTGGAGTCAAAAATTTTGTTTATTTTTTTTTGAGGAGGAAAATCAGCCCCCTCTGAATGAGGCCCCGTTCCAACTCCAGCTTTTAGCCAGATGTCCACATTCTTGCGCTTTTCCACAGGCTTCGTTAAATACTATACAATTTATTTATGAAAATTTTAATTTCTTAGCTGCATATCAAACTTGGGTGACTAAACATGACTAGTTATATCACGCAGCTAATTAAATAATAGAATGTAAACCGTAACGTTAAGAACGTAATTTGTATTTTATATTATATATATATTATCTATACGAGAGTCCTCAAACGAGCCCATAATTATAAAATATCTTGAATAAACAACCTTCTTTTGCCTATGGATTATTCATCGAACAATACATACCCACATTTAGTGTCAGGCTTAGCATTTGTTCCTTGGTTCGCTGCAAAAGATGAAACTATTAAATCTAGTTCTCTTGTAATTATATTGTAAAGTAAGCAAGTTTTGTCTGTGCCTTATTGCCATGTAAGTATAGTTTTGCATATAAAAGTTAGGGACCTCGTTCACGACCATGCGCAAATGCCGTTCTGACATGGATGGGCACGTGTGTGTCCGACAAGTCGCACGTCAGTCAGTGTCTCTACTATTCATCGAGATAAAGCAAGATGGACGCGAACGTGATAAAGAATGTAAAAATGACATTGGCGCTAGTGTCGCGAACGAGTGCAAGTGCGAGTGTGAGCATATGCCACGCTCCTAAGTATTCCATCTAGTATCCATTTCAGAAAAATCTAAATAAAAAGCAATAAAAAATATAATTACCTACCTGTCTTTTTCTTTTCAATTTTCAGGCCTAAAAAAAGATATAAAAAGTGCGGTATATTGTAAAGTATTTTACATTAGTCTGAACAAATGGAATTAAGAAAATGTCAGTTACCTGTTGGTTTCGTTGGTTTTGTTGGTTTTGTTGGTTTTGTTGGTTTTTTAATCCCATGCTTCGATTGAGCCCGTGTCGCCGGACAAACCGGTGAACAGCCTAAAGAGAAGTTTTATAATCGTGTGCGTTATGACTAGCATTGTAATACAGTCCAATTTATATCTAGTCCTACTCCCGCATGGTTCACCCGCTGATTGGCTGCCTTTGATCCTACTGTAATGTTTTAAATCCTACCTTCCTCGATAAATGGACTATTCGCTAACACAAAAGTAATAATTTAATTCGGTCTAGTATTTCCGGTGGTTAGCGCGTTCAAACAAACTCATGAGCTTATATTTTAAATTATATGATGTTCAGTAAAAAATTTGCTAAGAGCATACATGTTTTTCCTGAATCGGATTTCTTCAGTTTTTTATCAGGTGCGACGTCACGCTTAGGTGGAGTTTGTATCCCTGGTGACACAACCCCTTCATCACACTCTAAAAGAGAAGGTTACTAATTAATGTTTTGTTGCATCATAACTAGCGTCATCATTATCATCATCATCAACAGCCGGAAGACGCCCACTGCCGGACAAAAGCCTCCCCCATAGTTCTCCATGTCGAACGACAACTTGCCATCTGCATCCACTGACTGCCCGCAACTCTGGCGATGTCCTCGGTCCACCTAGCGGTCCACACTTCCAGTTCGTGGTCTTTCCGTTGAGAGACGTGGCCTGACCTTGCCACTTCAGTCTGCAGATTTTGCGAGCTACGTCGGTGACTCTAATTCTTTGGCGAATTTCCTTATTTCGGATTTTGACACGCAAGTAAACCCCGAGCATAGCTCTCTACACCGCGCGCTGAGCAACTTTGAGCTCCTCTAGAAGGCCAGTGGCCAGGGACCATGTCTACTAGCATCATAATAAAACCTAATCCAAAAAATCTTCATCACCTAAAGGTTTTGCTAGCAAGAATGCCTGTGGCATCAAGCCCATCCTGGACATATTGTTGTTTGTTTATTATAAAATAAAAACAAGTAAACACTTACTTGATTTTCCTGGTCCAGATTTCGGCGTTTTTGTTGAAGTTGGTGTTATTGCTGAAGTTGGTGTTTTTGTTGGTGTTTTCGCTGATGTTGGCGTCTTTGTTGGAGTTGGTGTTTTCGCTGATGTTGGCGTCTTTGTTGGAGTTGGTGTTTTCGCTGATGTTGGCGTCTTTGTTGGAGTAGGGGTTTTTGCTGATGTTGGGGTCTTTGTTGGAGTTGGTGTTTTCGCTGAAGTTGGCGTCTTTGTTGGAGTTTGTGTACCTGGTGATTGAGGTAGACACTCATCGATATACTCTGCAAGAGAAGGTTAACGTGTGTTATGTTGGGTCACCAGCGTTGTAATTATAATAAAACCTAATTTGCATATACAGTCGACTCTCGTTAATACTAAAGGAACTATCAAAATATTTCGAATTACCGAATGTTCGAATTATCAAATGGTTCAAAATTTTAGCTTGTCTTAGGATTTAGCTACTTACCTGTGCAAAATCTGAGATCTTTTTGTCCCTTTCTCTCTGCGATTTCGAAGTAACGAGGCTTTTGGTTACGTAGCAATATTTTTTTTGGTTAAATTACCAAGTGCACATAATGTATTGATAAAGTTCGAAATATGGAAGGATTTTCTAAGGACCTCGTGATAACTTCTAACTGTAGATAGGTTACGTGTAGATGTAGTACGACATAAAATATGATGTTCAGTAAAAAGTGATTAACGGCTTACTTGATTTTCCTGTTCCAGATTTCGGTGGCTTTGTTTCAGATTTCGGTGGTTTTGTTTCAGATTTCGGTGGTTTTGTTTCAGATTTCGGTGGTTTTGTTTCAGTTGGCGTTTGTGCCCCTGGTGGGGTAGGTAGACACTCATCAGAATAATCTACAAGAGAAGATTTGCGTGTGTTAAGATGGGTATATACATATATTAAGCTGTTTACAATTGTGTAGGTACGGCATGGCATCGATGAGTTATATTTGGCACTTTTATATGGACACTCATTAAAATATTCAATGAAAGTGTAATTTAAGGCTTACTTGATTTTCCTGATCCGGATTTCGACATTTTTCTTGAAGCTGGGGTTAGTGTCCCTGGTGATCCAGTTTCTAAAAGAAAAAAAAGCACATAGGTAGTACGGTTGAATTGAAGTCTTTTTTGAAGTCGGTTATAAAGTGAATGAAATACGTTGGGTCACTAGCATTGTAATAAAAACTTAATTTAGATGAAAATGAAGTTTCGTTAATGTTCTGCATTCGCAGTAATTCGTCTGCATAACGCAGTTTCAATAGTAACTATTAATTAATCTGTGGTTTCAGCTCCTAATACTACGCAATAGAAGCCCATCGCGAAGTATGGACCCGCGTGGGCATGCGCATAATGTCGTTTCAAGCATAAAATATGATGTTCAATAAAAAGCAATGAATGTAGGGCTTACTTGGTTTTTGTGGTCCAGGTTTGGGCGTCTTTTTATCGACTAAGGCTTCACATTCAGCTGGCGATTCTGACCCTGACGATTCATACGCTACAAGAGAAGGTTACTTGCGTTATGTTGGCAGGGATGTTATGGATATGAAATTTCGGATACGGATTGGATACGGACATAGAAATTATTATTATACTGGATACGGTTTCGAATACGGATATGAAATTATTTCGGATTATCCGTTAGTTTCGGATAATTTCGGTTATGGATATTAAAATTTTAAGGAATTTCAAAAGTAAAATACAAATAGCTAATATAATGGGTTCATTTATACGTCACGTCCTATCCGATAGTATTCGAAACTTTTAGAGGTATTTCGGATTCGGTTACGGTTACGGATATTTTTTATATCGGATATCCGATGGTTTCGGTTATACGGTTATGGAGCTCCATAACATCCCTGATGTTGAGGCACCGGTGTTATAATAAAAATAAAACTATGTTTAAAACCAACTCCAAAAATCTAAAATCCATTTTTTTTCAAACGTTGCCCCACATTAGGATTTTCTCCTGTGTCGTGTGTGCGTTTACAAACATACAAGTTCACATACACATGACACCCAGACACGAAACAATAATTTGTGGGTCACACAAAAAGTTGCTCCGTGCGGGAATAGAACCCAACTCGCGGCAACTGGCAACAGCCAGTTTGCCCAGCCACCGCGCCAGCCTTGTAGTCAAATTACTATTATCATTATACTGCCTACCCCCCGATAATTCAGAATTCTGTGCTCAAGTCCAAAATAAATTATATTAAGAAGTAAATATCTATTGTAGATATTTGGCACGTTTATATGTACTCACACTATGATATTTAATAAAAAGCAATTTAGGACTTACATGATATTCCTTTGGGCGATTGTGTCCCTGGTGATCCACCTTCTACAAAAAAAGTTAATGAATTACGTGGGGTCATCAGCATTGAAAGTCAATTTGCATTTAGATGAAAATTATGTTTTGTTAATGTTCCGCATTCGCAGTAATTCGTCTGCATTTCGCAGTTTCAGCCCCTAAGGCTACGCGACAGATGTCTGTCGCGGAGCAGTACGCGCGGGCGACCGTGTGATGTCGTTTCCAGCCAAGAATATGATGTTCATTAAAAAGCAAATAATACTTGATTTTCCTGGTCCAGATTTCGGCGGTTTTTTGTCGACTACGGCGTCACGTCCAGTTGGCGATTGTGCCCCTGAAGGTAGGCACTCATCATACGCTACAAGAGAAGGTTAATGTGTATTATGTTGGGTATTACTTAGTTACGTATTGTACTTCCTACACACTGATAGTTTAGAAGAAGTCCAAATATTAAAAAGTAGAAATTTATGTCCATTAGGCTGTTTCAAATTATGTCAGTAAGGTATCGGTACCTAAACTATATTTGGCACTTTTGTATGGACTCGCAATATGATATTCAATAAAATAGCAACCTGATTTTCCTGATCCTGATCCTGATCCGGATTTCGACATTCTTCTTGAAGCTGGCGATTGTGTCCCTGGTGATCCACCTTCTACAAGAAATGTGAATGTGGGTCAACATCATTGAAGGCCAATTTGCATTTAGATGAGAATGAAGTTTGTTAATGTTCCGCATTCGCAGTAATTCGTCTGCATAACGCAGTTTCAGCCCGAGGCTACCGTCGCAGAGAACTTATGGAACCGCGCGGGCGTCCGCGTAATGTATCGCTTTTCTATCGTAAAATATGATCTTCAATAAAAAACAATTAAATGTATGGCTTACTTGATTTTCCTGGTCCAGGTTTTATCACTTTTGTTGAAGTTGGCGTTTGTGTCCCTGATGTTTGACCCTTATCATGCTCTACAAGAAAAGTTAATGTGTTATGTTTGGATTACAGCATTGGAATAAAACCTGATTTGTATTTAGTCTTAGATTTACTCGTAGATGCAAATTAAGTTCGTTCGCGACGGCCATTCTCATCGCGTGATCTCGCGCGGTATTGGTTTGTTATGTGTCGCCATTTTATCTTTAATAGTATGCATACTCGTATGCAGTCGTATCTATGGGAAACTTAATATAATATTACGTAGCAAAACGAATACGACTATTAGATAATTAAAAAAGACAGCAGGTTGTGAGACGGAAGCCCGTCGCGTAGCACTTTTGTATGGAAAGTACTCGCAAACATTCGCGTAACGTAATTTCCAGCCTGCCGATGTTCAATAAAATAAATTAATGGCTTACTTGACTTTCCTACTCCAGTTTTCGGTGTTTTTTGTGAAGTTGGCGATAGTACTCGAGGTGATGGACTCTCTGCAAGAAGAGAAGGTTAACTTGTGTTATGTTGGGTCAACGGTCGTGGTGGCCCGGAGGTTTAAGACGCCCACTTCTCACATACATGAGGGTACGGGTTCGAAACCTAGCAACGGCAAGTACCAATGTGCCTTTTTTAGGGTTATATGTACTTTCTAAGATTATCTAGACACCACTGACAAACGGTGAAGGAAAACATCGTGAGGAAACCTGGGCTTATAATTTCTAATTATAAGTTTGTAATCGCCAACCCGCATTGAGCAAGCGTGGTGATTAATGCTGAAACCTTCTCCGTGTGAGAAGAGGCTTTGCTCAACAGTGGGCATTTATAGGCTGTTGATGATGTTGGGTCAAAAAAAACAATTAATTTTACAGCTCCATTTCCCCCAAGTAGTTTCCCGTCATCGCACGACCAGACAATTATCAAACCGTCACCACTTTATGATGATGAATAATAATAAAACATAAACGCGTGCACGAAATTACCCCTAAAAAGTAACTTAACTAAATGCCACTTAGCGTGATGTAGCACCTATACTAACCCTATACTTTTACTGTTAGGTATTAATTGTAGGTTAGAGAAAACAAAAATGATATTAAATATCACCTACCTTAAGTAGCTTAGGGGTGTTTTATAAATTTAGAAGGTGTTGGTGAAATAATTTTCACGAACCCTATATTATTTCCTCTATAATAATAACCTATTTCCTAGCAGGAGCCCTTTACCAAACCAATGTAAACGCGACTTTAGCGCTTGTCTACAGAGAGAGTAGAAAACTAAATGTATGGGGATGACACGGACAAGTGTCAAAATTTACATCAATGCCATATAATTTGGTTTTCTACTCTACAAGTAGACAAGCGCTAAATGGCATTTGGCTATAGCTGCAGGTTACAGTGAGGCGCCGCGTCGCCACATGACGTGCATACCCATAGATTGAGAGCAGCGCCACAATAATTAGGCGCGGTCATGAGCTGCTTGTCTAGGGCGCTCCCTAGGTTCATAGACCTCTGTCAGAATCTGTATTTGTAGGCGACAGGTGGTGTCAAGAAGGCCCGAGTGAATAGGTTGCTTATGAGCAGGCGTGCTACATCATAGGCCGCATCATCGCATACCAAAATAATCGCTTAATAAAAAAAAAGAATTCCTTAACTAACTGACCGGATTCTCCTGGTGATTGCTTCAATTTCTTTGGAGTTTCCCGTGAAGATTCTGAGGAGTCTGGACAACAACAAGTGTTATCAGGCTCTGCAAGAGAAAGTTCTATAAGCTATATTGTGCTAGTCTAACATCATTATGTCGAGGGGTAACGGGCTATTTGGTTTAAGCGACATTTTTGCAACTTTACAGGAGAGCCTTTTAAAGTTTGAAATTTCGAAAAAAAATTCGTAACAAAAACGCTTCTGCAGTTATTTGAACGGGGTAAATTGCATTGAAATTTAAATTAAATTATCTAGTTGCTGATGCTAATTCTAAATAAAGCGGACCTTTAATTACAAAGATAAATGTCGCTTAATACAATCTGCCCTTTTTTAGAGTCAGGAAAAATGATTTAAGTGACTTCATAACTACAATTGGCTACAAGGGAAAAAAATTAAGCGACAATGCACTCTATTTACAGAGTAAGCTAAAAAATATGAAGTGACGAAACCCAAAATTAATAGAAGCAACCTATTTATCTTAACTACCAATTCGGACTAAAATGAGTGACAGGCTAATTTACTTATGTGACATATAACATTGAAATTATAACGTTTAATGTTTATGTTTATTTACATCTAAGGCGATTAATGGCTGATAAAACAACCTGGATATATCGCAATCACCGAAAATCTCAGATGCTTACATTGAATAAATAAACACAACACAATATCAAAGTATTTATTTAGAGTAATAATTACAGTTTCAATAGGAATTCGATTATATTTCAGCAAAATCAATTAAATTAATGGGTCATTTACTGAAATTGCCGTTTTGTATGAAAAAATTTAAACGATTTTTCATGTATTTTTTATTTGTATAATCAACGTAATCACCCATGCAATCAATGCATCGTTGCCAACGCAGTGGCAGTTTATTGATGCCCTTCTTCAATCAGCTGGACGGGTAGCAACAAATTCTTCAAATGCATTTTGTACTGCCTCTCGGTTATTAAATTTTTTCCCGCCAAGAAGTTATCCAAATTCTGGAAAAAGAAGTAGTCTGGTGACTGTTGAGTAGGGTGGATGTCGGAGAGCTTCACAACCCCAGTTCTTGTAACGTGGAGGCCGTCTGTTGTGCAGCTTTAGGTCGGGCGTTGTAATGCAGGAGCAATGGAGATTAGCGATTGACCAATGCTGGTTGGAGATGTGTCAGCTTCTCCATCATTGTGTTCAGTTCTTCACACTACACATCCGTAGTAATGCTCACTCCGTTTGGTAAGAATTTGTGATGAATCAGAATAGCGCGAGCGCTAGACCATCAGTGACCATCACTTTTCTAGGGGTAAGTTTTCGTTTAGGGCATTGTTTAGGTGCTGAACTAGGATTCAACCAACATGCTAAACGCGTGTGGTTATCACACAGATTTCATTTTTCATCGGAGGTGACAATGCAAATCAAAATTCTTTCATTTGTGTGTATATTGAGCAGTGCAGTGCTAGGCACTACGCGATGCATTTTTTTTTAAGGGTGGAAAATCATCGAATGATTGCTCCCGCCAGGTTGAGGCGGGAAAGAGTGTCAGACTCTTACTGACTTAAAATCACCCCCTTTCTTCTCCTGCACGTCGAGCCGGAGCCCCGGTTACCCGTTAGGTTCTCCGCGACTCCGAATCGGCATCGACCCTGTTGGGCCCCATCTGTGGAGGTCTGATGGCTCTTTGAGGCGCGCGCGGAACGCGACGCCCCGTACGCTCGGGTCTGTTTCTGGTCGGACGGGGAGCCACCCATGCTCACCGTCCGCAGGCCCGCGCTTACGGTAGCTGGAGATCGTCCCGCGATCCCCGACGCCAGGTGTGTCCTTCGCGATGGCTGGGTTGCGAGGAGGCAGCGCTTCGCTGCCTCACGCGTCCCGCCTCCTCCTTAGCTAGCATAACTGCTTCGCAAAAGGAGGAGACGGCATCCCAGTCCCCCTCGCACTGCTCGATGCATACTTAGCTCTGTTGATCATTTAGTTTGTGGGACACCTACTTATCAAGCTTTTTTACCTTGCCAATTTGACGCAAATGTACCAATATTGTTTTGACGCTAACGTCGAAAGCTGTTGCTAAATCAGCCGTAGATTGTATGTCATCAACCTCCACAATAGCCCTTAAATTGTCATTGTTGCCAAGTTCATCTTGAAATTAAAGTACTTAGGATTCAATTTCGATGAGCGTTTTACGTAAACACTGGCGGTGTGCGCGCGTCCCGTCTGTCTTCGGCGCACTCTGGAGTGACTGAAGCGCCAGCGCACGATAGTCCAGTTGGATGATAACGATTTTTAACACCAGGGCGATGAAATAAATATGGTATCATATGACATGATTGAAATGTACCATATTAAAACTTAGTGATTGAAAGACCGACTCGTATTTCTATGAATACTGGAAAAATTTCAATATTCATTATCAATGTTATCGTCTGTATAAAACGACATGCATTTAAAAAAAAAATGAGGGTTAAATGGTTTATGACTAAACAAAATATCTAAACGAAAACAACTATTTGGTTTAAGTAGCACCCTGCGTAGAAAAATAGAGGCGCTAGAAATGTTTAAGAGACGTACCATGACGATTTGGAGACGGACAAATGTTTTAAGCGACATCACACTGTGTGATTAGTGGGAAGTCAAAATGACTCAAGTTACTTGTTAAAAAAAATAGAAACGAAAACGCTTTAACTCATGTTGACTTAATCATTAGAGATAGGGTGACTGGTTTATGTCTCGGTTATTAATATGATGGTATGGTTCAAGTACATAATTTAATAAAAAATGCGAAATCCATGTCGTTTAATACACTGCCACTTTGGAAACAACATGAAAATAGAATTGTTTGAAACGCCAAAAAAGTGCTCCGATTTTAATGAAACCGGCATCATTCGACGGAGAAAAATTCGCTGATTCCGAATATATATATAACTCAATATCGCCCAAAATGTCGCTTAAACCAAATAGCCCGTTACCCCTCGATGTCATTTTTTTTTGAGGGGGGAAAGTCGTTCTATGGCTTCTCCCGCCCGAGTGACGCGAGAGGGAGAGTCAGACTCTTACTGACTAAAAACCACTATGTAGTGAAGTATAAATTATGTCGGAACCGGTCATGAGTTGAGAGAGAACCGGTGAGATGGACGCTAAATAGAACGCAGGCGCGCCACCTAGCGGATTTTTGGTGTGCTTAGGCAGAGTCGTGGCGAAGTTGCACTCGGTGGAGCTCACTTCAGTTCGAGTCGCCACCGGGTGAAGACGTTGTCACGGAACTGCCCTATGTTTCGCTTAGTGCCCAGTTACTGTACCTTGTGATTATAAGAAATTCAGTGATGAATTCTAAACGAATTTCCTATTTACACGATACTCATATTCGCCCACTTTATGTTTGAGCAACCGGAATATAATCATGCCTCCTCCGACATCAGAAGAAGGATGAGTGTTGCCGCCTTCGACAAGTATATTTTAACTATTTTGTTTTGCCAAATTGTTTGTCGGGTAACAAAATAAAAAAATACGCATTTAATCATTTTCCATTGTATCTGACTGACCTTTTACCGCTTTTACTGGTTTGGCTGCTTTTTCAGGTTTTTTTGCTTTTTCAGGTTTTGCTGGTTTTGCTGGTTTTGGTGGTTTTGGAGGTTTTGCCGGTTTTTCAGCTTTTCCTACTTTTCCTGCTTTTCCTTTATCTGGCTTAGTTGGAGATTGTGACCCTGGCGACCCTACAAAAGAAGTTTAATCTGTGTTAGATATTTTGGCGCAACTAGAACTGGAAATCCGAATTTATATCTAGATTATAATGTTATAATATAAAAGAGAAGAAAGAGAAAAAGAGTCGTATTAGTTACACAATACAAAACTCAAGAACGGCTTAATCGATTTCGCTGAAAATTGTTGGGAGGTACCTTAGTATCAGGAGATGGACCTAGGATACCAAGGATATCTCAAAAATTCTACGGGAACGAAAAAAATAGGATTGCGTAATGTCGCGAACCGACGCTAGTCTTCAATAAAAAGCAATTCCCTACCTGTCTTACTACTTTTTCCTGATCCAGGTCTCGACGATTTTGTTGATGCTGGCGATTGTGCCATTGGTGGTTGACGACCTAAAGAAGAGAAGGTTGTTATGTTGGGTTAAAAAGCAATTAATTTTACAGTTCGATTTTCCCAAATCCTTCCCCGTCATCGCAAGACCAAATAATCAAACCGTCACCACTTTATGATGATGAATACCGCGCTCACTCGCACGAAATGTTTGTCTAAAGCAAACCTTACTGTCCACGTTGCGTTACCTCAAATAACGCTACGTATACATACTGTATATGTGATACTGTAAAAGCTCGAACTACGGTAAATCTTAAGATTTAAGTGTAAGTCTTAGGATTTACCGACATTGGTAAATGTAAGTATTTCTGAAGATACGATTTTTTCGAGCTTTTACCATTCAGTACTCAGTATATGCTAGGTTTTACCACTGTCAGCTGGTAGATGTTGGTTTTAGGAATAAAACAATGAGTAATTCTTAATTATTTACTTTGAAATATTAGACAAAACAGGTACATAGTATTATAAAGGTATCATAATGATAGTAACAAGTACAAACTAAACACTTAGCGTATTTGCCCTTATCGAGAAAAAAGTTATTATCTTTCTTGTTTGCTACAAGCTCGTCCATTATTTCATAAAATATTTGCTTCATACTCATTTTTATTCACAAATAACTTTTAAACACCATTGTGCATGCACGCATTCGTCAGAAACGAAGAAACGAAATTTAAAATCGCCCCTTTGCCGACAGTTTTCATTGCTTCAAAACAAGATGCAAGCATTTGTCATTTGTAGGCCGTCTATTGTTTATGAAGGATGCATGCATTCGTCAAATGGCACAACGTGGACAGTTACCCTCGTAAGGCTCATTATCCAAGTAACACTTTTGTCAGTATTGACGCTTCTATGACGGTTACAAGATGAATGCTTGCATCTTGCGCAGAAACGATCAAAACCGTCCATGTAGCGGCAAAGTAGCACCTACGCTAACACTATAGTTATACTGTTATACTTTGTTCGTACTATACTAGTATTTTAGTCGAGCAGCGATTGTTTAGTAAATTCTTCTCGCTTCTATGCCCAAATCGAAGCGAGAGAGAGTTACTAAATACTCGCTACTTGACTAAAGTACTAGCATAGTGAGAACAAGGCATTGTGTATTATTTTTGTAGGTTAGTGACAATCAAAATGACGTTAAATTTTACCTATCTTAGGTTAGGATTGTTTTTTAAATTTAGAAGAGGTTGGTGAAAACGGTTACAGTGTTCCAGAAGAGTCTACTTCTATAACTGTCAATTGGAAGTGAGCTCAATCGTATTCTCACCCGTCATTGGTCGTGATTATTCTCAACACCATTGACATAGCGGACTGCGATCGATCACAAAGTTACAGCCTAGCTACTAAATAACAATATCTTCACCAGAATCCAGAGCAGTATTATCTCTAAGCCAAACTAAGCAAGTCCCTAGGGTGCCAGGTAACAGAGAGGCGTCGCGACGTACGTGACCATAGAGTGACAGCGGCGTAAAAAAAAATTAGGGATACTCATGAGCTGCTTTGCTTAGAGCGCCCGGTTTAATACACCTTTATCGGTATCTTGTGTCTTCAAGGCCCGAGTGAATAGTATGCTTACTGGCAGGCGTGCTACATCGTAGGCCGCATAATCAAAATAATCGCTTGGTAAACAAAGACAACAATTCCTTACCAGATTTTCCTGGTGTTGATGCTGTGGAATCTGGACAAGCACAAGTGTTCTCGGGCTCTGCAAGAGAAAGTTCTATGTTATGTTGGGCCAGCTAGCATCGAAATAAAATTATTTATTATAGCTAAAATGATGTTCAATAAAAAATTAAAGAGCAATATGATGATGACATTATTTAAATATTGGTTTGCTAGATTAATATAAAACATTAGGGTGCGTTCACAACTGGCGAATGTGCCGCTCGCGAGCCGTTTGCGGGCTGCCTGCGAGCTACAGTCACGGCAATGATTTGGTGCTCCAGTCATACAGGGTTCGTATAAATAAATGATAATTTTAAATGCACGCGCACAGTCCGCAGGTTGCTCGCTAGCTGCGTATTCGCGGAGCATACGTTTAAAGTACATACGGTTTCATCCGTCTGCTCGGCGCCTATAGATCCTAGCGTGATATTTTATCACACTCTATAAATGAGCTACACAATTTTTTTTTTAATCGGACCAGTATTTCCTGAGATTAGCGCGTTCAAACAAAAATAAAAAACTTTTCCGCTTTCTACAGTAGTATAAGATTGTTTTGTTACAAGAAGAATACGTGTCTAATAATTTTTCACTATCGAACTGCCTTTGAATTTTGACGTGACAACGTCTTATAAATTGGTTTGCCGGGTGACACTTCAAGAAACTGCATTACGCTCCGCTCACGTTATGCGCTCACGTTATGCGCTCACAATTAGAGCGAGTGAGAGGCACGCGTCCCTTCCACTCGGGCATGGTTAGCCCGCCTAAGAGCGAGAGAGACAGACATAAAAAGTAAATTATTTCATCCTTCTTCCTACTATACGAATGAATATTCACATTAAAATTATTTTACCACTCTGTTGAAATAGCAAAATAAAGATGAGATTAGATACTAGTAACGCCATCTAGGAATAAGTATGTGCAACAACCCTACTCTGAATGATACTGGTCTATTGAAATAAATCACTCGTTCGTTACACTTCATATGCGTTGTTTCATTTCTATAGGTTATGGGCCCAGTCCCATGTTAAGAAAAGTTTTTTTTGCGAGTTTAGTGTTAGAATTATCCGGATTACTTCGGGTGGACATTAGACTTTGTGTTTTTGCTAAAAGACAATCTTTTAGTACAAACTGTGGACAAAAAACTTTGTGTGAAGTGAACGCGTGTGTGACCGTCATGGCGGCTAGCTCAAGTTATCTAGTTAGTGTTCCAAAACTCAAGGGACGCGAGAACTACAGTGAGTGGTGCTTTGCTGCAGAAAACTATTTAGTGTTGGAGGGCATGGTTGGATGCATCAAGCCTGAACCCAATCAGCCGCCAACTGCTGCGGATGATGCAAAGACAAAAGCCAAATTGATTTTGACGATAGACCCAGCGTTATACGTGCATATCAAAGATGTCAGTTCTTCACAAGAATTATGGAAGAAACTGAAGATGCTTTTTGATGATTCCGGGTTTACGAGAAAAATCAGTCTTTTGAGGAATTTAATATCTATCAGATTAGAAAATTGTTCCTCGATGACAGCATACGTCACACAGATCGTGGAAGCGGGTCAAAAATTGCAAGGAACGGGTTTCGGAATTAACGATGAGTGGATTGGTTCGATCATGTTGGCTGGACTAACTGAAAAGTACATGCCTATGATAATGGCCATCGAACATTCCGGCATGATTATTACTACGGACGCCATTAAAGGGAAGTTGATGGACATGGAACCGGAAGATAGAGAAAGCAACACCGGCGCGTTTGCCTGTCTCAGCAACAAACAAAATCGTTCAATTCGTTCAACAAAGAATGTGAAGTCTATGACCAGTAAAGATGGCGGAAATGATCAATCGTCGTCGACATCTGTCAAAAGGAAAAACGTCAAATGTTATAATTGTAAAAAATATGGCCACTACAAAAGCCAATGTTCTGTAGATAAAAGTGCAAATACGCAGAATGATAATAAAAATACGAATAGTACAAATGCGTTTAGTGCCGTATTTTTTAGTGGAACATTCGACAAGAACGACTGGTATGTTGATTCTGGTGCCAGTTCGCACTTGACAAGCAACATAAACTGGATGACGGATGTGTGTTATTCTGGTAGTTTTTCGAAAGACATCACGGTTGCTAATCACAACAAAGTGCCCGTACAGTGTTGTGGAAATGTAATGATTACGACAACAACAAAAGAATGCAACTACAACATACCTATTGAGAATGTTTTGTGTGTGCCCCAGTTATCAACTAACTTGTTATCAGTGAGTCAGCTGATAAGGAAAGGCAACAAGGTGCGATTCACTGAAGAAGGTTGTGAAATATTTAATAGACAGGACACTCTGGTGGCTACTGCGTCACTGATTAATGGTGTTTACAAGTTGAACACACTGACTTGTATGGCGGGAGCGGCAGCAGAGTCTCCAGCTATTTGGCACCGAAGACTGGGACACATTAATAGTAACAACATGAATAAAATGCAAGAAGCTGTGGAGGGCGTGAAACTCTCTGAGATGGCTGACATAAATAAGTCGAACTGTATTGTGTGCTGTGAAGGAAAGCAAAGTCGTTTACCTTTCGCTAATAAAGGTAACAGGAGTGCTGAGCTTTTGGAAGTAGTACACTGTGACATCTGTGGACCGATGGAGAAAACGTCTCTAGAGGAGCCAGGTATTTTCTCATTTTTGTTGACGACCACAGTCGCATGACTTATGTTTACTTTCTAAAAAGTAAAGATGAAGCCTTAAATTGTTTTAAAGAATACAAAGCAAAAGTTGAGAATTTTACATCGAAAAGGATTAAAATTCTTAGAAGTGATAATGGCACAGAATTTTGCAACAAACAGTTCGATAGTTTTTTGAAAGATGCTGGTATTATCCATCAAAAAACAGCTCCGTACACACCCGAGCAAAACGGGCTGTGTGAACGGATGAACAGGACAATAATAGAAAAAGCGAAATGTCTATTGTTTGATGCAAAGGTAGAAAAAGAATTCTGGGCAGAGGCCGTTAATACTGCTGTATATTTACAGAACCGGATTGTGAAAAATGGACTGAATGATCGTACACCTTTTGAGCTGTGGACAGGAAACAAACCGGATCTTAGTCATGTAAGAATTTTTGGCAGTACAGTTATGAAGCATGTTCCCAAAGAGAAACGCAGCAAATGGGACAAGAAATCTGAACAGTGTATACTTGTTGGGTTCTCTGAAGAAACTAAAGGATACAGAGTATATAATCCTTCAACACAAACTGTCACAATAAGTCGTGATGTAGTCATCATAAACGAAAACAAATCAGAAGAGAATATAACAATAATAAATGAAAAGGAAGAAGCTCAAGCTTCAGTGGGAGATCCTGAAGAAACAATAAGTGATGATGATACATTTGTTTCAACTGAAAATGTTGATGACTTGGATAAGACTTACGTACCGGAGGAGAATTCCATGACTGATGATGAGTTATCGTCAGAGTCCAATACTGGTAGAAAAATATTACCACCAAGACCAAGGAGAGCACCTGATCGATTTGGTTTTATGTGTACTGGTGAGAGTAATAAGCATTTCGATGATGAACTTACATTAGAGGAAGCACTACAGGGACCAGAGAAGGAGTGTTGGAAACAGGCTGTTAAAGAAGAGCTACAAAGTTTCGAAGACAACAATGCATGGGAGCTGGTTGACATTCCTGCGAGTGGAAATATAGTGAAGTGTAAGTGGGTGTTAAAAAAGAAATGTGACTCAGATGATAATGTGCGTTATCGGGCCAGACTGGTTGCGAAAGGGTGTTCTCAAAAATATGGTGTGGACTATAGCGAAACATACTCACCGGTAGTGCGACATTCCACACTTAGATTATTATTTGCTTTGTCGGTGCAAATGAATCTGGAGGTAACTCACCTTGATGTAAAAACTGCGTTCTTGAACGGTGACCTGTCTGAGACAATATACATGCAAAAGCCTGTTGGTTTTGAATGCTCTGATAAAATAAAGTTCTTAAATTGAATAAAGCAATATATGGTCTCAAGCAGGCATCCAGAGCGTGGCATCAAAGGTAGATGCTTGTATGTTAGCTGATTATGTTAAGTCTAAAATAGAGCCTTGTTTGTACATTAAAATTGTAGGGAATAGTCGAACAATAGTTACTCTCTATGTAGATGACTTTTTTGTATTTTCAAATGATGTGAATGAAACTAAGCATCTGAAAGACATGTTAAGTAAACATTTTGAATTGAAAGACTTAGGGATTGTGAAGGAATGTCTTGGCATGACTGTTACTTTTGATAAACAAAATTGTAGTGTTACATTAAGTCAATCAAAATATATTGATAAGTTATTGTCTAAATTCAGTATGAATGAATGTAAAAGTGCTAATACTCCAATGGAGGCTAATTTAAAAAGTAAAAAAGAGAATAATTGTAACAGTGAATATCCTTATCAGCAGCTTATCGGAAGCTTGATGTATTTAGTTGTACTTACTCGACCCGATATAGCTTATGCGGTGTCATACTTGAGCCAATTTAATAATTGTTATACCCAAGAGCAATGGCAATATGCAAAAAGAATATTAAGATATTTGAAAAATACTAAGGATTTGGGTTTGAAATATTGTAAAAATAAAAATAGTTTTATAGAAGGCTATGTAGATGCTGATTGGTGTAGTGATATTAATGATAGAAAATCGTATTCTGGATTTTGTTATACTTTGTCAGGATGTGTAATATCTTGGAATTGTAGTAAACAAAAATGTATTTCACTTTCTAGCACTGAGGCAGAATATGTGTCAATTTCAGAGGCCTGCAAAGAGGCAGTGTATTTAAGAAATTTGCAACATGAAGTAACTAAAAAGTTGTATAAGATTACTTTGTATAATGATAGTATGAGTGCTCAGAAACTTTTACAAAATCCTGTTTTTCACAACAAGTCAAAACATATTGATGTGAGGTATCATTACTGTAGGGAATTGATTCATAAAAATATTGTTAATATTGAATATTTGTGTACATCTGATATGCCAGCAGATTTGCTTACTAAAAGCTTGGGGGCCATTAAACATTATAAACATGTTAATGCTTTAGGTATTGTTAAAGTGTAAATTCATTTAATACCTTTGATTTGTATAAAATTTTTTGCTGTTTTTGTAGTTATTTTTGTAATCTTTATTTTGAGTGGGAGTGTTGAAATAGCAAAATAAAGATGAGATTAGATACTAGTAACGCCATCTAGGAATAAGTATGTGCAACAACCCTACTCTGAATGATACTGGTCTATTGAAATAAATCACTCGTTCGTTACACTTCATATGCGTTGTTTCATTTCTATACACTCAAAGTCGTTGTCACGTAAAACTTTCGCCCGTATACCGACTTTACAGGCAACCAATTTTTATACTCTATCATCGTCCCTACTCGACCTGACTGACCTGCTTTTCCTGTTTTTCCTGCTACTGCTGCTTTGTCTCCTTTCCCTGCTTTTCCTTTATCTTTCTTAACTGGAGATTGTGTCCCTGGTGTTCCTATAAAAGAAGGTTAATATGTGTTAGGTATATTGGGGCAACTAAAACTAAATAATATAAACGAAAAAAGAAAAAGAAAGAAGTCGTGTTAAATTGGTGGGGAGGCACCTTAGAATCAGGAGACAGACATAGGACACTTAAGGATTTCTCGAAAATCCTAGGAGAGGAAAAAACGGAAAAACGCGTGTGAACTGTGAAGTCATAGACAAAACCAGTGTTCAATAAAAAGTAATTCCCTACCTGGCTTACTAGATTTTCCTGCTTTCGCCATTTTTTCTGTTTCCTTATTCAAACAATCTATGAGCATCTTCATTTGCTTCTTGCAAGCATCTGCGTCAAAATTCGCTGAAGAATTTACGGCGGCCAATTTTTTCTTCATTTCTTGTTCGATGCACTTTTCAATATCAAAATCTTCTGTCAGTTGCGTTTCTTTATTCTTCCTCGGATTTGTTTGTACGGCTATCTGCCCCTGTTTCGATTTGCCCTTCTTATCAGTCTGACTTGAAACAGGTTTATGTTTCTTCGACATTATACTAGGCATTTTGATCTTTTTATTTTCTTTTATTATTACTGTTTTAGGTTTTTTGTCTATTTTGTTCGGGCATGTCGATTTAGTGCACGAGGGTCCAAATAAAGAAGAACGTAAATTCTTTATCATTACGATAGGGGTGTGGCATTTATCAGATATAGACCTAGAAGATAAAGGTGTTTCAATTATTCCAGAATTATTAAAAACACTGAATTTGAAATTACTGGCGATAAATTGGCATAGATTGTAAGTGTGAAAGAACCATGCTTCGGCATGAATGGGGCGGCTCGACCGGAGCGATACGAGGGCCACACAGAAAACCAACGTGAAGCAACTTGAGCTGTGTTCTGTGTTGTGAAGTGTTTCGTCGTGTGAGTTAGGTTACCGGAGGCCCAATTACCCCCCTCCCCAGTCTCCCCAATTCCTGAATCCCCCACAATTCTCACTTGTAACGCGTCTGGTGTTGCGGGTGTCCATAGGCGGCTGATTAATTACTATCAGGTGATCCGTCTGGAAGTATTCCGGATTATCCCGTAAAAACAAAAAATAATGACTTTTGATAGATTTATCAATACAACTGTCAGTGGCTACTGTTGTGTTATAAATAAAACAAATGTATTATTTACTTTTTACAGTATGTCCATTTCTTTTGGATATCATCGTAAATGTCACAACGGCATCGACTAGCACCTGTCGATGGTTCCAAGCACTTCTCATCCTTACTATGAGATATAACTGGAATAGATATACAAGAGCATAGTAGCAAAACCAGTATAACCTAACCGACGAATGTTCGGAAAGATCGTATAAAGCAAGACCATGACAAATTGGTTTTGTATAGCCATGCGGGCATCATTTTATTATGACATGGTTTGGTTTCCGAATCTCGAGACAAGGTCGTGGTATAATTAAACTCTTCATTAAAGCTTACTGCTTATTCCTTAGTCCGGCAATTTATTAGTAACATTTAACATGTAATGCCCTAAGTGTTGCAAGCGTACATAGGCCACGGTAACTGCTTATCATCAGGTGGGCCGTGTGCTTTTTTGCCACCATCGTGGTATAAAAAAAAACATAACTGATGAAAACAGAATTTCCTATGGTAGGCATATGCAATACACACTAATACACTTCAGTCAACCTCTTTTAGTTATGAGATGGAGATGAAGAGAGAAGTAAATAGAAGATTGACTTTGAAAAGAGATTTATAATTAAAAAGATACACACTTAATTGTTTTTCGAGCAGCGTATTAGTCGAGATAAATTTCGAGGTCTGTGCTACGCCTTCGCAGGGTTCCTGGAAAAATATACTTATTTTTTAATAAGTACGGCTTCTTTTTTTAAATAAAAGAATGTTTGTCTTGTAATAATGTGATGATGTAATGGTGTTGATAGAAGAAAAAGAAGAAGAATGAGAATAGAATTTAAATTAATATCAGAGGGCTTAGCGCGAGTTTATTTTCACTCATTCAGCACTCTGTTATGGCTATAATAGGTGGCCCTGATACCCAGAGGATTGTGCAATCAATGGGGTCTACCGTATTCTTGCTCACTTTACAGAATGAGCTAGTATCACACCATTGGACGTGTTATATTTGACACCTGCTGTGATTGGACAAAAAAACTTCACCCAACATCATCACAAACATTTGCGCCATCAGGTAAGCGGTGAGCAAAAGAAACGGTAGCCCCATTATGGATTTACTTTTTAAATTATAACTTTCTACAAAGTGCTCAATATTACGCCATATAAACGTAATTGGTTAAAACTGGTTAGTATGCCACGTATGTCTGTATATTCTATGTAAGAAATACACAAACGCTAGTCAATTTTAAGTCGCGTTTAAGTATAGTTTTAGTTTACTCACTACACTACACATAGGTCACTACAATAGGGTAGTTTCCTAAATTTTATTTTAATGTCCGTCTGGGACATCAATTTGAAACTTTAGACACGTATTTTTTCTTTTCTCGCAAAATTAATACTTCGACGATATATTAATTTGAAATATCGAGTGACGTCACAGAGTGCCACATTTTGTAGCACGTTATGTCGTAACGACCTCCCACTCCTAAACTTAGTGCTATTTATCTAAGTATATTGCAACTTAATACGAGAAAATAAAAAGAATACGTGTCTAATATTTTTTCATTATCTAACTGACGGACTAATTAGATTTTTAATTTTTATACCCTGGAAACTACCCAAGGACAGAGAGAGCACGATATTTAAGTGCTAGTTAAAGTTGAGTAGCCGTTCATTATTCGGGTGTGTATCTCTTTAGTCTTACCTCGCGGAAATCACTCATGAAATTTTCGTTTTTGAATAACATATCCGTGTCTAAGTGTCTGAAAATGAATGCAAGCTTTAAAAACTTACCGCTATTGCTAATGACATTTAACAAAAATTTGGAATCGTTTAAAAAACTCTTTTTAACATTAGAAGTTAGAAAAGCACTGAGTTTAATTAATTTTATTATCCCCTAACCAAATTATACGTACTCTTCATTAGGAATAAATTCCTTGGTAACTTCACGGTAGAAACTGGCTCGTTTTGCTATGCAGATTGAGCTCTCTGTAAAATAATAAAAGAGATTTTTTCGTGTTGTAGTTATAAGCCCCGGTGCAACTTGAGAATAGTCGGGTATCGACTAGAATAGTTTTTGTTACTGTACACAAGTCTTAGTAATTTCTACGTCTGAAGATGATCAAATGCTTTTGGAAATACTTATCAGGAGAAAGCCTAGCTCTAAACAAAAGTTTTTTAGAAACTCACCTAACTCCCTACTTTTCTCTGGTTTAGCGTTGATAGTGCTCAACATTTTTGCCATCAAACTTGATGGCGTATCCATTGTATTGTTGTTGACTTTAGTGCGGAATTTCTCAATTTTTTTCTTGTTGCTAATTCCCTGAAACTATAAATTAATTTTACTAAAAAGTTAACATTCAAATAACCTTTGATCAATGAATTCGAAGTCTGACTCCCATTGCATGCAAGGCGAAAAAATGCCTTAGTACTTTTCACTAAAATCATCACTATCTACAACACTTGACAGTCCACTGCGGACCTCTTAACAGAACAATGCCACCTGGTTTCTATCATATATGTATCCGTACTTCTCTAGTTTTTCTAAGGGGGGGAAATGATCCAATGCCTCCTCCCACCCGAGTGAGGCGAGAGGAAGTATCAGACTCTTACTGACTATAAAAACCACCAAAACCACCGCGTTCCTGCTCTTCGAGCCCCGATATTCCTTTAAGTCTTCCGCGGTTCCGTACCGGGCTTTGCTGGGCCCCGTGGCATCAGTCCTACTGGGCCCCGTAATCTGTTGTGATTTAATGGCTATTTGCGTGCGCGGAATTCGACGTGCCAACGTTAGGGTCTGGTTCTGGTCAAGAAACAAGTTCAAGTGCTCGCCGCCCGCGGGCCCGTGCTTATGGAATCCCCAGTCTTGTGGGAAGAGTTATGACAAATTGTATTTATCTATTCTGCCTGCTTTAACAAACTTCCGTGAAGTAAAATGATTTACACTTACATTTAGATAGACGTCCAAATATTTTCATACATTTGTCAGATTTTTCTGGACAGGAACATTTAGTGTCTTGACACTCACAGGGAGGATCCTGCTTTGGCGCCTCCCGCCACTGGAAGGGCAAATTCTTGAGATGTACCATCTAAAATAGGATATTATATAAGACTAATTTTATTTCTGTTTAATGAACCGAAAAGAGCATAGATAAAGTTACTCATTTTTTGCTTGTATCTACGCAATTAAGTATGGTAGTTATGTTTTTATGTGAAAGGGAGTTATGGGAATAAATTAATATATGTTTTATGTAAAAAGGAGCTAACGGAACAAAAAAAAGAAGTGAATTTAGGGCGCATTCCTTTTTTCCTATCGTTGGTCCGATTAATTTTACTTACACCTACTATTTTATTAGTAGCGATCCGCTGTGGGCCTTTGGGAAATAAGAACGAATCGTTTTTCCCTTCAGCAGCCTTCTCCTTCTTATACTCCTTCTTCGACCATTCCAGTTCAGCTAGGAATGCTGATATCCGAAGGTTCCTCGTCTGTTTTATATCTTTTTTTTCAAAACACTCATCAGTGTCAGTTTCTATAACTTCTCGACTGCAACCTTTTCGCTTTTTTCTCCTTTTATGATTTTTCTTTTCATTAGCCGTTGGACTATCTGACCTCTTTGATTTCATTAAACTGCTTTTAAAATTAGTCCATCGGCTAGAAAAGAATGTGTGAATCTCATTGATCCCATGACGAGAGCCTTTCTTTTTATTTTTCTTCGTATCTTTTGGTTTTCTTGGTCTTTTCTGTTTCTTGTTCTTCGAATTTTTCTTTTTATTATTCTTGTCTGGGAGGGCCGTACTATCTGTGTTATCTATAGAATTGTTTACTTCTTCAGTATTATCACCGGGAGGATAGTCAGTATTCCCATTATCTGGAGTTATATCGTTGTTGTAGCTTGAAACTTCCATGACGTCACTGTCACTGCTCTTCATAAAATATTTCATAACACTCATTGTGCCGTTAAATTCTTTAGTCAAGTTCATCTTACATTTAGTTTTATTATTTTTCTTGTTTCTTAAAATATTCTTTGTGTTTATTTGCGGTATAGTTAAATTGTATGAGTGTAACGTTTTAGTGAACACAATCGTCTTTCTGTTGGTTTCAGTGACATTGTGTTTCATTTGCTGTTCTTTGTATTGTTTGTGACTAGATTTCATATTTTTGTGTTTATTTCGAAAGAATTGTATCCTTCGTTGGCTAAAATTGTTCATCAATATATTTATTATCATACCACGGTTTCTGTCAGTATTTACTCCGACTGATTTAGTTTCATTGAACATATCTTCCATTTCGAAAGTGCTAGGATGAAAGTTATTATTTTCTTCAGGTATTACGTGGTACGTGTTTTCTGATCGGACTTTTGTTACCCAGTCAAGGGTGTATTGCTTTTCTTTGTAACGTATTCTCAAATTACTAGTCAGACTGTGAAATCGTCTAAGAATGTTTGGAGCGGAAGAGCCTTGTTCATGGGTATTAGTAGGCATCTCGATGGCATCCATTAGTCCAGCTGGACCACTTTCATTGAAGAATTGCCAACGTTGATCGTAGCTGTGGGATGACTTTTTAAAATTTCTTCTAGTTACTTCCTCCATTTGGAGTAGAGGCACCTGTTTGTGGGAAAATACAAAATTATCTATTTGTTAAAAAGTACATTTATTTTATGCAGATTTGGTTTTATAAAATCACAACCCCAAATTGGTTTTAGATTTTTGGAATTTGGATCTCATAGGTTGATAATTATGTGTATGGGTTTCCCAAAGCGAGGGTAACATAAGCAGCTATACCTTTCTTAGGTTCCAAGGAAGGTATGGCGAGTTATGGTATCCACTTACATTCTCATGCAATGTCTCTCCTCCTGGATCGCCGTGCTCACTATCACTGTCATCAGAAGAACCTCTACAAATACAAAAACATAAATTATTATAATTATGGGAAGTGAATGACAGCACTCAGAGATTTGATACGAATTGCTCGGAGAACGGACAAGCAGTCTTTGATATTAATAATGGTATTTCGACAATTTTTGTCAACTCAATTCATTATATACTTTCTCATATAAACATTTAAATTAACGTTTGTTGTATCTTACTTTTCCAAGCTGACATCACTGAGGTCCCCGTAGTCAGCAGGTGACATGCATATTGTGCATAATGCTCCAATATCTTGGAAGCAGCTCATGCAGTATATACCTGGACATCCACGAGTCTGACATCTGTTAAAAATGGATGAAAAAATTCAAATGTTACTAAACTCACAAATTACTCCCTAAAAGTATTAGTAGAGGAATATTATAACTATGGGGTACTCTATTGGCTATGTGCGCGACGGTGGCGACGCGTAGCTTTTACAACATTTGCGGAAGCTGTCAAATAATCACAATGTAAACATTATATTTTTTTTTGCAAATATAAATAATACCAAAGATTAAAATAGTAATGTTGACATTATTTAAGTGCAATTTATTCAATAGTTTTACTGTAAAAGGAATATAATAATAAAAACCGGGTTTGCATCATCCGCATTTGTTTCCAATTTCTGCCGTGTTGTGCACTGCGGTCGATAACTGTCCGCCACTACTGCCTTTGCACATAGCCAATACTCTGGTAATATCGGAAACCAAAAATTTCATAGCAATTTTTTTTAAGAAAAGCTGTACAAACACTGTCTCTTTTGGGAAACAAAATAGTTGTGGAACGGTACGACGATGTAGTGAGGTGCTATATTTTGGACAAATATTGGTTACGATCTAACCTCGTGAGTTCAGATTCTGGTTCAGTAGATGGGGTAATGCCACACAGTAGACAATGTGGCTCCTTGTCGCTTAATCCCAGCAAAGATTTGAGACACTGGAAGCTAAAAAAAGAAATGAAATAAACTCTAAAGCAACGTAACCAATGAGCTAAAAGAAAAATAATAAGAGAAAAAAATAATATCAGTTTCATCCCTATCATTTAGACGTCTGGTAGTCAACAACTAAGCGCTTTTCCCGAAACATTCTACCGATGCGACCTTCAAGAAAGAGATTTTTTTAACTCCTATTCCATAAAAAATATCTTATCTGATCATTCATCATCTTCGATTATTAACTCTGTTTGTACAACGTCCCAAAAATATCTCGCAATATAATAAAACAATCGTGTCCAGAGTAAGACAATTTATTGCATAAAGGCTGCAGAGGGCATAATCTGATGGAAAATCTTAACACCGCGATCACGACACACAGCACAACGTCATCTGTTGTCGAACAGTGGTACTAACTACGAACTTTGTTATGATAGTTTATGGAGTATTATAATATGTATTATTATGCTTAATGTAAACAGAATAGACACTGTTATTGTATATTTTTACTATTTTTGCAAAAACATCTTAGGTGACCAGTAAAGAAGAGGCAATATTGACAAAGTAAGAACTTACGGTATGTGATCCGCAATCCACTGACGAAACGTAAGCGATGCTCCTGAAGAATATTTGTAGTCACGATGCAATTTTCTTCGAGCAAATTTCATAAAACTTGCTGAAACATAAGGTTCTTTCTTGAAAGTCATAATTCAAGTAAACTAAACAAAATAATTTACATTCATCAAAATCATTCTTATTAGACGAATCATAAGCAGGGACTGCAATTGAATTTAAAATATTTATATACTATATTTAAAAATTAATCCCTTTTCCCTTGGTCACGGCATCACGCGTGAATGGCTGGACCGATTTCACTAATTATTTTTTGTTGTATTGGTTATTATTAGGAGAAGGTTCTTAAGACAGAAAAATCTTGAAAATCCTAGGGGACGGGAGAAAATGGGATTGCGTGTACGAAGTCGCGGCTAGTAGATACATAAAGAATATAAGCGTATCTGAAGAAAAGATGAGTAGATTGTGTGAGAAACGGAACAAAAGATAGAGGAATGAAAATTAAATGTGTGATGATGATGTTGTTAATGGAAATGGAGAGAATAGAAGAAGCCAATTGCATCGATTACACGCACGAAGCACTTCGCTTCAAGCTTCCTTGTGCGTACTGCTAAAGAGTGGAATTCTTTGCCAGAGTCTGTATTTCCTGAAGGGTATAACCTGGGAGTCTTCAAGGCCCGAGTGAATAGGTTGCTTATGGGACGACGTGCTCCATCGTAGACCGCATCATCGCTTACCATCAGGTGAGATAGTGGTCAAACGTCGCCCCATCAAATATAAAAAAAAAAATCGATACTGAATGAGAATAAGTGGAAAAGAGCAATATAAAGAAGAGTAGTAGACGAATCAAGACGAAGTTTCATACGAACCTCTAGTTCTCAGTATATGGTTGTACAACCAGGTAGCTCTGGCTTTAGCTCGCTCCGGTCTGTAATGTCCCATGATCAGATGCCGCAACCGAAGACCATACGGTTCGAAGAGTGCGAAGAACCATAGAAGGAAGATGAGAACTCCTGAAAAGAGTTTAATTGTTTTGCACTCTTTACCCGACTGATTTTAAATTGTTATAGTGAAAGAAGTATCATCATAACACCATGCTCATTATCTGCATATAGGTATTATTATCCTTTATTGTAGATGCTCATGAGTGGCGTTGATCAATTACAATCAGGTGTCACGTCTGATCTTTGGCACCTATTCCTTAAACAATTCTCACCAGTTTAGCCTTCTCATTTTTCCTTTTGTCACTTACATTATTTTTATTGTGTCAATTCCTAAAACGCATTTACTTTTATATATACTGCTGTCATGCTGTTTCTTCTACCCCATTCAAATGCAAAATAAACAAAAATGACAGTTTTGATTTTACGCATTATAACTAACTACCTTGCTTTGAAATCTTGGCCACCATCTACGGGAAATATTACCATAATTAATTTCACCTACCAATCTGTGTATATCTTCGCAAATCAGGTGGGTAGGGGTCAGGCAGGCAGGTTATGGGCGAAGGTGCTGGGAAGGAGAGCGGTATGTCCAGGATCCCTATGATGGAGCTGAACAGTCTCGCCACATAGCCACTGCCAGATACATGGGCTCCTGAGTGGGGGATACCAGCTGGGAACAATATAGTGATAAGATTATCAACTCCAAGTTGAGGTATTTTACACAATTTGTATACTTCTTTGAAGAAGTAGAAGGATGAGCAAGCTAAAACGTGTATGCCACAACAACCTACGAAATGAAACACTCACGCATCAATTCCGTCTGATAGCTCCCATGGTAACGTATGGTCATCAGAACCCAGTAGAGGCTGTAGTCAGCCACCATGTGTATCAGCAGCTTGAAGGTAGTGATCGCCATGAACACTGCTGAACGATTCAGGTATACTTTTTCTGAAGCTACTAGACGAAAGGACGTCGTCTGCGAAAAATTGCATCATATCAACAACCTATAACGTCCAGTTTCTATAACCCATTTTGTATGGAGCTCATGTCAAAATTCTATCTCTAGTAAGCAAATCTACAGATAGATAGGTTATAGAAACTGGACGTTAGTGGTACCTGCTGACCTAAGTTCTCACACGGAGAAGGTTTGAGCATTAATCACCACGCTTGCCCAATGCGAATTTCAAACTTATAATTAGAGATTATAAGCCCAGGTTTCCTCACGACGTTTTCCTTCACCGTTTGTCAGTGGTGTCTAATTAATCTTGGAAAGTATATTATAACTCGGAAAGAGTCACCTTGTTACTTGCCGTTGGTAGATTTCAAACTCACGTCCTCATGCATGAGAAGCGGGTGGCTTTAACCTTATTATAATAAAATTTTATGACATCGTCGCCAGTAGTGGTAGGATATTGGAATTGAAGATCTAGTTCAGCGGCGTACTGTCAGTGGCTAGGACTAAGACCTAACAGTCTTTTGACGAGGAAAATGACGGTTTAACCAGGTTGCGCAGATAAGTGACACCTAAAGTATCGAACTTAATTTATCAAATTTTTGAGGAGAAGGGGACTTCGTTTCTTTATTCTTTTATCAGTATCTAGTTGAAGTTTTCCTTACTATAATCACAATTTACTACACAGAACTCAATTTGATTTGGTATTTAAGAAACCTTAAGAAAATAATTAAATTAATGATAACTAACACTATTAAACAAAATCTTACATTGATATACTTAGCTCGCTCTCTCCTATTCAATGGAAGTACAGTCTCCCTTCCCTGCCGCTGTCTCTTCAAGTCCAGCTCTTGCAACTCCTTGGTGACGTAACGGTTGTCGAAACGAGATCGAGTTTCGTACATGTGCTGGTAGTATTTAGCTCTGGAATTTATGATTATGGTTTTTTTTTCTTTTGCGCTAAATCTTTTCACGCCCTTTAATGAAAGCTATTTAACATTTATTGACTGCACGGTTGGTGCGGTGGCTGGGCAACCGGCTGCCGTGCAACGTGTCGACAAATTGTTGTTTCGGGTCTGGGTGTCATAATGTCATTGTGTATGTGAACTTGTATGTTTGTAAACGCACCCACAACACAGGAGAAAATCCTAAAGAGGAGCAACGTTTCTTCTAAAAAAAAAATATTTTGCTTCTGGCTTCTACCCGCGATCCCGTGGGATGAATGTAGCCTATATATCCTCTTGTATGTTGAAAGTTGCGGGTATAATGTGTTTTATACCGGGAGCCGATGTTTCAACAGATAAAAGGATATTATTCCATACATATAATCTATCCCTGTTCTTTTCACCTCGATCCCTTCAGCCGTTTTGACGTGATTAAGTAACAAACATACACACAAACTAACAAATTTTCGCTTTTTATAATAACTATCGTGTGACGTACTCGTGGCGCTCGCATCGGTGTTGCTACTTGCGCTGCGAGCCCAACTGGCCAGAGCGGCCAGTGAGCTGCGCGACGTCGACGCGACCGCGCACGAGGAAGAACCCCTCTGTGGTTCGAAACTAGTAGAGCTTTTCTCAGTATATTCACGTGATTAACCCGCGATTTTAGTTAAATTTTCGCTTTTATAATATTAGGAAGATACTTAAGTGGATGCTACCACCTATATCGAGATGTTAACGGAAGTATGTACCAAAAACGGTAGAGAAATTTTTAGCTTCAATCATTCATTTGTCATTCTATGAAAAAGAAATTTCTCTACAGCATTTTCAACGGTCAAGACAACTTTGGCTGTTGCTGGCGACTTCGTCCGCGTAGAACATGAATTTTAGAACTTTAATTATTTTGATTTTCCAAAATAAAAGTCGCCTATGTTACGCCTTAATCGGTCCAGCCATTCCAGAGATAAGCCAGTAAAAACAGACAGACAGACAGGCAAAAAACTGTAAAATATGGTATGTGTATCGTATGTATATTCATATGCATGTCTTTTAATATTACAAACAGACACTCCAATGTTAATTATTTTTATAGATGTTTTATAACCGAATCACCACAAATACCTGAATATTATAAGCAGCAAGAACAAGCTGGTGACGCAAGAGCTCCAAGAGAGCCATGTGAGCAGGGGATCAGCTCTGTTCCTGATCTCAGTGACGATGCCAGCAGCCACTTGGCTGGCAGACCGGCTGGTGTTGCTACTGTACGAATACGAGTGATGCATATGGACTTCCACTTGGAACATTGCTCGGAGATGCTCACTAAAGTTTCTTAGTTCTGGAAGAGATAGTAGCAGGTATACATACATCGCCTCAAAGGGCCATCAGACCACCACGGATGGGGCCCAATAGGGCTGATGCCGATACGGAGCTGCGGAGAGCCTAACGGGTTACCGGGGCTCCGGCTCGAAGTGCAGTAGGAACGGGGTGGTTATTAGCCAGTAAGAGTGTGACACTATCCCGCCCCGCCCAGGCGGGAGCAGTCATTCGATGATTTTCCCCTCTTAAAAAACATACATACATAACTTCACATCTATCTTCCATGGGGGTATGCAGAGACTATGGAACGCCAATTGCTACGATTCCTACATACCTCTTTCGCTTCATCGACAGTCATCAATCTTTTCATGCATGCTCGTCGGTTAAGGGTACTTTCAATTTGACCCTTCTTTTAGTGGCATAGATTTTGTACCCAAATAGGATTTCAGTGATAACTGACCGAAATAATGGAAAACTTGATGTATATACGATGGCCAGCAAGTCAACCTGTTCACTTCTGTGAAATTTCTCTATAACATCTTTAACTTTTTGGTATTGACATAAAGTCGGAAATCTGATGCCCAATTCCCCCCCCCCCCCCCTCCCTTTCCCCAATCCCTGAATCCCCAACAATCCTCAAATTCCTAATTCCAAAAGGCCGGTAATGCACTTGTAACGCCTCTGGTGTTCCGTCTCGTGTTCCATCAGGTGATCCGTCAGCTCGTTTACCGGCTTATCCCATAAAAAAAATCTAATGAGTAAATTTAAGTACGTTGATTTGCTGGCCACAGTAGGTACCTATTGGCTTTCACGGTGTTAATCCTAGCATAATTACTTATGTTAAATGGTTGAGTGGAATGTGGACCTTATCCGTATGCAACAAGCGAAAGCCCATTTAAAAGAATATAACACAAAGACGCCCATTTTTCGTTGATTAGATATCGATAATATTGACAATCCTTACCAACCACACAAGCCTTGCCTTACCTGCATAATTGGCTCAAACTGGCATGTACCTAGACACCAGCAGAGCAGTTCTAGCTAATAAAGCGACATTATCTCAAAACGACAAGGTCGAAAATCCAATACAGACTGCTAAATCTATTACAGTTCATCTCTATACGCGGTTAAATGGAATTTCCTAAACGGATCACGTCTGAATTGGTTGGAATGCGATGAATTTGCGACGAGCCAGTTACTGTAGCGAATACTGTATCTACTTAGCGAGATAGGTTGATTGATGCCTTAGTAGTTGTGATTACAATTTCGAGCGGTTTCGCTTGAATTCAGTCTCATGACTTGTAAAGAAGAATTGGTCAATCTTATTCAGTTTCGATGTCTTTGATACATAAATCATCATTTTTAAGCTGAAGCAGTTATTTATTTATTTATTTATTTATTTATAAGCACATGTATAACTTTACAGCACAAGCCAAAACATTATACAGTTAAATAATAATAAAAAAAAAATGTTACTTATTTACTATTTTACACTTATGTTAGATTTCAATTTAACGGTAACTTAATTCCTTTCTTCATTTTGACTACTTAGTTGAATTTATTTTGATTTTGAAATCCACAGGTTTTTTTAATGTACACACGAGAGTGTAAGCCATGAGAAAGAGACTGCGCGAAGTAACTCCATGCAATGCATAGATGTTCCGGAATATAATAATTATAATATTTTCGGATCGAAATAATGGGATGTGATTATGAATGAATAAAGCGAGTACTTATGGTACAAATCTGCACAATCCTACAGAGTGCCAAGCACGAATAACTATCGCATTCGTAACGTAATAGTATCGAGCGCGTTCGCCACTCTGATTGGCCGGCTCAAGTGAATCAACCAATCAGAACGCTTAACTCGCTCGATACTATTACGATACGAATGCGATAGTTATTCGTGCTTGGCACTCAGGTAATAGTGAAGTAGAGAATCTATGAAATAAACAGTAACTAAAATTAAACTTACTCTTCTTAACGCTCGCCAGAATCGCTTCATCCATAAAGTCGGTAGCGTAACAAAACGCTTTGAAGGGTTTCACGGAATAGCACGCAGCTTGAGCCACATAGGCCACATCGCATAGTTTTGAGAGCCCAGGGCCTACGTGCTTCTTGCAGTCAGATATGCCTTCCTTCATGGCACTGTTGCAACGCTCGTATGGTGTTCCAAGCTGAGCGTTGCAAATGTCTGCTACTGATTGTAGCCAGGAGAATGAAGACTGGATGATGCTTACTGGAATGAGTTTAAGGTTTAAAATCAAAGGTGAATAAAATATATAGCATAAATAAGTACTAGCATGGAAGAGTCGATTTGTTAGTTACGCTATTGTGTATTTAGTGTTCATTTTTAAATCACCAGTTAATTCTTAACTGTAGAATAAAATTGTTATTTTTACAGTTTTTAGTATGGAATATTTACGTGAAAATTCTACTCCCTATATCTACCTACCTAAATACGTTTAGAACTATAAAATATTTATACGAAATTGTCCTCAATCCAAACATGCGAAAGACCACATGGCATGCTACAAAGATCGATATTATAATTATTATTTATCGAGAATTGTCGATAACATCAGGTTAAAGACAAGTGTACCGGTGTACGTATACCTACGTGTACTGCAAGTTATATGGGAATTTAGACATACGTTGAAAATGGTACCTAACACTTTATTTTTTTTAATTCTGTGTAGGTAAGTAACTACCTACTTAAGCATGCTCACGACGAAAGGGCTCGTCAACTCAGTTTAAGTTGGGCTCAGTAAGTACTCAACCCTGGTTTGAGCAGTTGGTAAGTAACAGTAAGGAAAATAATACGATTACATAAAACACATGTTAAAAAAAGAAAGAAAAGACTGCCTCGTTACGACCAAGTGGACGCAAGTGCGATTGCCGGGCCCCTTGCCCGGCAATCGCACTTGCGTCCACTCGGTCTCAGGTTCGATTCCCCGGTCGGGCAAAGCACTATATTGGGTTTTTAAAAAAAATCTCAGTGGTAGCACGGAGTCTGGAATTGTGTCCGGCAATACCCCTATTACATGGGACTCATAACATAGATAGTGAAAAGTGGGTGTTTTATTGTACAGAGGCATTAAGTGCTATAATGTGCACCTCTGCCTATCCCTTCGCGGTAAAAAGGCGTGATGTTATGCTATGCCCATAAGCACACCACAAACTCACCGATACTTAGCACCAATCGATCGAGTTCCACGACTGTTTCCTTCACCTTTGCCGTGATCATCTTCAGCCGGTCCACCATCACCTTCAGTGAGTCTTTCATAGTGGTGAACGGTTTCTTCATCAGGTCATTCAGTTGGTGCACGCTTGCTTTTATTTGTTCCTGAAGTTAAATAATTTATTAAAGAAACTGAATAGAAAGATTGTAAGAACAAAAGATAGAGGAGAAAGACCATCGTCATTCATTGCTAGATATAGGCTTCTCCTTTCCAAAAGAGGGCTTTGCCATAATGGCGGAAGCCCAATTACCAGCCCCGCCCCTTTCCCAATCTCCCCAATCCCTGAAACTCCAACAATCGTCAAATTCTTTATCCCTAAAAGGCAGGTAACGCACTTGTAATACATCTGGTGTTCCGGGTGGCCATGGGCGACGCTGATTGCTTACCATATCAGGTGATCCGTCAACTCGTTTACCGGTTTACCGGTATACCGGCTTATCCGATAAAAAATAATGTTTATGTACACACTGCTGTCTCGTTGGCCGAGTGGTCGCAAGTTTGACTGCCGGGCGAAGTACTACTGGGTTTTTAAAAAAAAATCTCAGTAGTAGCACGGAGTCTGGAATTGTGCCCGGTATATGGCAATAGGCTCACTCCCTATTACATGAGACTCATAACATAAATAGTGAAAAGTGGGTGTTACATTGTACAGTGGCATAATGTGCACCTCTGCCTACCCCTTCGGGGATAAAAGGCGTGATGTTATGTTATGTTATGTACACACTTGGCAGGCGGAATGGAGATCGCAGCTAATACCTAATGCTTTTATAAACGAAAGCCGACTTTATCCTCCTCTTTTTTTAAGTCTGTTAATTAATATACTAAAACCTTCTCCTAAGTGTAACATACGCTTTTCTGAAAACCGGTTCAGCGAATTGCGAGATAATTGCGCACAAACGTCCAGGTCAAACAGAGAACCTCCTTCTTTTGGAGTCGGTTAAAAAGGATCAGGTTTATCTGAGAGCGTTAGCACACGATCTATGTTTAATTGTGTAGTCCCTTACACCAGCCATTATTTAATTATTATCCTTATTTTCTATTAATTGCTTTCAAAAATGCATTTGCCGATTGTATATCATAATTTTATGAATTTCATATCAAAAGGAGCTTCATATCTTTAAGTATTTTCTATTTAGGTATGTAAGAACATAAACGCTTCTACGTAACAAATACAAAATAAGTACCTACATAGAGAATCTAAGACCGTTTTCGTAGACAGCAGTAAATCAAAATAAAATGTTTTTCACAGCGTTTGGGTAGTCCAGACGAAAGTTATGAGGTTAAGCACCCAAAATGTTTACCAGTTATTTCAAGTTTTAAGATTTATTAATGTCTGGCGACCCCTCGACACTTTGAATACCTTCTAGATAAGTTTTGTAGGGATTATCGTAGAGTGAGATGAGAGAATGAGCTGATGTTGGAAGCGTATAGTCATTTGATTTAAGAATATTCTCAGTTATATGTATGTAGGTATTTCATAATTCTATATTATTATTGCTATGACACGCCATGTCCGGTCGCGTCCATAATGTTCTTACAATGCACATTATGCCACTGTACAATGTAACACCCACTTTTCACTATTTATGTTGAGCCTATTGCCATATACCGGGTACAATGTAGGTACGTCACAATTTAATAAAATAATTGTCTTAAAAAAACTTCCTATCGCGATTGCAGATTATAATAACTCCCTTTATCGTGATTACTTTCTCTTGAATATGGTACCTATGTATGTAGATGTATGCAACAAAATTACAAATTGCTAACTAGGAGTCCATCTCAACATCTCTTCAATAGCCTTAATTTCTTTTGAAATGCAAAGGAGAATATCATTCCTTTCATATTTATGTTACACACTTGTAGCTATAATAGAATAGTACCTAATCATATTTAATTTTCTATATGTATGCGCCGTGTGACTGTTCGTACGACAATTTTGTGTCAACGAAGTGTGGGAGAGCCATGCTTCGGCACGAATGTGCCGGCTACCAAAATGATACCACGGCCTAACAGAAAATCGACGTAAAACAACACTTGCGTTGAGGTTACCGGAGGCCCAATTATCCCCAATCTCCCCCAACAATCCTCGAATTCCTAATCGCAAAAAGGCCGGTAACGCACTTGTAATACCTCTCGTGTTCCAGGTGTCCACGGGCGACGCCGATTACTTACCATCAGGTGATCCGTCTGCGCGTGTACCGGTTTTTTCAAAAAACAAACAAAACAATTGAAGCAAGGTTCCTAGTTGATAAATCTGTAACATAATCTTCCATACACTTCTCTCTACATAGAAAGGGTTTCCAGTCCACTCACTTGAGAACAAGCCATAGATTCAGATAGTACTTCCGAGTTCTTCAAGGTATTAGTAGCAGGTCCTGTCAGGATGAGAACCAGGGCATAGCAGGTCAGAGTGTATCTTCCGACGCGGGAGAAAAATTGAGGGATCAGCAGGAATACTAAACATCTAGGAAGAAAGGAATAATCTGTTAATAACTGAAGCTGTGTAGGTATCTCCCTTAACTATTGAATTTTCTCATTACCTATCATTATTCCATGCACTGCTGAACATAAGCCTCTTTAATAGCACACCACATTGTTTAACACTTCAATTACACCTAAATGGCTAAACCGATTTTTTAAAGGGTGAGGCGGGAGGGAGTGTCAGACTCTTACTGACTAAAAACCACCCCGTTCCTTCTCCTGCACGTCGAGCCGGAGCCCCGGTAACCCGTTAGGTTCTCCGCGACATGGCTAAACCGATAAGGTTGAAATTAAACACACTTCTGCACGATAGACCATTATTGAATGTAGTCATAGGATACTTTTAAATACATAAATGCGAGCTAAACGAAAGTGGATATAGGTATAAGGAAATTACGAAATTAGTTGAGACCAATTTCATAAATATGTCAATGATTTTGGTAAACCGAAGTGTCTCATACCTTATTCTGTAACTGAAAGCCAGTCCTAAGGTAAGAAGAACTCCAATGATGGAACTCATGATGGTAGCATGGATGAGAGATATGGAGAGCTGGAAGACGAAAAACATAAAACACAAGTACGTCAGTATTATGCCGCCCACAAATCCCATCACACTCTTCAACAGAAAGTTGGGAAATGTCTGATCCGTTCGTAAATACAAGAAAAAATTTGCAACACTACTGCCCTCAGGATACCATTTCTTGAATGTTCTTGAAATCCGTTTTTTTGTATCACGTCTATAGTGGCTCCATCTTTGGGATAATGTTTGTTCCATTTGCGTATTTCCCAACACTATAGAATTGATTTTTTCTCTTTCATAGTTTAGTCTGTATTTTTCGATTGTTCGCGCCTTCCATAGAAGGGCGAAAAAAGCCATGGTGGATGGCTTTTTATTTAGCTTTGAATGCTAAAATCCTCGTCTTGGTATAGACGAAACACATTTTTAGTGAATCTATAAAAACATCACGTTCATACAATGAGTAATGACATGACAGCGGACTGTTGTCATTTTTCTTTTTATTCTTCTATGCCAGTTCGAAATCAGCTGCGGTGCAAAGAGTTCTTATTTTAAATTTTAGGTACGAACCTTAACTACTTATTCCAGATTGGGTCATGTTTCCTTCAGTGAGTGGCTGAGCGAGCGGTTGCTGTGCGTCGTGTCGCGGGTTCGATTCCCGTACCGAACAATTTTTTGTGAAATTCACAAAATATTTTTGTGTCGTCTGGGTCTAGGTGTGCTATGTATATTATGAAACTATGTGTTTGTAGGTAATATGAATATTACTTACTTTAAAAGAATCAGATATAGTCAGGACCTCCACTTCCACAGGACCTATAATTGTCACTATCTAACAAACTGTTGCAATAATTAAACCAGTAGGCACTAGCATTTCTTACTGGATTATTTAATTTTTATTTACCTACAAGATATGCTCAAATTCTTAAGCTTTGTACTTACGTTGGTCCATAACATCGTCTCCTAACTTATATGAAGTAGGTAATACAACTTTTAGATAGAAGTTCTGTAGTGTGATAAAGTGACAATATAAAAAATATTAGTGAACACTGAACGCGTCCATAAGAACTGCAATGAAAAGGAAGTATTTATTTACAATTGGTACGTGTTTCATTGTACACTGTAATTTTGCGTATTGAGTTGCTGCTGTATTCAAGATATTCAAAAGTTCAACAATAGCGACGAAGTTCGTTGACTTAAAATTGTCAATAACAAAATTAAAATGAACTTGCCCTGTACACGGTCCCACAGTTCTGCGCAAGACGTTCAACATGCGCAGATCACTGCAATGCTACAAAATCAACTTCACTCCATTGCCTCAAATATCGTGAAAAGATAATCTTTTTTGGAATAATACCTAAACGGCATAATGCAGATTTTGTTCAGTATTCGTGGTTATTAGTGTTAGTGAGTGATAATGTTCAAATAATTTGAGTGTTCACAAAGGTTTCCAAGTGTATGAATCAATTAAGAATTCATTGAAGAAATCGTAAGTGAATTAAAGTCTTGCTGTATCATTCTATCAATTTCATAAATGTGGATCGGTGTAATTATATTACTTAAACATATAAAATATTGGAAAGACTATAATGAAATTAATTTCAATACTTTTTTCCCGACATTTTGAGGACCTTTTTCATAGTTATACAATCTACAAGCTATAAAATAAATCTGCATAGTCATAAAGTCAGTACCAGACATCATAAAACTTGTTCACGATATCGTTTTCAAGAAAAGATTTTAATTTAACAAAGTACAATACATGTACCTAAGTTTAAAGGACAAAAGAGGTGGATAATTTTAATTATTATATTGAACGTGATTTTAATTTTTCGTTCTCAAAATTAGTACTGTCAACCAATTGTCAAAATTGATTTGACATTTTGACTATTTTTGACAGCAGTTTGTTTTTAATTTTCGGGATTCGATTGTTTTGAAATAATATTGTTGTTTTGTTCTTTTCTTTTGTTTTAATTAAAAAGTTTCTTGATTTCATAATAGCTTTTAAAATACTATTGCTAATCAAACCATTCAAATTTTCTTGGATATTGTGTGAAAATATCAAAAATATTGGTAAATGATATCAGCATCAATCTAGTCGCATTTACATTCTAGATTCCTAAAAGCTATCGTTAAGTCATGGGAGGCAGCAATTTGAGGCAGACGACGATTCAATTTAATAATTTTTTATTTAGTGTAAAAATGAAACCTCCTAAAATAAACATTGGTAGGTATGTAGCTATAAGCTTAATTTACCTTAACAATGATTTTATTTTCATTTCTCAGTATATTACTCAAAGATATTGCAGCCAGGGTTTTAAGGGTTGAAGATGGAAGGAGGGAAGATTGGCCTGCCGGTAACCTCACCCTTCCGGCGAAAAACACCGTGTGCATTGTTTCACGCCGGGTTTCTGTGAGGCCGTATTCTCCGGTTGAGCCGGCCTTTTCGTGTCAAAGCGTTGTTCTCCCACATTTAACACCCAATATGAAATACTTTAATCAAAAAATAAAAAGCTAGCAATATGTTATTTTTCCACTCAGATCATGGACAACGAGCAGCCTCACCAGGAGTTGGTGAAGTGTGTGGTAGTTGGAGACACGGCTGTGGGGAAGACTCGGCTAATATGTGCCCGGGCATGCAACAAACATGTCTCACTGTCACAGCTCATGACCACACATGTACCAACTGTGTGGGCTATAGACCAGTATCGGATATACAAAGATGTGAGTATAAGAATTATTATAATTTTAAGATTTTTTTAAGGTTCCTTCACACTTGACTTTTTTCTCTGTATTGTGGATGCTTTGGATGCATTTACAAACATAACAGTTCATATGAACATCACACTTAGACTCTGGAACTACAATTTGTGGATCACATAAAGAGTTATTCCATAGGAGATTGAAACTTTTGATAATCTAGTGCAGTGCGTTGACCCAGTTATTGTGTTAACCATTTAACCAAATGCATACATACATACATAACTTTACACCTGTCTTCCATGGGGGTAGGCAGAGACTATGGAACACCAATTGCTACAACTCTTACATACCTCTTTCACTTCATCAACAGTCATCAATCTTTTCATGCATGCTCATCAGTTAAAGGTATTTTATATAATTTGGCCTTTCTTTAATATACCGCCAGTATATGTCCGTCTAGGGTGCCCTCTACCGAAAGGCCGACGAAAGAAGTATACAGAGTGGATATATTAACTCTACTTTCATCTATCCTTTCCAATCCATCCATGTTACGAAATCTGAAGAATATTCTATAAGTCTGATTTAATCATAATGAATTTATGAGGGTTGTGAATGGTCGGTAATTAATTTACTTTCTTAATTAACAGGTGTTAGAAAGATCTTGGGAAGTGGTTGATGGTGTGAATGTATCACTGCGTCTATGGGATACCTTCGGAGACCATGAAAAAGATAGAAGATTTGCTTATGGAAGGTAAAACCTGAATCTTTGTTCTATCTATTTCTCGTTAAGTGTAATTTTTATCAAATTTTTCTTAGAGAGAGTCACTCTGTCCAACTATTCAAGGTCACCTTTAGTGGTTTGTCTTTTATTATGAAACAAATTCAGCCAAAAATTTGTAGAAATGTATACAGGGCGTAAATAGAATGCTCTCAAAACACTGACAAGAAGAAATTGTTTTTGTTTTCGTGTTATTGATGCAATATCAGCGTTGAGCAGTAGATTACAACTATTATTATTATTACATTAAAGAAAGATTTACATAACTCCTTACTTTTATGATTTGCGTTTTTGGGAGCGTGGAAGTATTCGAAACGAGGCCGCGTTCGGCACTCTGATTGGCCGGCTCCTATGAACCAATCAATCGATCAAATCAATCCTGAGCGTCGAACGTACTCGTTTCGATTACTTTTAACGTAAAACAAACTAACTAAGGCCTCGGTTTAAATGGTGTACAGTAACCACTCCAAAACTATATTATGAGTAGGTCAGGACAAAATGGACACAGAAAATGAGTTATTCTTTTTTTTTTTTTTAACGTTGCCCACAGGATTTTCTCCTGTGTCGTGGGTGCGTTTACAAACATACAAGTACACCCAGACCCGAAACAACAATTTGTGGATCACACAAAGTGTTGTTCCGTGCGGGAATCGAACCCGCGACACGTTGCACGGCAGTCGGTTGCCCAGCCACCGCACCAACCGTGCAGTCACTCTGTATGGGAACTTTATCAGTGATGTGTTACTTATAGTCTTACCATAGTACTTTGCTTTCAGATCGGATGTAGTTCTTCTCTGCTTCTCCATAACAAACCCCATATCTTTGAGGAACTGTGGGGCTATGTGGTATCCGGAGATTAGGTAAAGTATAATTCATCAATACATACATTAATAGACTTTCACTCTTATTATTGTAAAGATATAATATAACTGCCTCATTGGCCGAGTGGTCGCAAGTGCGACTGCTGGGCAAGGGGTCTCGGGTGCGATTCCCGGGTCGGGCAAAGTATTACTGGGTTTTAAAAAAAATCACAGTAGTAGCACGGAGTCTGGAATTGTGCCCGGTATATGGCAATAGACTCACCCCCTTTACATGGGACTCATAACATAAATAGTTAAAAGTGGGTGTTACATTGTACAGTGGCATAATATACACCTCTGCCTTATCCCTTCGGGGATAAAAGGCGTGATGTTATGATGATGATGATATAATATAAAAAATTGAATGAAGAGTTGTTAAAAATCAACTTTTTTAATATATTTGTTGTTTGCTTTCAGACGATTCTGCCCTAACACGCCGATTCTATTAGTGGGATGTAAGAACGATCTTCGCTACATGTATAGAGACGAAACATACCTAAATTACTGTAAAGATCGCAGTCCTTTTATTAGGTGAGGGTTTTTATATGCACTACATGTAATAATTACTGTTACATCCTCAAGCGGTCACTAGTGACCGTATCTTCTCCATTATAAACCTTATTTCCGATGTTTAAAGACTACTTTTGTTTGAACATGGGGTACGTATTAACAGTAAATAATCAAAACTATTATTTTGGTTTTAGAATAATAATAAGTGTCCGTTTTACGTCTTGTTGTATTGACAAATACAGTAATTCATTTAGGTCCAACCTATTGGTTCGTGGTTGTAGGTACAGCTTATTCTCGTTACTATTAAGTTTGTGCGACTCTTGCTATTCATGACTAAAGGCCCCGGCATGGTTTGAAACTAGTCGAGTATTCTCAACTGGATTAAACTATTTTTTACGGCATAAGCCGGTAAACGAGCAGACGGATCACCTGATGGTAAGCAATCGGCGTCGCCCATGGACACCTGGAACACCAGAGACGTTACAAGTGCGTTATCGGCCTTTGGGGGATTAGGAGTTTGAGGATCGTTGGGGATTCAGGAATCAACTTAATTTATTGTTGTTTCATAATAGTTATAGCGTAGCACAAAACTGAATTAACATGTTAAAAGCCAATGGAATTACCTGCGACTGACGTTAGTGAACGATTTGCCTTCAACACTTTTCTATTGGCAATCAAAGACTTGTACATCTTTTTTACAGGGCCCCAAGAAAAAGTGACCTAGTGATGCCGGATCAAGGGCGCGCCCTAGCTCATGAGTTCGGCATATATTACTATGAGACATCAGTATTCACATATTATGGGGTTAACGAAGTTTTTGAGAACGCCATCAGAGCTGCATTGATTGCTAGAAGACAACAACGGTTTTGGATGACCAACTTGAAGAGAGTTCAACGGCCTTTGTTACAGGTAGGTTAAATACGTTGTAATTTTTTATGGGACAATGCTGGCACAACCTTCCGAAACTGCTGAAACTGTTGCTTAGTCCTGTAAGCCTAGATATACAGTAGATATCATGAAATCACCGGAACACTGACCACTGACGTCCCGGGGATCAAAATTTTTTTTACAATTTTTGTCTGTCTGTTTGTACTGGCTGGAATTGCTCTGGAATGACTGGACCAATTGTGTAAGACTTCTGTTGGCAGGCACTTAATGTACTAAGAAGTACATTAAACAACTTAGGTAACTTTTATTTCGGAAAATATAAAAATAAGTTATGTTCTAAAATACATATTCTAATCGGATGAAGTTGCGGGCAACAGCTTGTTTTATAATAAGAGCTGTGTCGTGACGTCTAGACTGTTGATGTTGGTGTGGGCAGTACAGTCCGGACTGTTGATGTTGTTGAGGGCAGTACAGTCCGGACTGATGTTGTTGAGGGCAGTTCAATCCGGACTGTTGATGTTGTTGAGGGCAGTGCAGTCCGGACTGTTGTTGTTGTTGAGGGCAGTGCAGTCCGCACTGTTGATGTTGTTGAGGCCAGTGCAGTCCGCACTGTTGATGTTGTTGAGGCCAGTGCAGTCCGCACTGTTGATGTTGTTGAGGCCAGTGCAGTCCGCACTGTTGATGTTGTTGAGGGCAGTGCAGTCCGCACTGTTGTTGTTGTTGAGAGCAGTGCAGTCCGGACTGTTGATGTTGTTGAGGGCAGTGCAGTCCGGACTGTTGTTGTTGTTGAGGGCAGTGCAGTCCGCACTGTTGATGTTGTTGAGGCCAGTGCAGTCCGCACTGTTGATGTTGTTGAGGCCAGTGCAGTCCGCACTGTTGATGTTGTTGAGGCCAGTGCAGTCCGCACTGTTGATGTTGTTGAGGCCAGTGCAGTCCGCACTGTTGATGTTGTGAGCCAGTGCAGTCCGCACTGTTGTTGTTGTTAGAGCAGTGCAGTCCACTGTTGAGGTTGAGGGCAGTGCAGTCCGGACGTTGTTTGTTGTTGAGGGCAGTGCATCCGCACTGTTGATGTTGTTGAGGGCAGTGCAGTCCGGACTGTTGATGTTGTTGAGGGCAGTGCAGTCCGGACTGTTGTTTTGTTGAGCCATGTGCATCCGGACTGTTGATGTTGTTGAGGGCAGTGCAGTCCGACTGTTGATGTTGTTGAGGGCAGTGCAGTCCGGACTGTTGATGTTGTTGAGCAGTGCAGTCCGCACTGTTGATTTGTTGAGGCAGTGCAGTCCGCACTGTTGATTGTCGTTGAGGCAGTGCAGTCCGGACTGTTGATGTTGTTGAGGGCAGTGCAGTCCGGACTGTTGATGTTGTTGAGGCCAGTGCAGTCCGGACTGTTGTTGTTGTTGAGGGCAGTGCAGTCCGCACTGTTGATGTTGTTGAGGCCAGTGCAGTCCGCACTGTTGATGTTGTTGAGGCCAGTGCAGTCCGCACTGTTGATGTTGTTGAGGGCAGTGCAGTCCGCACTGTTGATGTTGTTGAGGCAGTGCAGTCCGCACTGTTGATGTTGTTGAGGGCAGTGCAGTCCGCACTGTTGATGTTGTTGAGGGCAGTGCAGTCCGGACTGTTGATGTTGTTGAGGCCAGTGCAGTCCGCACTGTTGATGTTGTTGAGGGCAGTGCAGTCCGCACTGTTGATGTTGTTGAGGGCAGTGCAGTCCGCCAGTTGATGTTGTTGAGGCCAGTGCAGTCCGCACTGTTGATGTTGTTGAGGGCAGTGCAGTCCGCACTGTTGATGTTGTTGAGGGCAGTGCAGTCCGCACTGTTGATGTTGTTGAGGGCAGTGCAGTCCGCACTGTTGATGTTGTTGAGGGCAGTGCAGTCCGGACTGTTGATGTTGTTGAGGCCAGTGCAGTCCGCACTGTTGATGTTGTTGAGGGCAGTGCAGTCCGCACTGTTGATGTTGTTGAGGGCAGTGCAGTCCGGACTGTTGTTGTTGTTGAGGGCAGTGCAGTCCGGACTGTTGTTGTTGTTGAGGGCAGTGCAGTCCGGACTGTTTTTTATTTATTTATTTATTTATTTATGATTTACCAACATTTGTTTACACCAATACAATTGTCGAGATACAAATGTGAGTTCTTTACTGTAAGTGTAACAAATACTTATAGGTAAATACAGCATTTACAAAATTATTATCTTACATCTAAAACAAACTTGATATTAATTTTTAACAGGAAAAAAAAAATATTCGGTGCTACTGTGTACCAACTAAAGCAAAACACAAGTGTACCACACAAAACACCTGTATAGGTATATAAAAAACTAAGTATATAAAAACTAATTTTAAACACGAAAACAAGTAATAAAAGGAACAATATAAAAAAAACAAAATACAGTAAATTTTTCTCATGCGTGTGGTAACGACTTTTATACACTCGTAGATTTAGACACCATCAGTCAACTCTTTGTTGATAAGTACTTCAACAGCGCAGACCGGAACCCAACCAACGATGACGTGTGAATATCTACCAAGTCACTGCAGTCGTTCAGCAATCTACTCAGCCTTGGTAAGGGAGAATTAGCGCCAAGACAGTCCTGCGACGAGGTGGATACAGAAGCGCGATACGGTTACGCGGGTATTTGGCAGGCACTCGGTATTTGACTTTTTTCAGAAGGGTTGGGCAATCTATTATGTTATTTATTAATTTATACATGAATAAGCAGTCAGTGATTTCCCTACGACTGCTTAGTGATATCATTCGATGTAATGTTAATTTACTTTTGTACGATGTTGATGTTGATGTTGTTGAGGGCAGTGCAGTCCGCACTGTTGTTGTTGTTGAGGGCAGTGCAGTCCGGACTGTTGTTGTTGTTGAGGGCAGTGCAGTCCGCACTGTTGATGTTGTTGAGGCCAGTGCAGTCCGCACTGTTGATGTTGTTGAGGGCAGTGCAGTCCGCACTGTTGATGTTGTTGAGGGCAGTGCAGTCCGCACTGTTGATGTTGTTGAGGCCAGTGCAGTCCGCACTGTTGATGTTGTTGAGGCCAGTGCAGTCCGCACTGTTTATGTTGTTGAGGCCAGTGTTATCCGGACTGTTGATGTTGTTGAGGCCAGTGCAGTCCGGACTGTTGATGTTGTTGAGGCCAGTGCAGTCCGGACTGTTGATGTCGTTGAGGCCAGTGCAGTCCGCACTGTTGATGTCGTTGAGGGCAGTGCAGTCCGGACTGTTGATGTTGTTGAGGCCAGTGCAGTCCGCACTGTTGATGTCGTTGAGGGCAGTGCAGTCCGGACTGTTGTTGTTGTTGAGGGCAGTGCAGTCCGCACTGTTGATGTTGTTGAGGCCAGTGCAGTCCGGACTGTTGATGTTGTTGAGGGCAGTGCAGTCCGGACTGTTGATGTTGTTGAGGCCAGTGCAGTCCGCACTGTTGATGTCGTTGAGGGCAGTGCAGTCCGGACTGTTGATGTTGTTGAGGCCAGTGCAGTCCGCACTGTTGATGTCGTTGAGGGCAGTGCAGTCCGCACTGTTGATGTCGTTGAGGGCAGTGCAGTCCGGACTGTTGATGTTGTTGAGGCCAGTGCAGTCCGGACTGTTGATGTTGTTGAGGCCAGTGCAGTCCGCACTGTTGATGTCGTTGAGGGCAGTGCAGTCCGGACTGTTGATGTTGTTGAGGCCAGTGCAGTCCGCACTGTTGATGTCGTTGAGGGCAGTGCAGTCCGGACTGTTGATGTTGTTGAGGGCAGTGCAGTCCGCACTGTTGATGTTGTTGAGGCCAGTGCAGTCCGGACTGTTGATGTTGTTGAGGCCAGTGCAGTCCGCACTGTTGATGTCGTTGAGGGCAGTGCAGTCCGCACTGTTGATGTCGTTGAGGGCAGTGCAGTCCGGACTGTTGTTGTTGTTGAGGGCAGTGCAGTCCGCACTGTTGATGTTGTTGAGGGCAGTGCAGTCCGGACTGTTGTTGTTGTTGAGGGCAGTACAGTCCGCACTGTTGATGTTGTTGAGGCCAGTGTAGTCCGGACTGTTGTTGTTGTTGAGGGCAGTGCAGTCCGGACTGTTGTTGTTGTTGAGGGCAGTGCAGTCCGCACTGTTGATGTTGTTGAGGGCAGTGCAGTCCGGACTGTTGATGTTGTTGAGGGCAGTGCAGTCCGGACTGTTGTTGTTGTTGAGGGCAGTGCAGTCCGCACTGTTGATGTTGTTGAGGGCAGTGCAGTCCGGACTGTTGTTGTTGTTGAGGGCAGTACAGTCCGCACTGTTGATGTTGTTGAGGGCAGTGCAGTCCGGACTGTTGTTGTTGTTGAGGGCAGTGCAGTCCGGACTGTTGTTGTTGTTGAGGGCAGTGCAGTCCGGACTGTTGTTGTTGTTGAGGGCAGTGCAGTCCGGACTGTTGATGTTGTTGAGGGCAGTGCAGTCCGGACTGTTGATGTTGTTGAGGGCAGTACAGTCCGGACTGTTGATGTTGTTGAGGGCAGTGCAGTCCGGACTGTTGATGTTGTTGAGGGCAGTACAGTCCGGACTGTTGATGTTGTTGAGGGCAGTGCAGTCCGGACTGTTGATGTTGTTGAAGCCAGTGCAGTCCAGACTGTTGTTGTTGAGGGCAGTGCGACTGCTGATTTTGTTGTTGATTGAATTTATAACATTACTAAAAGTTGTCTTTTCTACTGACATACTTACTAAGATTAAATGTAAATGATATTGTCCAGGCACCATTCCGCCCCCCTCGTCCCATGGAGCCTGAGGTGGCAGTAGTGAACAGTACTTACTTGGAGAATATGACCACATTACTGCGGCAACAGGTAACTCGTACTTTATTGCTTACGTAGAACTTCAGCCCAGGTTACGACAGAGCAGAATACATTTGTGACACCTACTCTTGCGGCTCTTGGCTCGGGTGTAATATATCCGAGTAAGGGATTATTAATTTTACAATAACTGTTTTTTATTACTGCCCAGTTGGCCGAGTGGTCGCAAGTGCGACTGCCGGGCAAGGTGTCTCGGGTTCGATTCCCGGGTCGGGCAAAGTATTACTGGGTTTTATAAAACATCTCGGTAGTAGCACGGAGCCTGGAATTGTGCACGGTATATGGCAATAGGCTTACCTGCTATTACATGGGACTCATAACATAAATTGAAAAGTGGGTGTTACATTGTATAGTGGCATTAAGTGCCGTAATGTGCACCTCTGCCTACCCCTTCAGGGTATGTTATGTTTATTCAAGTGTAGATTCCTATGGAGATATTTAGTCAAAGAGACAAATTAAATTAAAAACTGCATTTAAAAAAAACGACTTCAAAAACCAAAACCTTAAAACAAGCAAAAGGTAAAAACTAAAAAAACAAAATATAACTATTATTAGTCATACGGACTTACAACTTACCCACCCACTGATAGGTAAGAAGTCATAGAAGTCGTCTCCTCCTTTTTGGGAAGTCGGTTATAAAAGAAAGTAACACAGTCATTTAGCCGCCGCCAGCGCAAAGCCCTATCTTGTACATGCTGAACTGGTCCTATTTCACGGCAGACTTGGCATATGAACAATGAACATGTATCCATCAGTACCTTCTAATACAATGACTGATTTGTACATGTCACTTGTTTTTTGGCGTGAAATAAAATTATTTTTCTTTCTTTCAATTTATATATTTTCCCTCAGTATTTCTCGGACATGGTGATAATATGCGGCGCGAAGGGTTTCCCAGTGCATCGGTTCATGTTGGCGGCGGCCTGCGAGGCCTTCCACCGCCTGCTGGCCACCGACGCCGTCAGTCTCTCCGCGGACCTCGCGCGCAGCTCCAGCGAGAGCAGCATGGTGAGACTTCCAGATACCTATCTCCTTGCTATATCTTACTTCACTACATAGTATAAAACAAAGTCTCAATCCGCCGTCTGTCTGTCCCTATGTATGCTTAGATCTTTAAAACTACCTAACGAATTTTGATGCGGTTTTTTTTAACCCGTCGAGCGTCCGCATTCCCTATGATCCAACGGGTGCACACGTGACATTTGGAGAAAGAAAGAAAGAAAGACAGAAGATGCATTTATTTGGCCATTGGCACACGAAAATAAGGATCATTACAATAGAAATAAAACAAATACAGTCAAAATAAAAACAAAACATTAATAATAGATTTTATAAAAGCGAAAGCAGCATGGAGCATCTTTTCTTATGATCCACCGGGTGCTCATAAGGACGCTCGAGGGGTTAATAGATAGAGTAATTCTTAAGGAAGGCTTATATGTATAATACATGCATATTGCACCCGTTGCAAAGTCGGGGCGGGTCGCTAGTGATATTATAAAGCTGAAGAATTTATCTGACAAAGTGTAGAGATTGGTTAATCCTTACAAATAGAGCATAATTAACTTGTGTGTCGTGGTGGCCCGGAGTTTTAAGACCCCTGCTACTCATGAAGAAGTGTGCGGATGCGAAACCTGCAGCAGCAAATACTAATGTGACTTTTTCCAAGTTATATGTACTTTCTAAGATTATCTAGACACCACTGACAAACGGTGAAGGATAACATCGTGAGGAAACCTGGGCTTATAATTTCTAATTATAAGTTTTAAATTGCCAACCCGCATTGAGCAAGCGTGGTGATTAATGCTCAAACCTTCTCCGTGTGAGAAGAGGCTTTGCTCAATAGTGGGCATTTATAGGCTGTTGACGATGATGATGATGAAGAATTTAGTTTGGTTGAACGCGCTAATAATAATAATCTCGAAATTATTGAAAGCTTCCAATATACAGCCAACCTACTTTGGGGACTAGCAGTATACCAATTATTACATTTAAGTTACTAACAACTTGTAATTCAGCATAAAGATCACTGTTTATGTATTTAGTTAATAAACATTGTTATATACTTACATTTGTGTTGCATTTTAAATTAAATAAATAAATGTTTGCAGGTGAGCAGTATGGGCGAGGCGACTACGGGCGAGTTCAACGAAGACACCGAATACTTGATACGGCAGGATCAAGCGAAACAGATGAGGTACAGTCACAGGATGTAATATTTCTTTATACCCCCATCTCCACATCTTCAATCCTCACGTCCTTAAACCCCCAAAATGTCAACGCTCTTGTAAGTGTAGTGTTGCAGGTAGTACCGTCTTTACCTCAGGGGGCCCCGGAGGACTGATAATCCTAATGTACTGTCCAATCCTCCAACCAAAAAAATAAACATTCCAAAAGGACCCCGAATTATTGTGTGCCAAGGACAGACAGCGTAGTCAAAGACGGCTCTGGTTGCAGGGTGGTCCATGCCCACCACAAAATATTCATTACATCGCGCCTTTTATCCCCGAAGGGGTAGGCAGAGGTGCACATTATGCCACTGTACAATGTAACACCCACTTTTCACTATTTATGTTATGAGTCCCATGTAATAGGGGGTGAGCCTTTTGCCATATTCCGAGCACAATTCCATATTCAATATTTAAAAACCCAGTACTACTTTGCCCGACCCGGGAATCGAACCCGAGACCCCGTGCCCGGCAGTCGCACTTGCGACCACTCGGCCAAAGAGGCAGTCAAAATTTCTATATTTCCAGGGTATGGGATCAGATAAAGCGACGCTCGTCGTGTCAGATCCTGCCTCTGAGCGACAGCTGTAAGAAGCCTCCGGACTTATATCGAGAAGTCAACCATCCTGCTATTAACTCCATTAGAGTTGTCAAGGTGAACATTTTTAATCCATATACTTGATAAGTTTTTTTTAATGGTTCGGGACCCAATTTATTGAGATAAGTCAAAGTCAATAAATGTAGATTAAAAATCCTTTTAAAAACAAGCTTTTAAGCAACATAGCATTCATGATCATTGAAACTAAATTTGTGTATAAAATTACAGCTCAATCGGTTACATTGTTCTCGCACAATCCAAACAGCAAACTATGTAACTAGAGAATTGTATTGTGAACCTGATTGAAAAAGAGTAACCTATGGAGTTTCTTGCTCGTTCTTCTGCATAGGAATCTACACCTTGGAATGAGCAAATAGCTTCACTTTTAATTTTATTGTTGACGTTCAAAAGTGCCTTTATGGTCTAATTGAAATAAATAATTTTTACTTTGACTTTGACTTTGAAGATAATATTATTTGCTTCGAAATTTAATTCCGCTTTACACTTCACACACATTGACGATCTTAAGCCAAAGACTTACCATTAAAGTATACTTCTAGAATGTTAAAAAAGCGTCCTAAAACCCGTCTATATTTCTTTCAGTGCGACAAAATCCAACACGCGACCTCCCAAACACAAACTATAGTTACCATGAGCAAGTTAATCTCGCAAATTGTTATGCAAGAGATCATCAACTTCATATACACGGGCACCTTGGACAGTAGCGCTTTTAAACAACAGGTCAGTTCATATACAACTCTAATTGTGTAGATATAAGGTTTGTTTTTCTTGTGGTTTAGTGATTAAATGATTTGTTAAAATGTTCTCGAAAATTCTTGAAAGATATTTCGAGTTATTGATGATATTATACATATACACTAGGGAGCAAAGAGGCGGGACCACTAGCCTTTCTTTTTCAAGTCTTGATAAATATTTTTTGATACAAGTAGTTTATTAATTGTGAATTGAAGTGTGGGCGTGCCATGCTTCGGCACGAAAGGGCCGGATCGACCGGAGTACCACGGCCGAGCAGAAAACCGACGTGAAGCAACGCTTGCGTTGTGTTTCGTCGTGTGAGTGAGGTTACCGGAGGCCCAATTACCCTCCCCTTCCCCAATCTCCCCAAAAGGCTGGTAACGCACTTGTAACGCCTCTGGTGTTCCAAGTGGCCATGGGCAGCGCCGATAGCTTACCATCAGGTGATCCGTTAGCTAGTTTACAGGCTTATGCCATAAAAAAAATTGGCTTAGGCAACTCTTTATTTAAAACCTCTTTTGTAATTTGAAATAAAAGAAAAGATAAGAAAAACGGTGGTAACGTGGTGTGTTTGCGTTGAAATTTAAAAATCGAAGACCCCGCCCACGCCTCTCTCGAGCGGGCTCCGCGCTCGCGTCAGTGAGAATTCATTCGCTAAACGTTTCGGCGGCGACTGAAACACTCTATATTGAAAATGCTCCGCATTCCCGCCAATTATCTCAGTTTTTTGAATTCGTTGTGAACAACATCCAGCCCTAATCTGCCACAATCTGTAACATAATAATATGTCGTGTAAAAGGCAATTTAGTTTTAAAATAACAGCATTTTGTTGTAAAAGGAATATTTGTTTTGAAGTTATAGATAGAAAGTTCCATAAAATGAAAAAGAAAACGCTAGTGGCTCCGTTTCTTTGGTCCCAAGTGTAGATTGAATTTTTTAAGATATTTGTTACTAACGCTATATGGACAAAATGTAGTCTGAAATGAATGAATTATTATTATTATTAATGAATTATTATAATCATTTTTATAGCCAAAAGGTCGAAAGGTTAAAAATATAAGAGTAAAAGCACAGATTATTATTATTAGAGTAAAAGCACAGATTATTATTATTAATTATTTATTATTTATATTTTTAACCTTTCGACCTTTCGGCTATAAAAATGATTAGTTAAAGAGTGTTGAAATTTAAAAAAAACTTCTTTTATGACATTTAAGTTTCATTATGTTATCTGTGTTAACTATTTTGAGTTGACTTTTAAATCAACTAATAATCATCAGCCCGTATTCGTCCACTGCTGGACATAGGTATCTCCAATATCCAACTAATACCAAGTTAATAAGTTCCCAATTCGTTGAAATTCTTAATTATATTAATTATAATGAAATATGTTCATTTATTGTAATCATTTTATCACTAAACTACTTATCTATTAATCTATTTTAAATTTATACAAGCTTTAGCTTTGTATTAGTATTTAAATATATTTATATTTTATTACAATTATGTGTATTTTAAGTAATTACTATTAATTGTGTTAATTAACTTGAGCTATAGTCTTGCTGTGTCATTATAAAAAATATGTAATATATTCCTTTACAAATCTCATTATGAGTTTTCTCAAAGAATTTAAAATTAGATTTTTTATAATGAGACAGCAATATATTAATTTATATTTAATATTTTTCTACTCTGTGCTTCCATTTTTTATTCTATGTACTACCCACAAAATAAAATATATTGCAAAATTAAAAATATATATATAAAATTAATAATTTTATAATAACAAAAATGTTTTGCAGTCGGCTGCTATCGGATTGTTACTGGTAAACCCTATTGAAATAAATTAATTAAGCCATTAAAAACAAATTCATAATTATTAATTTTCAGCCATTATTATTATTATAAAACAATCAGCACCCATTTTTATTATTGATGTGATTTTATTTCTTTGTAGTCTATCATATTTGTGTTTTTATTACGGTTTCTAAAGGTTTTGTATATTTATAAAACACATATTGATACACAATCGTATTTATGGTAATCGGTCCACGAAACAAATAAAATATAAATAAATTCTCTCTCTAATCTATGGCCGGAGTCTACTTGATTATAAGCCCCGCCATTGGCTTGAAATTGGTCGAGCTTTCTCGAACATTAAACTAACTTAATTATTTTAAGAAAAGGAATGATTGAAGAAATTTTTAACTATAAAACCTGAGAAAGTGTGATAAAATCATGTCTATTCTTATGTTAATATTCATTAGATATTGTATCACTTTATATTAATTATAATAGCTTCATAAAGTAGCATACACTTTCAACTTCCGCTTAGCTTCAAATATTAAACCATTTAATGCAATCAGCTAAAATATTATTCACGAATCTGGCGACTACTCTTGGTGGCCAAATTCATGAACATTATTTATATTTTCTATCGGTTTTTATAGGTGAGTGATAATTTCTAGAAAAAACTTCTTTACTTATTTAAAATATTTACTTAATTAATAATTCAGTTATATTATATAACTTTCATGTAAAATAATGCAAATCATTGCCGTCCAAGGCTTTGCTCATCAACTATTCCCATTTAAAGTAATTTTACTATATCATTAGAAACATATTATTTGGCGTTAGTTCGACTATAAAGCTGAAAATATTGCTACACCATTAATACTTAAATTTGGTTTTAATAAGTCTTTCTAATGTTAACGAAACCGATATTTTCAAACAAACTGTGGAAAAATCCCATACTGTCTATTACATATAACAAAGATTGTACCTTAACTAAAATATTTTTTTCTTTTGTAAACCAATCAAAACTGTGTCAGCGATTTAGGCGTAATGAAAAAGATTACTCAATACGGGGGCCCAACCCTCCAATTAGTAATAAGCTGGCTACGCATTTGTAGTTCCAATGGTGTTGCGAATGTCGCACTGTTCTCCGTCTGCTTGTTTGCCTTATAAAAACGCCTCTTAAAAAATAATAACTATATTAAATAACCGCCTGTTGCGTCGCGTAGTCAGGTAAAAAAACTGATATCTGATTTCGTTAACATTAGCAAGAATTCTTATGCAACAAGTATAAACCTGACAATGTTACGTTGTGCAGGAGATCAGACAGGCGGCGGAACTGCTTGGTTTCCACGAGCTCACCAAGCTGAGCCAGTTCATACTGGACCAACATCTCTTGTTCGACAAGGGATTCATGCTGCAGTTTCATACGGTGAGTCGATGAATAACTCAGAACAAACTGAGAATAAGGATACGTACATTAAATAAGTAATATTATTATTGAGTTTACTTACATAGTTAATTGCGGTTGCATAGTTAATTTCAATTTTAAATGCTAAAGTTACTTAGCTCCCTAACGCGCTAGCGGTTGACAGCCTAGGCGGTTCGTATCGCGTGATGCGCTTGCATTAGCGGTTCTATCGCGGTTGCATATTATAAAGTGGAAAAGTGTCCGACCCCGGGGGGCGGTTAACCGTGCGGTTCACCGCTAGTGCGTATAGAGGCTTAGAGCCTAAACGTCCCAATACTGAAAGGCTACTCAATTTAAGTTGTACGTAAATATCGTGCCATCTGTGTCATTTAAAAAAGAATTTGTTGTGACAGAACTAACTATACTTAAGCGCGAGTTGACATTGAGTAACGTTTGAGTATTTCGACATTATTATGTTTTTTAAATCAATCACGTTGACGTCATGTTTTACCCCCCAGCCTCTAGGCGGTCGTCTTCGCGACATGTACGTAGAACGTGCTCTATTTGCGGACGTAACGTTTGACCTGGACGACGGCATACACCTGGCACACCGCGCCGTGCTCATGGCACGGTGTGACCCTATGAAGGCCATGTTCCAAGGACATTTCAGGGAGAGCACTTCCAGAGTGGTAAGTAGGCTATTGCGTATATACCTGCCTATTGTACACACGACTGCACATCAAGCTATGCAAATTCAATATAAACTGACTGACTGTACGGTTGGTGCGGTGGTTGGGCAACAGGCTGCGGCGCATCGTGTCGCGGGTTCGATTCCCGCACGGAGCAACTCTTTGTGTGATCCACAGATTGTTGTTTCGGGTCTGGGCGTCATGTGTATGTGAACATATGTATATGTTTGTAAACGCACTCACGATACAAGAGAAAATACTAGCGACGTTACCCACGTTTAAAAAATGTATTCAGTTGGTCGGTTCCATTTCCAATGTGGGGAAAAGTCATACAAAGCTATTCCATGATAAACTAGTTTTGTACAGCTCGATGTAGTCATGTGTACACTTATCTTGTCCCTCGGTTTATTGAAATATTCAATGGTTAGACAGGGCGAAAAGTGGAGATTTGCGCAATAGTTGCGCATTGGAAAATTTTTGCGCAATAGTTGCGCAGTAGGTTTGATTTTGAGATACAATCATTCTATTTGTTGGCTTGTTACACTTCGAAAGTATTGTGTCGTTATGATTACTTAATGAAGACTAAACAACAATCAGACGATTAGTCAGCCAAATATTAGGCGTTTTGGCTTCCACAACACAATCTTTAATATTTATTTATATATACTTAAAAGCATATACCTACTTATCTTTGAAATAACACTTTCTTCCCAGATTTCGTTCCCGGGTGTAAAAATGTACGCGTTCCACATTCTTCTAAGCTACATCTACAGCGATAAGATCCCAGCAGTGGACCCTTTACGGTGTTTAGAACTATTGGAACTAGCTAACAGGCTGTGTATGAACCGCCTCGTCAATCTAGTAGAGGCTAGGGTCATAGACCAGCTGCAGCAGAGAGATCGGTGAGTCGTACAATCTACTTTTTTATGGAATAAACCGGAATACGAGCAGATGGATTATCTGATGGTAAGCAATCGTTGCCTCCCATGACAACCAAAACACCAGCCGAGTTACAAATGCATTGCCAGCTTTTTAAGATGATCATCGACATCAAGTCTTTACTTCTTGCTGTATTTTTTTTAATTTTATGATCACTATTTTTTCTCATTGCATGCCCCTAAAAATTCTGAGTGGAAGTTGATAAAATAAAACTCTAACGCCTGTTTTAACACCTTGTTATAGCCAATAAAGTCATGTGGGTTAATACAAATTACGTCCTATATTAAAAATCGGTTACATAGCGGATATCCAGACATTTTTAAACAAGCCCTTAGTTTATCAACTTGCACTGTGAAAGGTAGCAATCGTGTTGAAATTGTTTTTTTTTTTAAGTTTACTTAGCAAAGCTTGAGTGTTATTAAATATTTCTCTCTCATTCGCAGAGTGTGTGGCGATGACGACCAAGTCGTTGAGATAGCACTGTCACTTCTAGAGCCAGTCAAGGTAAGAAACACCTAAACTTATAATAATTAATGCCTTTTTAATTTTATTTAGCATACAGTTAAAATTATGCAGGATTTGCGCAAAACAAGCGCTAAGTTTGACGAACCATTCAGTTTGTTCTCGCACGGAACAATTATTTGTGTTATCTATAAATTGTTGATCCGGTTCTATATGTTCAAATACGACAATATCTTAGCGTGGAAGTTTTATTGACTAATAAGTATACACGAGGCTGATATAGGGAATCTTTGGTCCAGGGCCATGTAATGTAAACCTTTTTGTTTCTATAGAGATATTGTTTATCCCTAGTTACATAACGCGCACAATCTGGCGGACTGGTGTATGTGGCGACTGTGTGGTGCGTACGACCGAGTCTGTCGAGCCAAGCATCTGTCACAGCCCTCCAGGGACTACCTGTCTGACAACCGATGGCCGCCCGTCTGGTAATATTGTGTTTATTAAGATATCTACCATTCATCATTATAATCAAGTATCTAATAATATTTTCTTAATACTACAACAGTCAAAAAATAAAATCTTTCGTCTAACAAACTCAGTTATACGATACTCAATTACTGAAGAACACTTTTCTTTGACGCGTCGATTTTCGCTGCAATTAGTTGAACGTATAATTTTGTCCCACTTAATGAAATCGACAACGTCTTTAATTACATAACCTATTCTATTTTGAAGGTACGTGAAAGAGTATGACTACTATCAAAAATGCGTGAACGAGCAGAGTAAAGAACAGAAGGAGCTACGGCCCACCACTTCACTGCAAGCCAATCAGCAGACTGGCTGCCTATGTTTTACGAGTAAGTATATTTTATGAAACTCTTTTCACACTCATAACAACTTTTTATCAGAAATATACAGTCGAGATAAATTGGAAAAATGTGTCAAGTTGCATCTCAAACGACGTCAAGCGAGTCACCATTGAAATGTGTAGAAAATAGTTGATTTGTGTAAAAAAGGTTTTTGAGTCGCTCTTTTAATGTGTGAGGGAAATGCATTCTGCTACGCAGTGCGACGTCATTGGACTCTTCGTATTGCCGCGTCGCGTTGTGACGCGGCTCGTCTCGCGACCCTAAGTGTCCTGTGTGTGTAGGCAAGGTCCGGCGCGACAGTGGCGCGGGCGCGGCCGACGTGACGACGGCGCTGTGTCGCGCGGACGACGCGGCGCACGCAGACGCGCGCCCGCCGCACGACGCGCCGCCGCTCTGACACCTGCCCTACTGGAGGTAAACCTTGCTAAATATATATTTTTTACGTTATTCCCACACTAAGATTTTGTCCTGTGTCGTGAGTGCGTTTACAACATAAAATTTCACATTCATTTGACACCCAAACCCGAAACAACAATTTTCCGGTTGCCGCACCGCAACACCGCACCAACCGTATGTAGTCGTCAATTACCTTACTTACAGCCTTATGTGCACTTAGGGGCACTTACTACCGTACGCAGAGACATGATTACTTAAACTATAGTAACGATGAAATGACTCAATACGGCGGTGACTTGTTTCGAATCACACTAAGGGGTCACATTTATAAGCAACAAACTAGTCGAGTTACCTTATCGAATAGAGTAAACCGTAAATCACAAACAATTTACTGTGTCTCACATAATTTTTCGTTTTTAGTTTTAACTTACTCGAAGGCCTATAAGCTATAAATGCTATTTTTTTGTTATTATCCACTATGGCAATCTGTTCGAAAACAATAAGCCACTTGTTTGGTTGGAGCTACATGTCCTGGTTACTTTAATGGTCTTTCCATGGTTACAGAAATATATTGACCGCGTGGAAAACATTTAAAAACGTTTTATAAAATATCTCTGCTTTCACCAAAATATTCCATACCAGTCTGCCCGTTATCTTGAACTCTGTAGAAAATTCCATCTATTACCATTGGTAGATAGACGCAATATTGCAGATTGTCTATTCTTGTTTAAGGTTCTTAACGGCAATGTGGATAGTCCAGAACTATTATCAAAAATCAAATATCAAATACCTAATAAAATATTTAGATTTAATCCACCTTTGCACGTATCCCGTTCCTCATCTAACTACAGGCAGAACAGTTACATTGTGCGTGCAAGCAGACACTTTAACAATGTTTGTAAGGAATATGACTTCGATCCGTTTACAACTAGTGTGAACTCGGCAAAGAGGTGCTTAAGCCTCAAATTTTTTAAGCAGCACTAGATATTTAGTGTTTTTATCGTTTCTCTTGATCTGTTTATAATCATATTGTCTGTACGGTCTGTTTCAATATTTATTTTTTTTCATTTATGCAGAATGTATGTATTTTTAATATTGTATAGTACTCACACCATATTAATTAATGTATTCCAAATCATAAACGTGAGGACTTGTTATTGGCTAATTGTTACCTACGCCTATTGTTATTTTTATCCATTTTTATAAGCTGTAAGTCCTCCATGAATTATAAATAAATAAATAAATTCTTCGAGGGCCAATCAATTGCTGAACTATCATCATTAGCAAACCCTCCTTTTGGCTCAGTTTACAAATCTATGGGCTAGTCTGGGATGCCTTGTCTCTTTAGCCGGTTATTAATGTTAATAATACAATTTTCAAATCATCTTAGGTCTCTAAAGCCTTATTGAAATTAATTCCAGGTCTCTCCGGTTTGCGGTGCTCCTGCCAGTATCGATGTGCTTCATGAGCACAATACTGACTATACTGATACTTTTCCACGTCTACACTTAAACACTGCTCACTAGAATACTTGTCGTTGCACTAATATATATTATAAAACTATTATATAATATAATACACGGCTCCGATCGAGGGAGGCTGGTGTTCTGACGTCTCTCATGGTTTGCGCAAGTATAATAATTGGTTGCGCAAAGTTATATGGCATTGCGCAAAGTTATATGGCGTTGCGCAAAGTTATATGGCGTTGCGCAAAGTTATATGGCGTTGCGCAAAGTTTTATGGTGTTGCGCAAAGTTTTATGGCGTTGCGCAAAATAAATGATTGTCAGAAGTCAATTATGAAAGGGTTTGAGAACAATGTTTGTTGGTTAAAGTGATTGGTTTGTTTTATAACTATTTATATTACTTTTCGTCTTTTTGATTATACTATTAACCCCTAGGTATATGTAGTGGAAACTTTTTATTCTAGTACCTATGTATTGCATTTCTTTTTAAAGTATTTCTTGTAGTATAAAAGGGTTGTATTGTATGTGTTTGGTATATGATTCCCTTAAGAAAGTAAAACACCAGCCTCAGAATACGGTCACTAAGCGCAGAGCGGAATTCGACCTTATTAAAATAGTTTTTTCCATTATTATAAATTGAGTTGCGTTCGCGGCTAAGTTAAGCGAATTTAGGCTCAATCTCTTAGACATTAAGATCTCGTTTGTCACTGATTTATCTATTTTAGTTGTAGTTATTTTCTAGTTTCTTAAAGTTCACTATGGTTTTGTTTCTATTAAGTATTTAGTCTATGTATCATAATATTATAATTAAGGACTTATATATTTATTGTACGCTTAGAACTAATTTTCAAATATATTCATATAATTTGTAACTCAAAAAGTATATTTTTCTACACCGCCTGTACGATTTGAGTCGTTAACACAAAGACGTAAGGTTTAAAATAGCATAAATGGGCGCAGTTTTGAAATTAGCGTAGCTTGGTGCTTGTAGTTTATCCAGTTTAAGGTCTTTTTGGAAAGAATTTTGTGTCTGAAAGATGGTATTGTACTGTTTCTTATCAGGGTTGCCAGAAAGAAATATTTCCTGTGTTTGGTGTTGCTGTCTCAAAAATACTCTTATTCAAAACTGTAGTTTAACTTAAATCTATTTCGAATGTATAGTCTCCTTTCAAAAAAAAGGTATTACATTTCTAGAATATGACAAATATATTTAGATATTAATTATTATCATTTTCAGTTTCATGGAATAAAATTTTACATGGGAATTAAAACATAAAAGTGGGTGTTACATTGTACAGTGGCATTAACTGCCGTAATGTAACCACCCCATCGGGGATAAAAGGTGTGATGTGATGATGTAATAAAAATGAAGTTTAATTTCACAGTTTTTAAACTTGATGATCCGAAACTTGTCTAGTAAAACTATGTTTTGTATAAGAGAATTTTTATGTGAATTTGTGTATTTAAAGTAAAACTTCAGCTATAATGTGGCTTCAAAACATATAGTTTAAGATACTTGAGAGAGATCTATCATAAAACATCATGTTATAATTAATATTATTATATTTTGTTTACTTTTCTAATTGCTTTCTTATGTACATTATTGTTTTCCTACTCAATTGGTTTAGCTATCTAGATATTGAGGCTAATTTGATTATCTTTGTGAAAAGCTTTCCAAACCAAATCCTTACTTCAAGCTACAAGCTTGTGTTAACATGAACCTAAAGATCTTTAAAATAAAGTGTGTATTAAACAATTTTAATGAAATTCCAATTTTAACTAAAAACTATATTTTCCTCTAAAAACATTTTAGAATACGAATTTAAATAATAATCATAAAACCTCTTTCAACAAATCTGGCAATCCTAACCGGGCAACATTTATGAAATGTTGCCATGCTAAAATATATTTTAATTTTAAATTATTTTATTCACTATATTTTTGTACACTATATTAGCAATGTCACTATTCCTCCTTTAGTAAGTAAATTAGTACCTAAGGCGCCTAATTCAAAATGCTTTTAATTTTAAATTGTTATTTTTAGTAAAGAGAGTATGGGTTCAATTTTGTGGTAGAATTTTGGAAAAGAAACCAAGCAATAAATTACAAATAATATTTTAAAGTGCCAATTTGTATTAAGTTGGTGTTTAGATATAATTTGGAATTCAAACTAAGTCTTAGACTGCCGACAAAAACTGTCAAAGGCCAATCCTCCGCTAGCGTCGAACATCATTGTCCGACACGGCATCCAATGTGTTAAAGTTAAGACTCGTCTACACATTGAACTGATGCGTGAAAGTCAATCAGAATTCATTGAAATAAAATTTGCAATTAAAATCACACTAGTTCCAGATTATATTAATATTAAGTCAAGGATACACTAGGGGATAATGTCCCAAGACATGTATCGACGACATTTCGAGCGAATCCGGCCAATGACGCCTGACATATATGGTGACAACGCGCAACTTATGTCCATAGTGACGTTGATGTTACCAGGCATGTTACCACGACCTTCAAACCTTCAAGAAAAGAGCGTACTCCTTTTTAAAGACCGGCAACGTACCTGCTTTCCATCAGGTGATCCGTCTGCCCGTTTGCCTCATATTCCATAAAAAAATGTCAACCAAAGTCGGGTAACATCGCGCTACTTCACCCAACGTCACTGATGACACGTGTCGCTGGACATTTCTCCCCAACTGTATCCTTGGCTTTAGCTTTAATCAGTGTTAGTTGTATCTAAATGACATTATTAGTCATTTGTAAAGAATCCAGACTTTTTTCAATAAAGTCTGTTAATTGAGTTGTACCACAAAATTGACCTTGAGAAGTTAGCAAAGACTAGCATTCAGTATTGCTTGAAGGAGCTCGGTAGGGGTAGTCTGTGATAGGTAACAATCAACTGTGATCTGTACGGTCAAACCACGCGTAACATACGTCGCATGTACGGTCAGCAAAACAAACACTACTTAGGTACTGTTTATGTTCCATTAAAAGTAAATTTTGGTGTCTTTTGACGGGATCAAAGTTTATTATTAGGTTCATAACCCCTAGGATTAAAGGGATCTCCAAGTTTGATGTTTATTAAACCAACTGATTGAGCTATATTGTGTGCATTTTTCTATCTCTAAAGTCTATCAGGGGTACCATATGTTATTTATGACATAGTCGTAAATAATAATGGTTTTCTTCCCGATCGAAAGCTTCCAGCCTCGCTTCACAACAAACGAACTACCGGACGATTTATGCTTTAATTAGGCATCCCACAAATATCACACATTTCTACAAGTCCCACTAAGTAAATGTCACCGGAAACTAACAAGAACCGTAAGTTTATGAGTTTCCTAAGAAAATTATAAACTTCTTTTGGATTCTAAATGAACTTGTTATTTTCCGGTGACATAATATAATATAGTCAAGCTTATCTCACTTTGAAATAAGCACAAAATCAATACATATCCCTGTTTTTTCCCCGTTATTATTCCCTGAAAAATATTTGTCACATTTTTTAATGTAGTGTCTTGTTTTGCTGACCGTAGTGTTGTAAATGCAATGTTGAGAGATTTATCGATTGTTGAGTGTAGTGGGTACGTAATTTTGTTTGCGTGTGTGGTGTTATTTGTAAGGGGAAAGGGGACATCCTATTTCCGGTACCCTAATGTCAATGGCTAGATGATAAAAAAAGTAATAATAACTACAAGATTTTGTGTTGTGGGCGTGTTTATAAGCACGTCTCTATATTCCAAGTATCTTTGATCTTAATTCATATCTATATGTGATAGATATGGTGTACTTTATATCATATTGTGTCGACTAAGACTTGGAAACACTTTTGAAAATTGAAATAGAAAGGGGCGCACTTGTAACTCCTAAGATGTTGCGAGGTGTTCATGAGTATTGTTGATTTCTTGCTAACATAAATATGATCCATTTTCCCATAAAAATGAATTAATTTTCTCTTATTGCCATCAAAATAGCTATCTCCATTGACAATAGGGTATCCATAGAATATTTAATGAAAAACTAATTTCGAATTTGAAATAAATGTTCACTAGAGAATGAATGTACTTAAAATGTGCATTTAAAACCTTTTCGGATAAAAATTGGACATTTTAGAAGTGGCAAAGTTTTGTTTCATTATCTTACCTGCGTAATGTATGAAAACATTTATTTTCTAGTGAAAACAGCAATATTAAGACTAATAGAAATTGTATTTGAGTGGACTTACTAGTATCAGTCATATTTAAATATAAAAAATATTTTAATTTGAAGAGTCACATGCATAAAAAAATGGTCGTCTTCGCAGTGACTGTGTATAATATATGGCAGTGATGTAACTACATAGTGTTGCCGGAGATAAAAATGAGTGTTGCTACCATGATAAAATACCACAAGAACATAACATATGGAAACAGAGAAGTAGAACTCTTATTTCCTTCTGCCCTGCTATGCTCAATTTGCCACGAGTCACAATAGAATATTATTATTCAGATTGACAACTTTATTGTAGAATAGAAAGGTTGATTATTGGTTAAAAAATTTCATATTACGCTCAAAGTGGGTTATTATTATTATTTCTTTTTTTGAGACCAAGTTAAAATTTCGTTGTCACCAATTTTCTAGTAGGTCCACTGTAAACAGAATTCACGCACAACGATTTTAATACCCTATTTCTTTAAGCCTGACTTAAAACTAAGCTTACATTAGTTGTGCAAAGAATTATGAACCTTATGTGAGTGCTGTAACATCTAATTTGGATTACGGCTTCGGTGGTAGATGCGATGAAACGTTTTATTTAACAAATCTAATGTAGCTATAACGTTTTTTATAATATTAAGTGATGTATGTGCATGTTGGATTTGTTTTAAAAGCAAAAATGTTTTAGTTCGTATTGGTACCTACTCATAAAGTATTCATCTTTTAGTTTTTACTAATTACTATTACTATACCTGTGACAATGCAAAGAATAGATAGGGAAGGAAACATTGTTTTTGCAGAACTTCTAAGCTGATTTAGCAAGTAAAACCGTGGGCATTAGGCCATATTGTGATTTACAAAATTAAGAGCTTTATAGCCTCGGCAAGAATAAGTACTTCAGACAACAAGGACATTCCCAAACTATTTAAAAAAATAGTCTTTATCTTCTCGGTCTTGCACGCGGCGCCGCCGTCGCGCTTGTTCCCTCCGTTTGATTCATTCCATTACCGGACTGTACGCATGTTTGTACGGGGTGGCTGTGGCACCGTGTGCCACTTAACCCGTCGAGCGCCCGCGTTCCTTATGATCCAACGGGTGCACACATGATATTTGGAGAAAGAAAGAAAGAAAATGCATTTATTTGGCCATTGGCACACGAAAACAAGGATCATTACAATAGAAATAAAAAATACAGTCAAAATAAAAACAAAAAACATTAAAAAGAGATTTTATAAAAGAGAAAGCAGCATGGAGCATTTTTTCTTATGATCCACCGGGTGCTTATAAGGACGCTCGAGGGGTTAAGAGTTCGAAGACATTTTTTTGAATAGTTACGTAAGTTTTATGATATGCTAAGTCAGCTTATATTTGTACTACTGAGTAAATATCCCTATAGCAATACACTTAAAACAAATCCAACAGAACAACTGGTAGTTTAAATAATCTCCTAAGAATTTGAAGTACAAAATGTCATCATCACTTTCCACAACATACAGGATTGTTTAAAACACTACAATAATAGACGTAACGAATAAAATTATAATTATTTTCACACGCACGCCGAATTCCATAATGTTTACGCGTATATTTTCTTATTTACATTGACATTCTTATACTTGCTTGCAAAAAAGTGTTATGCTAGTAAAGAAATTACATTTTTTGAAATGTTTTTCAATACTTTGTACCGAATGTATTTTAATATATTGAGGGTCTGAGGATATTTTTTATGTTAAACGATAAAATGTAGTCACCCAGCATAAGAGTGTGTACCAAAAATCGGATTGATCTGTAGTCAGGAAGGGGGAGAAATTCCAACGGCAAAATATAGCCCAAACTAAGAAACAGGTCAAGCTAAATAAAACCCTTTACTAAGCATAAGAGGTCTCTGATACATGAAACATACCTTCAGATTTATTATGAAAAGTCACACACGCTGCTGCATTATATTATGTAAACATCTGCCTATCCCTAACCGTGACATTGGGCTAGACATCTTTTGGCTTTCATAATGATGATGATGGTCTATCCTGTTGAAAATCATCCCCTAAATTAGTTCATACAAAAGTAGTCTCTAAACATTAGAAATAAGATCTATAATGTAGTTAGTGGTCACCGGTGACCACTTGGGGATATATGGGCTATATTGATTCAGTCACACATCAATAACTTACGAAACCGAAATAGATTTCACAGTGTATATTGATTCAGTTACACATAATAAGTTACCACAAAGTAGTTAGCTAATATTTTTGCAAGTAAGTGTAAGGTAAAAATTTTAATGAATATCTACTATGATCTCGTACATTACTGGGCACTCATTCAAAAGCAGGGTTATTCTAACTAAATTAAATACTGCTTCAATTACTAATTACTGTTTAGGGCGCAAGTTTCTGTAGACTATATATTAACTAATGTTTCTATGTATAAAATAACAATATGAATACTTTCAACTAATATTATTACAGTAAATTTTAAAATATACATACTATGTTTCTTGTCTTTAACGTCAATAGAAGTATGTATATGGAATTGCATATTCATGTTTTTTATAATAACATAATTGGTTTTGTGCACTAAAAGTTTACAGTAACTTACTTCCTAAAGCTAATCTAGACTTCTAGCTTAGATATTTCTAGTGATCCTAGTGCGTAATTAAACGTAATTGTATTTTGCCAATCTTCACTGTCAGTAATTCTGACAATCTGCCATTTTTTACGTACCCATAGATTTTAATAAGTGTATTAAATGTATGTGTAAACTAACATATTGTTTTATTTATATTCTTCCCAGTTTTTACTAGCTTGTGAAACAAAGGGTGTTCCGAAGACTTGAATGTATAAACAAAAATTCATTCAAATTAGTTCAGCAGTTTAGGATAAATAACCTAAACATTGACTGCAGCACCATCTGCCGGGCTGATTTGTGAAGAAAGATATCATCAAGATTTAACAAATACTATAATATAGTAAAGTAACTATATTGTATGTAAGTAGTTCAAATATGTGTTTACTGTTCTTTAAAGAACAATAAATAAAATGACAATTTTCTACAAAAAAGGGTGCTGTGTTCATCACACTAAAATGAAACAAATGCATAGGTAATAATTTGTCTATTTAAAAAAATCTTAGTACACAAGAACTTTACAATAATATTTCATATTTCTTGTACACCAATATTTTCTGCTTAAACCTAACTTAACAATTAATAAAATTGTATTTTAGACACATTTTAAGCCACCAAGTAATGTCAAATAATGCATGTTCAAAATACCAGCAAAACAGTTGAATAGCATCCTTATTGCTAATAGAATAAAGACTATTGAAATGTAGTGAATACATCTTTACACACTGGTAGGTTTGTATTTTATTTACGACAAGTAATTTAACAAAATTTTTCAAATTAATGCCTTATAAATTGTCAATAAAGTTCTAATTACAGCCTACGTAATTTTTGTAGCACTAGCTACAAAAATTTGTTTTGTTTTTGGCGATATCTTGTCTCAAAGAAGACTAAAAGGCTTATTGCATACATAAAATGCACAATAAATGATAAGCATAATTTTTCCCAACAAGTTAAACTGAAGTTAGACACTTACAAAATGTTATTACTAATTTTGAAGAGAATCAGTGAAAAATCTACTAACTCGGAGCAAAAGACCATGTGAAAACAGAGACACATTTAATATTTCTGTAATGAAAAGGATTTTTATAATGATTTGCTGATACAGAATGTTTAAAGAAGTCCATAGTAATACTTTAGAGTAAATGTACCATAATAAAGAGAACTTTTTTTACCATCTGTTAATGCAACACAAAATTACCACAGCCAATTCCTTTATTATTTATATCTATGAATATAGAATGTATACAACAATGTTGAAATTTCTACACTACCGATGTCAGTATGAGAATCTAATTATACAGAGGTACATGAACCCTACAAGATAAGACCACAATCTTCTACATAAAATAGTACAATCTTAACTTACAATCTAAATTGGGTGTCCAAGCAATTTGATTTCACTTCGTACTTCTTGGTACAAATCTTTGTAGTCATCATGTTCTTTTACAAGCACCATAACACACCCACGCATCGTGCCCATAGCTGCACCAATGTCCTTACGGCTAGGTGTGTAGCAGTATGGAATGTCCTTTTCTTCACAAACAGCGGGTAAGTGGCACATGATTTCGATTGGTGAAATGTCTCCAGCGAAGAATACTAGCCTGGAATGTAGAATTTGATATTATTAGATGGTGTTTTTGTTTATTAAACACAAAATTATAAAAAATTAAGAAATTTAAGATTTATCATATCAGACAAGGATATGTTTGTGGTGTTTATTGTAGTTAGGGTCAATAGCCATCAATGAATTTGTAACTTCCTGACGAATATTGTAAATTGGGTACAGACCCAATTTACAATATTATTTCATTTGCGCAAAATATTAAAACAAACACATTGGTGTCAGATGATATATCTACGCAGTATACGAATGAACTAAACAGGGCTACGTACTTATATTAACTGTAGCTTTACGTAGTCATGGTATTGTAGTCTACGAGACTGAAAATTAACGTCGGCTGAGGAAATTAACTTAGGTTTCTCATCTACCGGCTTGTATCGCAATGTGTGAATAAAGACATAACCTCAAAATAAAACTAAAAAAACATTATTTACCCTTTTTCACCTAGTCGCAGTTGTTTTTGTACGATTTTCAGGCCATTTCTAAGGTAGTTTTTGTGAGAAGTAGATTTCTTTATGAGTTTGTATATCTTTTTGCTAAGTTTCTTCGGCGCCATCGGTTTGGCAATCACACTGCAATGTTCGACTTTTTCATCGTACGTTTGTGGTTCAGTTTTAACACTAACGTCAGCTTGATCTTCTTGTTCGACGTTCGTTTCTAGTTTTATTTTACCCATTTTGATAGTAAATTGATAGGCTTTTTACTGAAAATAACAAAATTGATCACACGTGCGCAGACAACAACACGGACGGAACACGCTAACCACACCGCAACTTGACAGAGTTGACAGACAAGGCAACGACAAATGATCAGCGTACAGAAATTTTTGACACATTACGTATAGAAATCAGAAAAGATACATATCTCTATATATTATAAATAACTGAAGTATAAATAAATAAAAATACAAATAACTAAATTACTGATAAATAGTGATTTCTTCGAGTCAAATATAATAAAAACAAATTATGTTATTTTATTGTTTAAGATAAGGTACCTACAAAAGTCTTTTGACAAATTGACAGAAGTAATTTTATATCATTGTATTTATTGATTGTAAAAATGTATTACACAAACTTTATTGAAAATGAAACAACCTTTTATAACGCACGCATTTCTTTCAAAGTACAATAAAATTATATTACAAACACGGTGAAACGAAACGTAGTTTCAGTACGTTACCATAGAAACAGCGACATGTCAACAAATTTCTTTCGATTCACGCAAGTCGCTCAGAATTAATTAAATTACGATGATAAGCATTGGTCTCTACCAATAAAAACTTAATTGATAGTTGGTGAATCTTCCAGAAATTATCTCCATGATGGTATTTTAACTGAAATTACATAACACGCGTAAGAATTATGTTATTCTTTGTGCTGATTTCGCTCTGTAACTTTTAGGGTCTACTGAATATTTTGAAAAAGCTGCGATCTAATCCTGATAAGGAATTACGTTTGCTGCTCTTGGGCTTGGACAATGCGGGTAAAACTACTCTTCTAAAACAACTGGCTTCGGAAGATGTAAATCACGTTACTCCAACAGCAGGTTTCAATATAAAGTCAGTTTTATCAAACGGTTTTAAATTGAACGTCTGGGATATCGGTGGGCAGAGAAAAATAAGACCATACTGGCGGAATTACTTTGAAAATACTGACATTTTGGTGAGTAAATACATAGTTAGAGTATTTGATTTTTTAATTTAAATTAATTAATATACCTAAACTTAACGCGTAGCTTTTTAGTCCCCGAAAAGAAGACATTTGTATACAATGTAATATTATCACTAGACATGATTAATTCATTCAATGAAATCAAGTTAATTTGTACCTAGCTGTTTCTTGGGTAAGTCGCTGTTTACAATATCACCCAAAATAATAGCATCAAATAACTATAATTACTATAATATAATTTCCAGATATATGTAGTAGACTGCTCTGATCACCAACGGCTGGAGGAGACAGGTCAGGAGTTGGCAGAACTGTTGGAAGATGAGAAGTTGCGAGGAGTTCCATTACTTGTCTATGCCAATAAGCAGGATTTGGCGTCAGGTGAAATTTTAAGTGTTATAATTTAAGTATTAAATACCTAAATACCTTTTGGCCTTAACTTATGTAAAAAGAAATTTAGATTCAGATAAGTGTTAAAATTGTACTCGGGTTTGATTCCCAGGTCTCGCAAAGTACTACTAGGTTTGTCATGGGAGTCTGGAATTGTGCCCGGTATATGGCCCCTATTACATGAATAGTGAAAAGTGGGTGTTACTTTGACAGTGGCATTAAGTGCCGTTATGTGCGTGATGAATGAAGGCGTGATGTTATGCTATGTTGTAAAGGTACTAACATATTTTGATAGAAATGTTTGGGTTTAAAAGGTATTTGGCAATGAGCCTATTGCCAAATAACTTCTATTATTGTATATAATAATTTTCAATAAACTATGTTTAATAAACCTACCTCAACCATCTTTTTTTGAAGTTGGTTTAAAACCTATTTAGGAGGTATGACTTGTCTATAACTTTATTTTATTACTGTTTATGATCATAATGAAATTACTTTCTTTTTCTAGCCCTGCCAGCCAGTGAGATTGCTCAGCACCTAGGTCTACATCTGATTAGAGACCGTACTTGGCAGATACAGGCCTGCGTGGCTACTGACGGCACTGGAGTTAAGGTTTGTACCATTTGATCATAAGATCCTTAAGATATCCACTGTTCATAAAAATATGTTACTGGTTTTCCTGTCACTCCAAAATGCACCTATTTTCTTACAGGAAGGCATGGAATGGGTCTGCAAAAACATCCCGGCTAAGAAATAACAAATTAATTCTATAATAACTACAATTTACGCTTAACATACATTTTCCATTGTCTTTAAATATTGACCAATCAGAAATTATATTCTTTCGATTTAAATGATATTCTAGTCTAAAAAATCCGTCCAAAGGTGAAATTTTAGTTGATTTCTTAAATTATTTTTTGCCTATTTAAAACACAACTATTATAAATGTTTTAACAAACAGACACATAGGTAATTACTTACATATTTGTGTAGTACCTATTATAATTTTATTTACATTAGGTAGATGTTATGAAAATAATTAATTTGAGTGAATGTTCCAAATAACAATACTTTTATTTTTAGTTTGGAACAACACTATTTGTGGATGCCTTAAATGGAAGTTATAAAGTCAATAGGGTAGTTTTCTAAATATTATTTGAATGTCCGTCTGGTACCTACATTAATTTAAATTAGACATGTATTTTTTCTTTTCTCAAAAAATAAATACTTTCGACCAAATATTAATTTAAAATATCGTGTGACGTCACATCGTGCCACATTTTGTAGCACGTTATGACGTCTACCTCCCTCCTCCCACTCCTAAACTTAGCACCATTTTATCTAAGTATTGCAACTTAATACGAGAAAATAAAAAATACTTGTCTAATACTTTTTCATTATCTAATTGACGGACTAATTAGATTTTTTATTTTGATACCCTGGAAACGACCCAATTTTAATCTGAACGAAATAGTCATATCTAGTCTTTAAACTAAATAGTCTATAATTAGAGGCTGAACACTCCACTTACGCCCGAATACTGTAAAGTTACACAATTAAGTTGTACGTAAATATTGTACCATCCCTGTCCTGTTACAAAGAATTTGTAGTGACACGACTATACTTAAGTGCAACTTAATATTGAGTGGCTTTGAGTATTGGGATTACATTAGGAAATATTTATAAGTTTTATTCATAAGAATGGTAACAAAAAATACGTAATTTGAAACTTTAAGCTTGATGCTACTGGCAACACTACCTCGTTTGTCTATTCTCTCGGATTGAGTATGTAGACCGTAGACAATATTCGTATTATTATGTATTTTAGTAGTAAATTCTTAATACCTCTACAATATGTCAGGAAAGTACCTAGACGACTAAAATTAACTAAAATAAGCAACTTCTAGGTGTAAAATACCTATTGTACAAGGTTTGGCGAAATACACGGGTCTCACTACATTACTACCAAAATAGTGGAATTTAATTTGTAGATCTTGACAACACTTTGGCAGAATAAAACAAGGAAGTATGTTGCATAGGTACCTATTGAGATATTGACAAAATATATGTATTTATCGTAGCGTAGTCATGTATATTATTTTTAAGCTACGTCTATTTTAATTTTAATACTCTAGTTAATATTTAGTTATTAATAAAACTGCCCTAATTTTAGTTTTGAGTCCATAAACTGAAGTTGATTGAAATTATGTTCCTTTTTTAGTATTTTTTCTTGATTAATATAATAATGATCCTAATGCACACTAATGCCTAATATTAATGAGATGTTAGTTGATGTTTATTATATATTTTTTTGATCAAATCACACTGGGGTGCAGGATAGTGATGGACTATGATAATCTTTATTCATTATAATAAAATAGTAAATCAGAGATCCTACTAAGTTTGAATGTCTGCACGGATGGAGGAGCCTTTAGGAAAAGATGAAGTATTATTTGGAAAGTATTACCAACGAATCATAAAATGCGCGGGGCCTATCTTAAAGGGCCTTAGGACTATAGCGCCATCTCTTATCATTGTAAAGTTATTATTTTACAGGTTGTGTGATTTGGTTGAAATAATTATATTATAGGTATTAGGTATTGCAACAGCATTGGAATAAATGTATTGATGTAAAACTAATTAAAAATTGCACCGATGTGCATTATTTTCGAAAATAATTCTCACTGTGCAATTTTAGTTTTTGTACGATTGTAAATGCATACTTAGGTAACTTCCATTTGAATAAATAATACGATTTTTCAGTCTAAGAGTTTTATTTCCCATTTCTTACAGCAATTTGGAATGTATTTACATTATAAAATGAATAATGACATCAAATAAATTTTAATATTTAAAAATTATATTTAAATTATTATTATATTAAGATTCGAGATTTTAATATATTAATACATCTATCTATATAATTTCGACTTGTGCCTACCATTTGTAGATAGGCAGAAGTCAATTAAATGCAATATAAGTTTTAGCACCAAATGTCCAGCAAAAACTAAAATTATTTTACTTAATTTCAATTTTATAGTAACTATCAATAATAAGTACAATTTTAATTATATTTTATAACAATTCTCTGAAACCTAAATGCAACTGGTTTGCGCCATAAAATCGGAATGACGATAATTAATTTTTTTGACATTTCTAAAATCAATAGGTAAGAACATTTTCATAGTTTTGAAATTCAAAATAAAATGCTATAACGGGGCTAATAAGGATAATTTATCATCCATTTAAATGTAACTGATGCATAGTAACAACGATTATGTAACCGGTTCATAAGTACATAATTTTATTATGAACATAATTATCACTTTTAAATATTAAATCAAGTATATTTAGACAAACATAAAATGATAAGAAACTAAATTATTAGAAATAGAAAAGTGCCACAATTCATATGAAAGTGCCAAAAATTTATTAATGGACTGGATCATTTTCATTTTTAATGGATCATTATGGAAATGATCCAATGAATTTTAAGTCATAAAAATCCATTAAATATTTTTTAGTTTAGTAAATTCATGATTTTTGATGAGAATTTATGGAATTAAGGAAGAAGTAGTGAAAACAATGATAGGTTATGCAATAATGAAAGTGTGTTAATAATATTAATTACATATATGAAAGGGAGCACCTTCTCGAAGTTACAGAAATGTGTATACTTAGCTATTTTTCTTTAATTGCTATTAAAGTAAATTACGTATGAATTACTTAAGAATGTCCAAATGTTATTACTAGATATGAATAGTTATATTATTATTTTGTATGACATTAACATAATAATTTCTCAATTGTGATCTTTATAAAAAGGAAACTCACAACATAAATGATGAATACAACAAAAAAGCCAAAAATAGTGCTCACTCTTTACCTAGTAGGTACCTACAGGGAAGGGATAAAATTAAGTCAATACATAAATTAAGTTGGTCTACTTATAAATAAGTGCTTATAATTCGCTATGGTAGACTTCTGTTGTCACTTTCAGCTCGTGTTCGTGGAATGCTGAACAGTCTGCTGGGTACGCCGCCTGGAAAAAGAAGCATAGGTAGGTATTAGTTAAACATATATGTATTTTAGACCTAAAAATCCATATTTTGAGGTGTAGGTAAAGCTTTCTATCATTAACTCGTCGAGTACCGTCATTATAGACACAATTATAGAACAATAGGTTGCGGTCACCGGTGACCGCTTGGTGTTTGACAGTTTAAACTAGCTACTTCCGCGCGGTTTCACAAATTCTGCTCAGCTCCTATTGGTTGTAGCGTGATGTTTTATAGCCTATAGCCATCCTCGATAAATGCGTTATCCAACACAAAAAGAATTATTTAAATCAGACTTGTAGTTACCGAGATTACCGCGTTCAAACAAAAAAACAAACTCTTCCGCTTTATTATATAATAAAAGTATAAGATAATATAAGATATGTTATAGAAACATGAGTTTACAACGTTTTAAAAAAACTAATAAGTGTTCTTTATTAGGGTGTTTCTATAATAATTAAGTACTATAAAATTTAATAAAATCATGCCTTAAACCCCAAAGTGGTAGGCAGAGGTGCACATTACGGCACTTATTGCCACTGTGCAATGTAACAACCACTTTTCACTATTTATGTTATAAGTAAGTCCCATGTTATAGGGGGTGAGCCTATTGTCATATACCGGGCACAATTCTAGATACCGTGATACTACAGAGAAATTAAAAAAAAAACAGTAATACTTTGCCCGACCCGGGAATCGAACCCGAATCATACAATAGACTTTCGCCACTTTAGTCGATCTCTTATGCTTTGTTCGCACTATGCTAGTATTTTCACCGAGCATCGAGTGTTTAGTATATCCGTCCCGCTTCTGTCCCAAAATTGAAGCCAGAATGAGTTACTAAATACTTGCTACTTGACTAAAATACTAGCATAGTGCAAACAAGGCATTATTTTTAACAGAAGTTTGCCTTTGCAGTAAAACCTCCAAAGAGCATAATAAGTATAGGGAAAAATCGTAATTCGTGTTAAACTTACTTCACAATTCACATCATTCTGGATAGCGTTGTATAAATCGAAGAATCCTTTGCCATTCTGGAAGCTGAGTGCCGCTGATGCTGCTAAACTGCTGAGCTTCGTGAGACCAGCCTTGAAGCCTGGCATACCTGGAAAAGTAAAATTATCATCATAAAATCGATAGCTGACTCCATCATACACCATTATACTTTGTTTCTGATGTTTAGAGACAACATTGTATGAACAAGCGTTGTGGTATTTTGATAGTCGGACATTAAGAAGTTAACATTTTTAGCGTGGGTGAGTGTAGGGTGTATACAAATAATTACGTGAGTAAGCCGAAAAACATAATAATTAGTTTATTATGTCTTACGATAGTTATAAGACAAAAATAGGTAATTATTCAAATCGGGCCAGGTGTTCCAGAGATTATCGCGTTCAAACAAACAAACAATTGCTGGTAAAATAGTTCAAATTAATTCAATTATTTGACCTTCTAATAAAAATCGGTTAATATATTTATTAAATAAAAGGCTTCATATTGAATATCCTACTAAAATTGTAATTACCTATAATTAAAGCATGATCATGAAAAAAAAAATTGTTCTATTAAAGAAAGGAGATTCTCTATTTTGTAAATTAAGATTACCTAGATCATGTCGCCATTTCAACTCTTTATATGTATAATTGTAAGTATAAGATAGCACATAATATTAAATAGGTTAGCTGCGTGGCCTGTTTACACAATGGCCGTACTTAGGTACCTAATTCTTTTCATATTTAACATAATTGTATGCCTGTAGATAGGTACATAATTATTGTTATTTAATTATTTATTGCTCTTTCATGTGATAGAGAACATTATTTTAATATTTGCTAGAGACACGGCATGGCTGATGGTAAATACATACATATATGTAGGTATCTATTATAATACCTAATTGACTGCAAAGTTTGATATTATCTGAATGTAGCACGATATAGTTACATATACTATGGTAAATTGTACCATGTTAACACGGGATGTGTAACATAATATAATTATCTGGGTGCTTACTTTTAGTTGTCTCAATGTCGATTTTTATAATCCTTCAATCATTAATCAACGTCAACACTATACAACCCCATCGTAGATGTAAAATAGCGTTCAGAGTACGGAATATAAAGTCAAACTCAATACAATATACACGTAATATGGATGCAATGGGCGCTAGTGATGCATCTTTACGGTATGTACAAAATTTTACAATATCAATGGTCGTTAGTAGGTTTCTAACTGCACCCTCGTGCATTCCCATGCACGGGCACCGGGCTACCACAAAGAATAATGAACGGAAATTAATAATCTATTTTAATCCCAAAAACTCAAGCTACAGACTTAGATCGAGTTCAGGGTGCTTATACTCTTGAAACCGGTCGCAATGTCAATGCAATAAAATCTCAATAATTATTCAATATCAAAACTATACAACCCCTATCGTAGCTGTTAAAATAACAGTCAGGGTACGGAATATAAAACCAAACTCAATACCATTTAGTTCATTCAATATCTACGCAATACGGATGCAATACGCGCTCGTATAGCAACTCAAGAGTACGAAATTTCACAATACCAATTTCGATCGATGGGAATTGGATTCAAGAGTAAGCACCCCAGTTCTTAATTTGAGCTTTATTTAAAAACTAGCTTTTACCCGTGGCTTCGCTCGCGTCATAAAAGGATAAAAGTAGCCTATGTGACATATACCAATACACACAGCGCCATCTATACCAATTTTTTTGTTTTTCCTCGGGAATATCAACATTTTTCGGGATAAAAAGTACCCTATTATTTAATCCGAACTTCTAACTTTACGTCTGCAAAAATTCAAAGCAATCGGTTTAGAAGTTACGGCGTGAAAGCGGAACAAACAAACAAACAAACAAACTCACTTTCCCATTTATAATAGTAAGGAAGGATACATACCTTTTTTATCCTGGTCATGGTGTCTGTTAACAAGGCACATGAGATGTTCCTGGCAGTGAGGAGCCTTTACTGAATGCTGGTATGCTCTGTACACCCTCAGCACTGGTTCTATCACCTCTAAGTTCAGTGTGTCAGTCAGACGGTCAGCGATGGCGTTGTAGTCGCCTCTTGTAGACATGGTCTTTGTGGTTGCTTCTGCCATTTTTAAGGTTTGCTGTGGAACAAAAGGAATGCCTTTGATACAAATAATTTCGGGTGGTAATAAGAGCCCCTGCAAGGGGTCTCAGGTTCGATTCCCGGGTCGGGCCTAATATAAGGTTTTTAAAAACCTCAGTAGTAGCAAGGAGTCTGGAATTGTGCCCGGTATATGGATTGCCATATACCGGGCACAATTCCAGACTCCTATTGAGGCTCTCCACCAATTACATGGGACTCATAACATAAATAGTGAAAAGTGGGTGTTACATTGTACAGTGGCATAATGTGCACCTCTGCCGACCCCTTCGGGGATTAAAGGCGTGATGTGATTATGTGATTGTTAGACTTAGGAACAGGTGTTAGTATATTAACTGACTTGAAATATAGAAGGAGGTTAAAGTTTAGTGGTTTTAAACGTAGTTTACTCAAAGTTATTCCTTCCCCACATCCAAAGAGCCCTTACCTTGACATACTCGACAGCTGGCACCACATATTCACCGACATCGGTGTCCATATCCAAGTACTTCTTAAGTACGTGGTTCAGCAGGGTGGTCAGGGACTGTTCTGGTTTCTTCACGTTGAAGTGTGTGCTTTTAGGGAAACCTTGGGAGTCGAGGAAGCTGTTCGTGATGTACTGACCTGATATTAGGTACCTGGGAATTTAGATAAGATTTGTACGTAAGCATTCAAAGTTGATTGCATGCGGTTGGCGTAGTGGTTGGGTAATCGGATGCTGTGTATTCTGTTGCGGGTTCGATCCCCACACCGAAAAATTCTTTGTGTGATCCCCAAATTATTGTTCTGGAACTGGATTTTTTATGGTATGAACCGGTAAACGAGCAAGCGTATCACATGATGGTAAGCAATCGGCGTCGCCCATGGACACCTGGAACACCAAAGGCGTTGCTAGTGCGTTCCCGGTCTTTTGGGATTATTGGGGATTCAGGGATTGGGAAAGAGTGGAAGGGGTAATTGGGCCTCCGGTAACCTCACTCACACGACGAAACACAATGCAAGCGTTGCTTCACGTCGGTTTTCTGTGAGGCCGTAGTATCACTCCGGTCAAGCCGGCCCATTCATGCCGAAGCATGGCTCTCCCACACTTAATAGACGTGATGTACTTGAGCCACGTATTTTAATTTAATCTTTATAATCATTACATCTGGGGCAGTAGGTAAATCACAATTCGATTTGTACATTTGATAAACAACAGATTCGCAAAAACCACAATACTGTTGGACAAACAAATTGAACACTATTCGTTTTCATTATTAATTTTCTCCGAATGGTAGGTATTACAATACATGAAACCCATACATACACGTGTATCATTTAATTTTAATTTAATTAACAGTTTATTTCAGTTTCATCAGAGAGCGCTGCTGCTCAGTCAATGTCAAAGTTAAAGGCCAAGCATTTATTTTTATTTAACTACTAGCTTCTGCCCGCGACTTCGTACGCGTAATCCCATTTTTTCCCGTCCGCGTTCGTGATTTTCGGTAAAAATTAAAAAAAAAATGTTGTTTAAAAAGTATCCTATGTCGGTCTCTTAGCTCTAAGCTACCTCCCTACCAATTTTCAGCCAATCTATTCTGCCGTTCTTGAGTTATAAGTGGTGTAACTAACACGACTTTCTTTTATACATATAGATAGTTGTGTACTTTGAAACTTCAACAGATACAAAATAAATAATAGTCTTTCAGGATGCCCGTCAGTGAAGCTAGATGCTCGTTCCAAAATGTAGATTCGAATAGATAAGAACGACCAAGAAACTACATTCGTTATTCTTTTGTATAATCCCCTAAGACCATTTTCATTATCCACCCTTAAACCACCATTTAACTAAATTTTATTTAGCGTGACGTAGCAGTTAAACTAACCCCTTACTTGTTCTGTCAGCTGTCATTTAGGTATAGATAGTTTAAATAAAATGTTGTTAAGTGTCACCTATTTTAGCTAAGGAGTTCGTTAATATTTAGGAAAGGTTTGTGACAACAGTCTTTAGTCGGCTGTAACGACGAATCTTCATATAGTCAAAACAAATATTGATAGACAGGATGAACGCGTATGAAACTTTGACCTTGACCACCCTTATGACTGTATACAATAAAGTCCATTTTCCGAGTTCATAGGTTAATGAACTACCATTTTATAATAAGTTTAGCAACTGGTACTGACATAGGGTAACAAGTTAGTTTGATTAATTGTCCTAAAAGTTACAACCTATATACATATGTTCTGGAGGGACTAATTGTATCGTTTTGTGAAAACTACTAAAGTATTTTTTTTATGGCATAAGCCGATAAACGAGCAGACGGATCACCTGATGGTAGGCAATTGGCGTCGCCCATGGACACCTGGAACACCAGAGGCGTTACAAGTGTGTTACCCACCTTTTGGGGATTAGGAGTTTGAGAATCGTTGGGGATTCAGGGATTGGGGAGATTGGGGAAGGGGAGGGTAATTGGGCCTCCGGTAACCTCACTCACACGACGAAATACAACGCAAGCGTTGCTTTACGTCGGTTTTCTGTGAGGTCAGAGGTTGTTTCTTATATATATTTTATGTATTTGCCACTATTTTGTTTACTTGGTTGATTAAGATATCGCTAGCACGCTAAGCAATATTGTTTTTAAAATTATTAGTTGCAGTAGTGACTGTTAAGGCAAAATGATCATCTTAAATGAATAAAAGATACTATATTTTGATAGTAATCAATCCGTAAGAAACAAATACAAAATTATTAAGGATTTTTGTTATAATACATGATCTTTGAGCGTAGCATATCGGAGTCACAACGCGTAGCGTATTCGTAGAAGCAAGCGTAGCGGCTAAGCAGCCTTTATGTATCTACTACGTTTATCTACTACGTTAGGGTCTGACATACGGGCCGGCATTGTAATGCGGGGCTGCGGATGAATTTGGACTCCCGTGGCCCCGCACGCACGTGTGAGGAGACACTGGGGTGGTTTAGCCGGTAAGAGTCCGGCACACCCCTTCGCCATTCCCCAGGCGGAGGCAGTCCATGAGGATTTCCCCCATAAAAAAAAAGGTGGTAGCAAGCATAGTCGCTACGCAACAGAAGTTGCGTAGCGACGCTTGTGTCATGATTTACTAAAACAAATTTACTTAACATTCACGTTAAAAATATTATTTCAATCGTTTTAGAGATACTAAAAGTCCTAGGAAATTGCTACGTTTGTGAATATAAACTGAGGATTAATTTTATTAGTGAAAACATTTTGATTGTGACAATTCTTGCCATCGCTGACTGTACCATTGTAAATTAATTATCCAACCGTAAACGTCAACACTTCGAACATTACGATAAAATTGTATTTAAACGTAACTTTAAACAATTTTCCAAAATGTCATCACCATTTAAACCAATTAAAGTTTGCTAAAGTTCTGAAAGTAAGATTGAAATCTCTCGACAGACGACGAACAAGTGAAAACTGGTAACTTTCCGTATAACAAATTAGTCGATTTAAACTAAATACTATTAAACAACGAATTTTCCGGTGTTTGCACATTACATTTTAACTTTATACACGCATGTTACTTAAAGCCAAGGATTTTAAGTGTGGGAGAGCCATGCTTCGGCACGAATGGACCGGCTCGACCGGAGTGATACAACGGCCGACCAAAAAACCGACGTGAAGCAACACTTGCGTTATGTTTCGTCGTGTGTCAGAGAGTCTTACTGACTACTAACCACCCCATTCCTACTCCTTTTTTCAGCCGCAGCTCCAGTTGGAATTACCTAAATAGCTACATTGTTGTATGTATATGAACCTAGGCAGCTAGGCTAGGTATTAAAAAATAATTAATTAATTTGAATTAGTGGTTATTTTATTTCGATTTAATGTACACTGCGACACGCCTATCAACTATTCCCCGGTGTAGATAACACCCAATTTTTATGAGACATATTATGAGTCCCATATAATAATAGGTGTGATTTGCCATACTTGGTTACAGGGCCAGACTCTGAGTCATGTTATTACTAACACTTTTCGAAAGAACTAATAATACTTTCGACCAACGTCGCAGTCGAGGTTATTTACAAAGTATTCCAATGAAATAATTGTCCTCATAATGTATTACTTAATTCATTAATAAATACCTTATTGGGTATATCAGTAAGATGACATAACCATAATAATATAAATACATATAATTATTATTTTCCTGCTAATGAACGCAGGACGATTACAAATTATCGAGCACAATTCTATACTTTCTTGATACCCACACATTACGCCAACCGTAAAATAAACATTCAATGATAATACAATTAACTAAAAATCGCGGGTTACTCACGTGAATATACTGAGAAAAGCTCTACTAGTTTCGGACCACAGAGGGATCTTCCTCATGAGCAGCGTGCGCGGTCGCGGCGATGTCGCGCAGCCTTCAGTAGTTCGTAGGCTGCGCGACTATACGTAGTGAATATACGTAGGCATTTCTCAATATAATCCGCGATTTTTAGTTAATATAGTATGTTTCACGATAGTATATACAATTAGTTAAAAAACTTACCTGCTGTAAACTTCAGGCTTAGCAACATGTACCACCATATCAGTCAAGTACTTGGCTGCAGCCTTGATCCAATGCCTCCTGAACGAGTGGTTTTCAAAGTTCTTGAACATCTGCTGGAAACTGATATTTCCATCAGGTCCTGTAAAGGCTTTCAATCCTCGCTTCAAACCTGACTTCTCCCAGATAGTTTTGCCCAACTCCGAGTTTATGAAGATATCCCAGTACAAATGAGCCTTCTCCAAGAATGGAGGCAAGAAGGAAGCATGGTCCTTATGCTCATCAGCACGCTTCTGAGCCTCGCTATCCGAAAATGAACTCAAAACGTTCATTACTAAAGGCATAAATCCTCCAGCATTCTTGTTGCCGAGGAGACCAGATGCCAAGGTCATCATGCTTTCCAAGTTCAGTTCACCTGGCTCTTTATTCTCCCTCTTCTGTCTCGCTGGTTTTGAGGACTCTGTGGTTCCCATCTGCTGGGCAAACATGGATATCATTGATCCTACTAGTGCTGGGTCTATCTTGCCATCTTGACCACCTAGTAGACTGCCCAGACCTGCAATAAATAGAAATTGGTATCATCTTCTGCTTGGTCGGAAATGATAGATCGCTAATGTTTTCACTTATTTCATCGAAGTTAAATATTTTTTAAGGAATAAGTCGGTGAATGACCAGATGGATCACCTGATGGTAAGCAATCGGAGATACCCATACACACCTGGAACACCAGTGGCGTTACCGGCCTTTTGGGGATTAGGAATTTGAGAATGATTGGGGACCGGGGATTGGGGAGATTGGGGAAGAAGGCGGGTAATTGGGGCTCCTGTAACCTCACTCACACGATGAAACACAACACAAACATTGTTTCACGTCGGTTTCCTGTGAGGCCGTGGTATCACTCCGGTTGAGCCGGCCCATTCGTGTCGAAGCATGGCTCTCCCACACTTGCTAATTACACAGATACTAATTAAACGGTCTTTTTGTTTTTTAGTTTATTTACAGTCTCGTGAATATAGACTCATTACTTGGAACTTGAAAATTTGCGAAAAACATATTCTGTTACTCAAAATTGTTTAAATACTTATCACTATTTTAATAAACATGACATTGAAATTTAAACTTTATGCAAATTAAATTAGGTATCAAGTTTGTTTGTGAGTTGATCACTAAATTGATACTCGTAGTTCTAAACAATTGTATTTCATGTGAAAATGTTGCGAACAATAACTAATTAAATATTATTATTATAAGTTTAATTACAATAGAAGCTGATTATACCTATGGATACAATTCTCAAAAATGAATTTTGTTTTTAACAAAAATTCACTACTGAGAATATTTAATTAGCCATTATAACCTCAAAAAAACAAAAGAACATTCTGGACAAGTACAAATCGATATTGTAATAAATTATCACCAAAGTCAAAGTCAAAGCGTTTATTTCAATTCATCCTTAATTATAATAACTATCGTGAGACATACTAAATTAACTAAAATCGCGGGTTACTCACGTGAATATACTGAGAAAAGCTCTACTAGTTTCGAACTACAGAGGGGTTCTTCCTCATGAGCAGCGTGCGTGGTCGCGGCGACGTCGCGCAGCTCACTCTTTTCTCAGTATATTCACGTGAGTAACCCGCGATTATAGTTAATCCTTTACTACTTTGGCACTTTCAAAACGTCAAAAATTGAATTGTCTTTCAGTCTGTGTGTCAGTGAAGCTAGGTCTACTAAGCACAAGTCTAAGTCTAAGTTTGGCGGTTTTTGACTGCTATTTTTGTAACATTAACATTTTTTGTATTATCATGTAGGTAAAGTATCAGTTTTATCAGAGAACGCTATTGCCTACTCTCAGATAAACACATAGACATATTCTCCTAGTCGGGTATACGAAACCTGCAGGAAGAGGGATGGTGACAAACTTATTCTACTCTGCCATCAAAAATAATCTTAAGTGTGGGAGAGCCATGCTTCGGCACGAATGGGCCGGCTTTACCGGAGTAATACCACGGCCGAGCAGAAAACCGACGTGGAACAACGCTTGCGTTGTGTTTCGTCGTATGAATGAGGTTACCGGAGGCCTAATTACCCTCTCCCTCCCTAATCTCCCCAATTTCTGAATCCCCAACGATCCTTAAACTCCTAATCCCCAAAAGGCCGGTAGCGCACTTGTGTGTGTTTCGTCATGTAAATGAGGTTACCGGACCAATTACTAAATTAATATCTAATCCATGAATACCCAACAATGCTCAAACCCCTAATCCCCAAAAGGTGAGTAACGCACTTGTAACGCCACTGGTGTTTCGGATGTCCATGGGCGGCGCCGTTTGCTTACCATCAGGAGATCCTTCAGCTCGTTTGCCGATAAAAAAATCTTACCTGACAGCATATCACCAGCATTTCCATTGTCAGTCTGACCAAACATGGCGCCCAAGTTCTTGGCGTTATCTCCCTGCATGAGGTTCCCAACGATGCTTCCTATAGCAGCCAATCCATTCATGTTATTACCACCATCTCCCATATTCTGCAGGAATGATGATGCCAGGTCCAGGAAGGGGTTCTCATCATCAGTTCTGATGGACGGGATGGTGATTAGCTGGCATGCTATCACCAACAGTAAACTTATTCTCGCCATGGTTCTGGAATGAGAAAATGTTGTTTTTTTTAGGTAGAAGCAAATGTTTTCGAATTTTAATACAACATAACATAACATCATGCCTTTTATCCCCGAAGGGGTAGGCAGAGGTATACATTACGCCACTGTACAATGTAACACCCACTTTTCACTATTTATGTTATGAGTCCCATGTAATAGGGGGTGAGCCTATTGCCATATACCGGGCACAATTCCAGACTCCGTGCTACTACTGAGATTTTTAAAAAACCTAGTAATACTTTACCCAACCCGGGAATCGAACCCGAGACCCCTTACCCGGCAGGCGCACTTGCGACCACTCGGCCAGCGAGGCAGTCGGCAATAAAACATATTATTATTAATAACTAGAAATAATATTAGATAATTGTTATGTTTTTTTGTTTATGATAACTAATATTATAAGTACGGTAATAGTAAAAAACTATTAAAAGCCTACTAACTACTTAGCCTAGTAACTACTTAGTAGTAATAAAAAAAAAAACTAATATTATTAAAATAAAAATATTAATTAACTTAAAAATAAATTGTAACAATTAAGTGATGCGGACAACCGCATTATTTTATATATATGGAGTAACAGGTTCTTCGCCGCGCCCCGCCACCCGGCCGCGCGACGAGCCGGCGCGAGCGCAAGCGAGACGACATTCCGCTGCCAAACCTCTTGAGGCACGGACGCTGTCGCTTTGATAAATAGCATACTTACCGTCATTGCGAATTATAAAGCCATAAATAATTATAAAATATTTTGAGACTGGATTGCTTATCCATACTACTAAACTAAATTAAGTACCTGTAAGTGATTGTGATTCCCAAACTTGGGAATTACGTCACGGTTTCAATAACCGAACCGGACAACGAACCTGTCACAGCACCTGAGTGGAGTGGCCGAGCTGACGGAACTACGCCTGGAGGACGGGAGCTCGCCAGGGAAGTGTGGAGAACTAAGCAAGTGCTAAAGACCTAGGCAGACCCTTCAATTTTTTTAATATACCCACATACTTTATTAATTCTAAACCTAGTTTTATTTCTCTCTTGTACACGTCTTATAAACGTGACAATTATTGTCACGTTTATAAGACGTGTACAAGAGAGGGGTAATGTAACATAGTGTAAGTAACTACTTAGTAGTAATAAAAAAAAAAACTAATATTATTAAAATAAAAATATTAATTAACTTAAAAATAAATTGTAACAATTAAGTGATGCGGACAACCGCATTATTTTATATATATGGAGTAACAGGTTCTTCGCCGCGCCCCGCCACCCGGCCGCGCGACGAGCCGGCGCGAGCGCAAGCGAGACGACATTCCGCTGCCAAACCTCTTGAGGCACGGACGCTGTCGCTTTGATAAATAGCATACTTACCGTCATTGCGAATTATAAAGCCATAAATAATTATAAAATATTTTGAGACTGGATTGCTTATCCATACTACTAAACTAAATTAAGTACCTGTAAGTGATTGTGATTCCCAAACTTGGGAATTACGTCACGGTTTCAATAACCGAACCGGACAACGAACCTGTCACAGCACCTGAGTGGAGTGGCCGAGCTGACGGAACTACGCCTGGAGGACGGGAGCTCGCCAGGGAAGTGTGGAGAACTAAGCAAGTGCTAAAGACCTAGGCAGACCCTTCAATTTTTTTAATATACCCACATACTTTATTAATTCTAAACCTAGTTTTATTTCTCTCTTGTACACGTCTTATAAACGTGACAATCCTATGCTAATTATTAATGAGTAAACATACCTATAGAGACTAACTTATAACCGTGGGGCAGTTTTGAACAGCCTTACCCCCCTACTGTCTTCCTGATTAGAAACGGACCCACGGTTATAAGTTAGTCTCTATAGGTATGTTTACTCATTAATAATTAGCATAGGCCCCACGTTGGGCGCCATTGTCACGTTTATAAGACGTGTACAAGAGAGAAATAAAACTAGGTTTAGAATTAATAAAGTATGTGGGTATATTAAAAAAATTGAAGGGTCTGCCTAGGTCTTTAGCACTTGCTTAGTTCTCCACACTTCCCTGGCGAGCTCCCGTCCTCCAGGCGTAGTTCCGTCAGCTCGGCCACTCCACTCAGGTGCTGTGACAGGTTCGTTGTCCGGTTCGGTTATTGAAACCGTGACGTAATTCCCAAGTTTGGGAATCACAATCACTTACAGGTACTTAATTTAGTTTAGTAGTATGGATAAGCAATCCAGTCTCAAAATATTTTATAATTATTTATGGCTTTATAATTCGCAATGACGGTAAGTATGCTATTTATCAAAGCGACAGCGTCCGTGCCTCAAGAGGTTTGGCAGCGGAATGTCGTCTCGCTTGCGCTCGCGCCGGCTCGTCGCGCGGCCGGGTGGCGGGGCGCGGCGAAGAACCTGTTACTCCATATATATAAAATAATGCGGTTGTCCGCATCACTTAATTGTTACAATTTATTTTTAAGTTAATTAATATTTTTATTTTAATAATATTAGTTTTTTTTTTTATTACTACTAAGTAGTTACTTACACTATGTTACATTGTATAATTATGAAATACATAATAATAATAATTTAAAGTTGCCAGCTGCCTCGTTGGCCGAGTGGTCGCAAGTGCGACTACAGGGCAAGGGGTCTCGAGTCCGATTCCCGGGTCCAGCAAAGTATTACTGGGTTTTTAAACAAAATCTCAGTAGTAAGTAGCACGGGCTCTAGAATTGTGCCCGGTATATGGCAATAGGCTCACCCCCTATTACATGGGACTCATAACATGAATAGCGAAAAGTGGGTGTCGCACTGTGTAGTGGCATTAAGTGCCGTAATGTGCCCTCTACCTACTCCTTTGAGGATAAAAGGCGTGTTGTTATGTTATGTAATTTAAAGATTCGTAACGGGAGCGCGCTATGTTACGCGTAAGTACAAGTACCGTCATGCCTTATTTCAAATCAATCTTATATTATTATATAAAGCGGAAGAGTTTGTTTTTTTGTTTGTTTGTTTGAACGCGTTAATTTCCGTAACTACAAGTCTGATTTGAATAATTATTTTTGTCTTGGATAACGCATTTATCGAGGATGGCTATAAAACATCACGCTACGACTAATAGGAGCTGAGCAGAGCGTGTGAAACCGCGCGGAAGTAGCTAGTAATAACATATATGTCGACAGATTTGATTTCACAAAAAAAGACAATACATATGTCTAAAGTTTTAAGATAATCTACCAGACTTAGTTACTATTAAAATTATTTACATTACAAGTGATACTCTCCTAATTCCCATGATCATTTCGCCACTGCACTCAAAGGGTAGCAAACAATCCCGGGTCGGGTTTTATTGGGGTTTTCCATTAGGAAATTTCTTAGTTGCAGTCTCGAGATTAAGGCTCTAATGACGGTCTCTCGGTCCCTATTATAAGGGACTTGAGACTCATGTGAAGTTTTATATTACACTTCTGTTTATACCGTTTGGGGATTACAGCGTGATGATAGTTCTAGTATTTGTTTTGTAAGTGTTACAGTAGTGAGGAAGTATTTGTATGTGTTTTTGGACGTATATCGCCTTATTAAAAAGGGTTAAATTAGAAGCAGCCTCAAGCGACCAGCACGCATATAGAATCGTCTCAATAATATCGAAATATACTTTATTATTTTACTAGCGACTTGCCCCGGCTTCGCGCAGTTACAATATGCATGTAATATACATATAAACATTCCTTAAGAATCACTCTATCTATTAAAAAAAAGCACATCAAAATCCGTTACGTAGTTTTAAAGATCTGAGCATACATAGGGACAGACATACGGCTGATATGTTGTTGTTTATCTTACTAATCTTTTTTGTGTATTGGATTCATCATGCCTATCAATACATAGTATAAAACAAAGTCACTTTCGCTGTATGTCCGTATGTATGCTTAGATCTTTAAAACTACGCAACGGATTTTGATGCGGTTTTTTTTAATAGATAGAGTGATTCTTAAGGAAGGTTTGTATGTATATACATATTGCACCCGTGCGAAGCCGGGGCGGGTCGCTAGTAACAAATAAATAAATTTTCTTATTTTTGTCGTTCACATTCGCAGAGAGTGCATGTAATATTTGGCAGTGATTTGTACACAAAATTTATAGTTTTTGGGCCTCCAGTAACCTCACTCACACGACGAAACACAACGCAAGTGTTATTTTCTGTGAGGCCGTGGTATTACTCCGGTCAAGCCGGCCAATCATGCTAAAATATGGTTCACCCTCACTTAGACTGAAAGTGAACCTAATGCCAATATGTACCGGGAGAAGTTAACATATATTTCATATCGATATTGGCTATCTATGGTGAAGATTTGCATCTAGGTAGTATGCGTATACTAAACTATCATCGGAGTCGTGGAGAACCTAACGGGTTACCGGGGCTCCGACTCGACGTGCAGGAGAAGGAACGGGGTGGTTTTTAGTCAGCAAGAGTCTGACACTCCCTCCCGCCTCACCCAGGCGGGAGCAGTCATTCGATGATTTTCCTCCCTTAAAAAATTATCTATACATTTATTTACTTCCTGTATTATACATAGACGTATATATAATTTATATGCACAAGGCAGTTTTATAGTTATTGCTTAGAGTAGTCACGTTTATGACGGCCTGTCGTAATTCAAGAGTTATGGGAACCATAACCGAACGTACGCAATAGTACGCATCGCAGGGTTTACCGAACAGCAGGACATATATTGTACTATAGTTTACTTTGTATACATAGGTATATCTAATATATAAAATTCTCGTGTCACAGTTTTCGTTGCCATACTCCTCTGAAACGGCTTGACCGATTTTGATGACATTTTTTGTGCTTATCGGGTATCAATGAGAATCGGCCAACATCTATTTTTCATCCCCCTAAATGTTAGTGGTAGTCCACCCTAATTTTTAATTTCTTTTTTTTATATTACAACATAAAAAAATACATACAATCCTCAATTTTCACCCTTCTACGATCAACCCTTAGTTTTTAATAGGCAAAACAACGTTTGCCGGGTCAGCTAGTAGAGATATAAAAAGGTACTCTAAAATGTTAAAATTCTTTAATAGATTTTTTACTACTGCCTCTTTGGTTGGGTAAGAGCGGGTTCGATATCTAAATATGACGAACTTTTTTTTTTGATAGATGATTATGATTTCTTCCGCCTCGAGTCAGGAGTGTACTTAGAGGTATCTCCATAATAATATTGTTTTTTTGTTTCTGGATAATTTTCTTAAGCATTTTTTTTTTAACTGTCAAACACGGCGAGGACACCGGTGACCGCAACCTATTGTTCTTTAATTGTGTCTATAATGACGGTACTCAAAGAGTTAATGGCATAATCATCGAATGACTTCTCCGGCCCTGGTGAGGCGAGAGGGAGTGTTAGACTCTTACTGACTATAAACCACACCATTCCTACTATTGCTTGGACCTGGAACCTGGGTAGCCATTAGGCCATCTGCAGCTGAGGTTATCACAGCGAAACCTTATTTATTAAGTTCAAAGACCTCTATGCGGGTATTTACGTATGCGTGTATGTGAAAATTAGGATAGTTAAGTTAATAATATACATAAACATGTTTTTTACTGGTTGTAGTTACCTACGTCATTTTCTGTTAATTTTATCTAGTACTTTTTGACTTCAAATAACAAATCTTGTAGATTTTAACTCATTGAATTGTTTTGTTTGGAATCCTACTAATTTTATTATATAAAT